GAGGTGTACCAGGCTTAATTACTGCTATTGAGGGTTGTACTACTTGTAACTAGTGCTAATGAGGAGTGAACGAGGCTTAATTAGTCCTAATGTGGGGTCTACAAGGCTTAATTAGTCCTAATGCGGGGTGTACTAGGCTTGATTAGTGCTAATTCGGGGTGTACCAGGCTTAATTAGTGCTATTGATGGTTGTACTAGGCTTAGTTAGTGCTAAGGCGAGGTGTACTAGGCGTAATTGGTGCTGATGAGGAGTGTACCAGGTATAATTAGTGCTGATGAGGAGCGAACATGGCTGAATTAGTGCTACTGTGGGGTGTACCAGGTAAATTAGTGTTAATGCGGGGTGTACTAAGCTTAATTAATGCGAATGAGGGGTGTACTAGGCTTACTTCGTTTTGACGATGAGTGTGCGTAGGTTAATTATTGCTAATAATGGGCTACTAGGCGTAATTTTTTCTGATGAGGAGTGAAGTTGGCTTAATTAGTACTACCGGAACCAGGAGACACCTTACTTTTGGTGACAAGAATCATCACACAACGTATTTTCAGCTACCTGTTCTCTGATATTCCTTAATTAGTACTAATAACATGAATTCTAATTAGAGCTTAGTCGATCCTGTTGAGTACTAATTTATTAAATAGGTTATTTATAGATTATAGGCTGAATGATAATTGACGAAAATTGAGTATATATTAGAATTGTAAAAGATGGACCGATTTTAGAGGTAATCCGTGGATTGGCTTGCAGTGAGCTCGAAATTTCAAACCGGGAATACTGCTTCCACAGAGTGAACGGAAGTACCCGGAACTGACCGTTTCCAGGCCGGACTGTTCGACCTTGGTTTGGCTCGAATAGAATTTCCACCTACGAACGGTTCGAGATAGCGCCACATGTTTTCCTATCGGGGAAGTCGTCTGTCGAATATGTGGTTTTTTATACTGCCATCATTAATAAAACTTAAACTCGCGAGCTATGCAAGTGAGACATAATTTCGATCAAAACCTGTCAATTTTGAAACAATTCAAAAGAACCTAGCCTATTCCAATAGAGAAAAATTTCTTCTCGAGAACCGCACTTAACTATCAATTTGAGATCTGTTCGAAAGGCATGAATAAGTTATAAAGAGTTTAGTTTGTACTTTCATTTATTTGGACATGAAAATTTATGTTCAAGATACCTGAGAGTTATATTTATTCATGGATTGTTTTGGCATGTAATTAACATGGGAAAAGTTCAATGGATCAAGTTACCACTGTGAAAATCAAACAATATTCGTGTTTCTAGTCTTATCGAAATATATAACAAGTACTTAAAGATTTTAGATAATTATGGTGCATACGTGCCATAGGGGTGTTTACAATTACAATAAAGTTAGTGAAATTATATTTTGCTGTTAAATAAAGTCTTATAGGGAAATCAGAGATAACGAACAAGAACGGGAATATAAGAGATATTAAGAATATACCCTCAAGAAAAAGAAAACACTTCTTTTTATTAGGAACGAACACAAGAATAAGACAGGTCGCTTTATTGCTCACTGCGACCACTTATACACCGTAACCAGCTCTGAATATTTCGTAATCTCGGACACAGTAATACGGTACTATATACAATACCGTATACGTATCGTAATTTTTCACTTGTATAATCAAAAAAACATGTAAGCAGGCTTCTTTTGACTTCTTTTATAGAGAGAAAAATCTATCCAGATCAGTACAACTAGAATTCAATGTTCAATTTTATGGTTATGAGATATTTGTATTTGAAACTGTTATAAGTTCTATAGTATTCTATATGAAACTTTTAACAGATATTTTGAATCGATCAATTTTTGTAAAAAAAAATCGTCATATAACAATTGAAAAACTTTAAAAGTGTCTCTTAAGGATAATTCGTGAAAGATTTTGCTAATGTGACTCAAGTTTTTAGATAGTAAAAACTGAACTATTCCAGTAATACTTCAAAAGTCCTATGAAATCTAAAATGAACAAACTACTACATAAGGATGAAGCTTCTTGAAAAAAAAACTAGGCGACACTATATTACGATTAGAGGTGTCACAATTAAATTTTAAAAAAATTTATTAAATAAGGAAATAAATTTTCAAAAATTTAAATTTAAAATAAATTAAATTTTTTTTAGATGAAAATTTAAATTTAAAATAAATTTAAATTAAATTGTTTGAAATTCAAATTAGTTAAATTTTGAAAACTAGCAGATAAAAATACTTTTTGACTTGATTGCTACTATTTAAAGTCAAATTTGAGTATGTTTCCTGTTTTCTAAAGTTAAAACTAGTCACTCTTCTATGAATTCTGCTATTAAATATATTTTTATGAGTATCCCAGTATTCTGAAGAAGAAAGATGACGGATCCTGCATAATCTGTAGAGAAATTTTGACTATTATGAATAAGTATTAACCTAAAATACTAGGTCTTCCTCTCATTTAGTATTCTCTACTGTTCAACTCACGTATTTCCCTTGTAGCAATGATGAGTATCCATCCAAACAGTTTATTAAATTTAAAATTTAAATTTAAAAAAATTTATTAAATTGAGAAATAAATTTTCAAAAATTAAATTTTAATTTTTGTATGAAAAAAATTTTAATTTATTTTAAATTTAAAATTCTGAAAATTTAAAATTAAATTAACTTTTCACGAAGTTAAATTTAAATTAAATAAACTGTAAATTGACACCCCTAATTACGATCTAGCCGATAGTTTTTTCAATTTTCATTCTCTACGCTTCAATTTTTCCTGAGAAGATTTGCCATTGAATTCTCTACCGCACCTCTATCACAAAGTTTTCTATTGAAAGTTAAACAAACATTTTTTTGGCAGAACCTTCGATACGTACAAAAACAGAAACTTTCGAATCTCAATAATCGTCTCTTCAGATGTTTTCGTTGTTTTGTAACCCTTGAAAAGCGCTATCGATTGATCACAGTTGGAGAATTCTTACGCTCATCTTTACGATACTCTCAAAGTATTTTTCCTTTCAGATTTTCAAAAAACTTAGTTCTTTCAATCTGTAGTTGCGGTGCTCCTGCAAAAAGAGGTACAATTAAGCTTAAAGAGCACCTTATTGGTTCAAGGTTTTTTTTATTTTGATAGGAAATGAATATTTTATTAGATTCAGTAGCAAAAATTGATAATGTTTGCTTTCTTCAATTCAGCTCGCCGAAAATATAAGATTTTCGTTACTTTGCATAAATGCTCTTTAACTATTAATTTTATTCGATCTTCAAATTCACTTAAACTAATGTTGAGCTATTTGGCGAACAACAGTTCATTTCAAAGTACTCAAAAACGTTGTTACTTCCGTTTCGCTATCAGTGGGATTAGATGAAAATGGTAAATTTTGTTGTTTTTCAATTGTTGTGAAAATTGGTACTTTCGTACGGGTCAACGGTTCTGTTTAAAACATTTTTGCTTAATTTTCAATAGAAATCCTTGTGATAGAGAACTGAATGGTGGATCTTCTGCGGGAGAGCGAACTGAAAAATATATCTTCAAAATACTAAGTGGACCATTTAATCTGGTGCATCCGTTAACTGGTAATTATTCTTCACGTTTTTCTATTATCTGTTAGATGAATTTTCGCATAACTGGCTACGTCGCTTGAATAAAGTAAAGAATGGCACGAAGTTTACAATCTCTTTTTCTATGCATAAATCGATCAAGTTTTATATTGAGAAGCTAACTAAATGAACTTAAAAGCGATCTGATGCGTTCATCTTATTTCATATAACCATCGCATGATGCTATATAACGTATCGAAATCATAATTTCATACGTTTTATAAAATTATAAAGCAAAAAACACGACAACTTATAAGAAGGATTGTATTCATCTCTCAACAGAGATGGCGGAACGATTCCAGTCTAGGGTAGGTTCACGTCTTTAGCAAAATAGTGTCTGTCCATGTAAAAATACAGGATTCAAATTTGATTGCTATCATAAACTTTTTATTTTTCTTCTTTATGACGAATGAAAAGTATTTCTCTCTTGAATTTTTAAAATAAAATCGGTACAAATGCTTCATCAAGTTGATAGCGAAGTTTTTAGTGGTTTTCAAGTATGTAACAATGTAGTAAAGAACACGAAAAATCAAAGATTATTTTGGAAAAAGAAATTCAACTGCCTTATACTAAGAAGAAAGAATTTGATGTCAAACTAATTGCACGCCAATAAAATTCCAAAAAAATATGTCATTGAACAAAAGTTAGAAGTAACTGAAATATGCATTGACAATCTAAGAATACGTCATTAGTCGAAAAAATATGAAAATAAACCATTAATAGAAAATTTTTATATTTTACCGAGTCTATCAAAGTCCTTGGTGTGCCCTATTTGAAGTTTGCCTAAACCTAATCTCCTCCAATCTATGTTAGACCTGAGCCTACCCGATGCCAATCTAGGGTAGGATTGGGCTTACACAAACTTAATGGCTCCGCCACCACTGTCACTCAATCAAGACAATCATAGATCAGATTATTTTGTTTTAGATTGAAAGATAGAAAAAAAATTCAAGTTAGCTTCTTTAACTGAGAACTGAAAGCGAGAAAAGGCCAAACCAGATTAAAAAATATTTCAAATAAAACTACTGAAAATATTGAAGTCAGAATTCAAAAATACTCCAGTACGTATATTTCATGCTTGTGGTTCAATTTAATATTTCAAGAAATGTAGCTAATTTAATTTACTCTTTTCAAATTAGAACTCACCAGTAAAATCTGATTGCTTCTCTGTTGCTGATGGTTTTTTACTTTCACGTGATGCTTGAACTGTTGATTTCGAACCTTCTGGTGTTTTTCCTAAAATATTTCATTCAACATTTTTTTACAAAATCAATTCCATTAAATATGATTAGTGACTAACCTGAACATTCTGATGATTGAATACAATCACCATTCTCATTAAGAACATAGCCTTCTTTACAATAGCATCCTTCATTGCATGTATCATTGTAACATTTCATTGTGGTTGTGCTAACAAGGTCTTTACAAGTTTTTTGACACAATGTTCCACATGATTGGTATTCTTCATTTTCCTCGCATGTCAAAGCTTAAATAAATAAAAAGAAAAAAGAAATTATTTCTTTAGCAAACTATTCACATACGACAAAATTCATCGTTTCGCCAATATTCTATGGAATGATCTTCTTTACGGCAAAGTTCTGATAAAGAAGCAAACCATGAACAAAGAGCAGGACATTCGTGGCTATCAACTGCACAACTAGAAAACAAAAGTGTAAACAAAAAATACAGATAAAATTACAAATCAATCATTTCACGAACCTGCATGTCTCTTCCATACATTGATCATATAAAGTTGTTCGACGTTCTTGACTGAATTTATCCAAACAAGGAAAAAATGGATTTTTCGTTGACGCAGTACCATTCAAAATATGAACGCATATTTCATGAGCCCATCTCGATTTTTCTTCATCATCCTTTGGTTTACGTGACTCAACTTCGCATTTACTATTGACTTTCCATACATTCGTGTATTTTTCCTTTTGTATAATGAAGGCTTTGCTAAATTATTAGTAAAAAAAAGATTTATTTTTGATATCAGTATGAAATTAGATAAAATAAAATGTTTATTTCATTACCTAGGACGGTCATGTTTAGTGCAAAGACCCTCTAGATGGCCTTTCCATTTACCACTAATAGTTAAATATATTCTATTATCTGAAAATATTAAAATCAATATTAATATCTTTTTTGCTTCTTCTATACGTGTATTTTCCTACCATGATCCCATCTAACAATGAAATTAGTTCCATTAATAATGACAAATAACCCAGCCTTGTATATTGTAAACGCTGGATAATGTATGGGCGATGATGTCAATGCCATAAGAGCTGTATTATTAATCTGTACCGGTTTACCTGATTCCAAGTAAATAATTGTTCCTATAGAAGAAAAATATTGCATTTTACGTTGGAAAAAAATTCAAGATAGTGTTTACCGCTGATAGTTAAATGAGTTTGTAGTGAATGATGATGTTCAGTGGATGCATGATTGTTCAATACGAGACTAAATTTTTTTGCATGATGTTTGAATCGAGCTGCAATATATTCACATGAACCACTATTGACTTTCAAATATTGTTGACTAAATGTTGTATAATGTGTATTTCGTAAAATACTGCAGGTTCGCGAACAGTCCACTCGAGTACATGTCCATTGTCCTGATACACATGTACTAACAAATTAAATGAAACAATGAAAAAGAATAAGAATATTTTTTTTTTCGATAAAATTACAAACCATTCATTACAATCTTGTGTAATTTTCGACCCGTATGGAAATACTCCATTGTTAAAATTACATGTGCAATGTTTTGGATATACACATCTATTGGTCTATAAAGAAATTTCAAGTTCATATTTTTATAGTTTTATAGATATGAATAAGTAAACATACATTTTCATCACGAATCATATTTTCTGGACAATCACAACCTGATCGATATTTATGACAATTTTTCCATAGTAAATGATTTGAACATGTTTGTGGACACAATGTTAAGCTTGTTTCCGTAAATATTAAATTATTTGGACATCTAATTTTCGATTCAGTACATTTGCCACTATTACAATTTAATTGACCACGTAGACACATACTAAAAGCAAAGGAAAAGAAAGCAAGAATATTATTCTAGTACAAAAAAATCAAGTCTTATTTACCAAGTTGAACATTGACCACGTTTAACAATAGAACCAGGCTGATGATATAACTTTGTTTGCTCATCATAACATGAACAATCCGATTCTTTGCTACATTTTAATGGTTTATGTCTGCTTTGATTTGTATCATGATAATGATCTTTAATACAAACACAACCTGGGAAAAAAATGAATTGTTTTATAAATTCATACAATTTATTATTTGAAATAAAACTTACCAGCAAGACATTGTTGTCGACAGACCGAATTATGCTCATGCTCACCATCCGGATCTGAACAAGTTTTTAAACATGTAAATGGGCATTCTTCATATGTAGTTCCAACACTACATTGACCTAAAACCGATTCACATCCACCTCGCCATTGTGTATATTTCTTGGCTATATCATAACCAATCAATGCGCATGCATGAGCAAATGCTGAATGCCAATAACAATAAGCTCGAATATCCATATTAATTCGTGTAACACGTTGATCTTTGATACAAGATAAGATAAGTCCGTGAACAGGTGCACCAAATTTACAAACATTATCTCTTATTCGATGGCAATATTTTTCCTAAACAATTTAGAGAATTAAGTTTTTCAAATTATATTCAAAACATACATACCGATCTTTCTTGATTAAAATCTTTTGGTATATCTTCTTCAGAGCTACTACTAGGACTTGTGCCATTGATAAAATAGGCTTCACTAAAGACATTTGTATTATGTGTTAATTTGCCATTGGGTAAACGTAAATCATTTTTTTTGTTATAATCAAATGATCCACAGAGACCACGTATACGTTCACGATAGAACGATTCCAATGTAAGATAAACAGCATTACCATCATAGGCAATGTGCATCTCTTTCGATTCTATCAAGATGAATTGTGATGTTGCTTGACGTATAGTCATATCAGCTGTTTGAAATGGAAGTTGTTTAAGCATCTTGTCATTGAACATAATAGAATTCATATCGGATAATACTACTGTATTGATACCGTACGTAAATTTCAATTCACGTTTGAAATTTCTTTTCACGGAGGCTTCAATACGCACATGCTGTGTTGTATTATCCAAGTTCTAAATATTCAATTATACAATTGATTCGAAAGTTAAAGTACAAAGTCCATTAAACAGTTATTTTTAAAAATCGATTCTAGGACTTTCAATCATTAAAGTATTATTCGCTTTGCTGCCATCTGCTCCTTTTTTGAAAAAAAAGATTTTTTTTCTAAGAAATCGAAATGAAAGGGCAGATGTGCTAATGTGCAGTTAGCATTGTGTTAAAAGAATAACGTTAGTTTTCTGTGCTTTTTTTAGCTCATCATATTTCGCAGTTTTGTCTTCGAAACAATCGAAAAATTGAAACGAAAAAAACGATTAGGCATCTCGATTTTCACAATAACAAAAAAAAGCATTCAGTCGTAAAACTATTTGAAAAATAAAGTTGACTATACAGTAACTTGAAAATTGAAAAAACTGCCACTAAAATAATGAAAAGAACATTTCTTTTGATGATTTCGTATTTCATCGATTTAGAAACATTTTTTCATCAAAAATAATGTCCGTTTCATCAGTAGAATATTCAATTTATTCATGTTTTTCGCATAACTTATTGGATATTCTGATTAGAAAATTATTCGAAAACAATTTCATTTTTTTACCTGAACTAATAAATAATCGCCAGGCTTAACAGTGAGTAATGCTCCATCGAACGTTTCCACATGGCTGAGGCCAACCACTGAACATGTTCGCGATGCAGTTGGCTGCGAATTGCAGATCCATCCACCATTTTTGCACTGACTACAACAAAAACAAAACGAAAGATTCAAGTAAATCAAAAGAAAAAGAAAAAAAGTTTTTCAGACCATTTTTTTCCAAATCCCTTGATGATTTCATTAGCGAAAAAGATCTTCCCATGATGAAAACATGTGCACTCATCTTGAGGCACACATGCACCATTTTGACCTTCATCCATCAGTGTGCCTTTGGCGCAAACACAACCAGGATCACAGAAGCGTAAACAGTCCTTATTATCGGAGTCTACGTATGGATTCTGGCATGTTCTAGGACAACGGCTAACACATTTTGAAAATTGTTTACCGGGAGGACAGTTGTGGAGTTTGCCTTTACTAGAAATGAAAAGAAATATATTTGTTATTTGATTAAAAACAAATACTGAGCAGTTTAAATTATCATACCAATCTCTGTAACCGGACAAACACCGCAATAGAGAGAACTTTCCATTTTGTTGTGAAGTACAAGCTTGTACAACCAACAAAAAAATGAATAGCTTGCTTGCAAAGCTAAACATGATCATGTTAGCTTCTTCGTCGATTTCTGTTTTTGTGTCGATTAGAAAATTGCAGGGGTTTATATCAGACCAGAGTTAATAGCCGCCCATACAATTTTTTTCCAAACAAAAGTACGGTATTTTAGCTGGTAACATTTGGTAGAAATGATATTTCTTTTTCTCCCAAAAAAAAAGAAGATATTTCTAAAGAATATCGCTTGTAATCGATCATGATATCCTGATGGTGCGTATTTTTTTCTGATCATTTCATTCTTCTAAACTGCGCACATTAATTACCAGAAAAATACTGAAACTAGAAACTAAAAAAAACAATGGAGCCTACATCGATTCTACCATTCAAAAAAGAATACTCGATACAGAGCTACTGCGAACATTAAGACAAAATGTTACTTCCTAGTTAGTTTCATTGTATTGCAGATTTTTTTTTAAAAACAGCAATTTTTTGTATTTGATACATAGAAATCTTGAATTCAAATAGTCATTGAATTCCTTGTGAACTGCTTCGTAGTAATTTTTCAATATTGTTTCTGTATAGCGATGATCCTTAGCTGTAACTAATCGTTATGCTGCAAAAGATTTTTATGGTCATATATCTAAATTCAAAAATCTTTATGGAGTGAGTGACTCTTTAGTCTCGCTGACGTTAGTGGATATTGATATTTCTACGATTCGTTCGTAAAATAATTTAAACAATTGAATATTTCTTAGATAAACAATCAAAACGAAAGAACGATCAATATCAAATCAATTCTAATTGAATATATTGTTGATATCTATCTATATATAGTAAAAAATACAGATTTTATTTTTTTATATTTATCATTCGAATATTATTCGATTCCATGAGCATGAATTTGCATTTTATTTATTTATTATAATAACCATATTTAGAATGTTATTCTATTAGCAATTGAAAGAGAGATTTTTCGTCATTTTTTTTAAATATTAGAAGTAAATGATTAATGCCAGTTTTATTGTTTCTTTGAAATATTTTAACACTAGAATATAATTGTATTATTGAAGTTTATTCAAGCTAGATAATAATCATTTTTTTTAATTACACTGTAATGCTTGTGCACGATAGTTATTTTAGTATCAATATAAGGAACAAGTTCCCAGTTTTTTAAATTTAAGTTGAGACGAAAAATAGAGAGAAATTTCCCGTTAAGATTAATAAGCTAATTGAAAAATATCTATATTCCATAGAAGCAATTGAAATTTTTGTATCATTAATAATCCTGGACTTATCATGGTATACATGCAATAATTGCTTTTTGTCCATTACGACTGAAATTTATTGAATCGTTTTTTTCCAAAATCAGTGAACAAATATTGTTCAAGTAAACACTGAATTAGTTCTTTAAGAAAAATTGCCTTAGAGAGATTTTGTTATTTTCAAAGAGAATAAATCGTTACAAGTTTGTTCGAGTCATTTATATGTATGTGTATAGAGCGAATCATTTTATCATATTTCTTATTCATAGCCATTACATAAAACTAATTGGAAATAAAAATGCATTTCAAAAATATTGAATTGTTTTTTTTCCTTCAATCACCTATTATCAAGTTATAGATATGTATATACTTGATTCTTACAAAGTTTATTTGTTCGACAGCTGTGGTGTGATTTGTATCTTTATATGCTTATGCCTAAAAAAATAGCGGGGAGGGGTTTGAGTGTTTGAATATTGTAAGCGAACATGCACGATAGCCTGCATCCCTCCAGCATACAATAGTAGCTAAACTGCTGTACGACGTTGCGCTGCCGTTGACGCACAACGTCCTGGTTGGTTCGGTGTTTTTGCTTGTTCTCTTTCCTTTTACATAGCTGCTTGCTTCGTTCTCTTGTTCTCTTTTCTAACGCTGCTCTTGTCCTTGCTTTCTCGGTGCGCTCACTGCTGATGGTAGCGTTCGAATGGCAACAACATCGACGCAGAAACAAAGAGTAGTCGTCGTCACACAAACGAGCAATGGATGAAACTTATGCCTTTATCCATCCATCTCTATTTTGCCTAATAAATGTCGATGAAACTCTCTATAAAAACTTTCTAAAAATCTTGCATCAACATTCAATATTACATATGAGTTTTCAGTGTATATGAAAAAGAAAAGTGAAAAAGGAAAAGATAGAGAGCAAGACACAAAGAGAGAGAGAGAGAGAGAGAGAGAGAAAGGTGCATTATCTAGCTTGCATAGCTTCGTTTGTTCGCCCTTCGGATTGTGTTCGTCCTTCTTCCTTCTTTGACTTGGTGGAATACAACAAGAAAGACACGTCAAGTAAGAGCAATATATATATATATATATATGCTGATCGCAATTGACACAAGACATCTTTAGACATGTACATAGCAATTAAATTACTTTTTTATTAGTTAAATGTTTTCTATAAAACAGAGCTCATTCATTTTTTTGAAAATATTGAAACAAATAAACAAACATCGATTTATTACTTCTTTTTTCCCTTCTTTCTCAGGTATGAACGCAATGCAGGCATCAGAGACATAGCTATACTGTATTGTACATTTGCATACCGAGACAAGAGAGAGAGAGAGAGAGAGAAAGCAAGAACTACTACTGTCCGTGGTGTGAAACATATAAATTGCTTTCTTATTTCTTGTTCTCTTGCTTTCCTTTCTAGTCCCTTCTTGTCTCTTTCACTTTCACCACGCCTAGTGCGCGAGAGAGCGCGTCACTATTCACATAACTATTCTTTACTGACAATGATTTTTCTTTTTCTTTTTTGTTTAAACAAAGAGAAAGAGAGAGAGAGAGAGAGGGGACCATGGTCATGTATTTTTCTCTAATTCATATGACAATGTCATTGCCAATGTATTCTTTTCTTTTATTTAGCTTTTCGAAACAGTTGTTAAAATATAAATATTATTAAAAGCTTAAGTCTAATACATATTGATCATTAGTAAAAAAAAGATCAATACAATCAATTGAGCTCATGAATAGAAAGTTTACAATTAAATAGATAATATTCTATTGAGCATAGTCTAGCATGAAAATTTTCAATGATCCTAAAAAATGACCTGTCGGAATCTGCTAGAATTGAAGTCTGGTAAATTTTTTCAAGTTGATTATCAAGGTTCGAGTGATATTAGAATAACAGTCTAGTAGACATATGTAAAAGAAGTCTTCTTTGCCGTGAATTATATTCAAAAGAATGGTTTCGACACGTTCTGAAATAACTGTCAACAACAGCAACGGCGAGAGTAGCGTCAACAAGACGCAGTCAGTCGTCGTTATCATCTTTTTTTTTTCTTACTGTTAAGATATAAAAGAGCGAATGTCTACAATGGAAGAACGAATGCAAAGAACTTTCACCGAATGCATACAGGTGAAAATCAAGAACAAAGCATGGACCTTCTATTACAACATATTCTCTTTTTCAGTAAGGCGACCGCGCCGTTCCGTTCAATAGACGAATAGTTACAAAAAAAAGAAAGCTTTTCCTTGCTTTTGAAAATTTATGTATTGTGTATGTGTCAAGAGATACGAGAAGACAGGATGGAGACGGACGGACGAGCGGACGAAGGAAGAGTGTACACGTGTGGTGTTTTGTTCTTTCTTATGATTCCTATTTATTAACAACCGAAAAAACCTTTTTGCTTTTTCGTCGCGTCTCTCTTGTTCTCTCCCTCTTTCTCTACTACTTGCTCGTTTGCCTCTGTATGTGTCCTCTTTTATTTTCTCGTGCAAGAGAGAAAGAAAGAGAGAGGGAGAGCAAGCATTGCTTGCTCTCTCTCGCGCGCGCGTTTGCTGCTTCTCTCTCTCTCTCTCCGTGTGTCTCTCTCCTCCACCCACTGCTAGACTACTACACATCGCGTCTTCTCACCATCATCCATGCTTTCTTTTGTTTCGATACCGAGTTTTTTGCTTACACCACTTTTACATATAATGATGAGTATCATTGGCCATGATATACACTTTACGTAGTCTACAGTTAAAATATATTTTATACAATATAACGAATTTTTTTTTAATACAGAAAAACAACAGATTTATCTGGACATTACGTTTATCTCTCTTTCTCTCTCTTTCTGTTTTCTATGAGCGAGTGTGCGTGTATTGTTCGTCCTTCCCTTGTGTTGTACGTACAAAGAAGAATATAGTCGAAGATTTAGTATGAATGACGCTAGTTTAGTTTTCTGTTCTTTCCATCTTTGTTTATTTTCAAAAGAGGCATCACATTTGTTGTTTTTGTTTTTTTCCTGCTCTTTATGTATGTATGTATGTGCATGCATATATATATATATATATATATTTATTTATCAGTAGTGAACAAATGAAAAAAAAACATTAGTCGACATCATTGTCACTTATTCAATATGGCGGATTTTTTTCTTCAATTCTTTTTCGCATTATGTGAATGTTTTGTTTCCATTCTTTTTCTTGCTCTTCTTCTCTTTCGTTTAAGTATAACACAAATGAGCAATATATACACATATACATATATTTACTCGAAAATTTGAGGGATAGAAAGGATGCGAGAAGACTTTTTCTCATTTTGACCTCGATTGAACATTCGTCGTCGCATAATTATTCTCTTTTCTCGCTCTCTCTCTCTCTCTCTCTCTCTCTCTCTCTTACTCGAGTAAGCATACGCGCATAGCGCTCTATCCTAAAAAAAAGAGTGTGTTCTCCCGCTCTCTGTCTCTTTCTCTCTTTCGGCGCGCGCATAGCGCAATGTGATCATCCATCATTGCATAGCATACAGAGAGAAAGAGACGTAGAGAAGAAAACCGTAATGATCGCTTCTCTCCTTCAGCAAGCAAGAAGAAAGACAGAAGAGAGAAGGAAGACGGCGGCGACACAAGAGAAAAAAACAACAACAGGCGCGCGCTTTTCTTACGCACAAACAATTGAAAATACACAACTCGAATTCGGAAGGCGGTAAACTTTTTTCTCACTCATGCTCTCTCTCTCTCTCTCTAGATGATCTTCTCACCAATTACAACGATGAATACAGCACCGTTAATTCCACCACGTGTACAATCACCGTCATTTATTCGTAAAAGAAATTTACCAACTCCGCCTCCTTCTTTTGCTGATGTCAACGATTCATCATCATGTTCTTCTTCTTCTTCTGTTTCTTCTGCTTATTCGACAACTACAACTACTAGCAGCACAACTCTTAGTGACAATAATAATACAGTAGCATCGTGTGATTTATTAAATATAATAACTGATGCTCGTTTTCGTCCCGTATTTCAAGCTATTGACGAAATAAAACGACGTAAATGTCGACCAGATCTCGAACGTATACTTAAATATGTTGGAAAACGATATGCTGGTAGTAATATTTCATATCAACGTGATGAAATACTTGTGATACTTGAAGATTTACTTAAATTAGGTCTTATAACAAAAGTATTTCATAAAGGTGGTTTTACTATAAGAATTAAAAATGAAAAATATGCTAAACTTATCGAAAAAATGAATGTATGTTATAGTCAAAAAACACCAACAGCAACGCCAATGAGTCCTCATGAAGCAATGGCGGCTGCTGCAGCTGCTGGTACTATTAGTTTCAATGATCAAAAATGGCCAACAACAAAACAATATTTATTAAATTCAAATGAAATAAATAATAATGGCCATCATCGTATACGTGAAACACCCTCACCAGAATTTGCTGTATTTAAAATGGGTAAGAAAGACAAATCATTCGTTTTCTTTTGTACTGTTCAACATATTAGAGTTACTACGAGTTGATTACATAATGGAGTCGCACTCATCGTATGATGGTAGAGGGAAAAGAGAAAAGAAGAAGAAGAAGCAGAAGAAAAAAAAAGAAAAGAACGAGTAAAATCTTGCTTGTCGATACTCTCAACTTACTTATCCTATAGGCTATGTTTTGTTTCTCAACATATCATTTTTTATCTGCACAGATTTGATATAAAATTGTAATGAGAAGTCGAATGTTTTAGAATCACCATCATCATCATCGTCATCACCTGTATATTCGTCTAATGATCAAAATAATAATTCTGAAAAATTACCGATGATAAAAGAAAATACTCTTAAAAATGGATCAATTATTAATCCATCAACATCAACAACAAGATCAAATAATAAACGAAGTCGAAGTCAAGTAATATCATCATCAAATGAAAGTAAAAAACAATGTTTAATCAAAACATCGGATTCAATTCTCTCTTCAACTCCTCCTCCTACTCTTCCCATTGTTAATAATCCTGATGAACATTTATTTCGTAAACCGTTAGTAACATACAATAATTTACCACCTATAACAATTGAACAGCTACTTGGATTACGCGGTGATATACCTGATGTTCATAGTTGGTCAACAAATCAATTAAATGAATTTTTTTATCAACAAGGATATGAATATGCATCGATTGTATTAAATAAACTTCGCATCGATGGAAATAAATTGTATGAAATTAAACGAGAACAAGTATTTCACATGTCAACACTTAAAATTGGTAGAGCACTTAAACTATGGAATGTTATTGAACAGATACAACAGAAATCATTATTATCTTAATGTTGGAATAATTTTTCTTTTTTTCTTCTTTGTGTGTTTATTTCTTTATATACGTGTACCTGTATGTATGTTGATTAAAGTAAAATACAGATTTGAGTCTTTCCAAAAAAATAAAAAGAAGTTTTCTCTTCTTTCATAAAAAGCTCTTCAATCGTTACACAATAGTTTACCTCACTTATAGAGAAGTATTGATGCGTGATAAGAGCTTTCATAAGATAACTAGAATTCATCATTGTTCGAATCAAATTCATATATCTAATGTATTTATTTATTTTTCAATCTGTGCCAATATAAACGATAGAATAAACAGAAAACCACCGAAAAAAAAAGAGACGTTAGATTATTAAATCGATTGGCTGGTTTCTCGCATAAATGTATCATCTGTCAATGGACGTCGACATCGTTTAATGATGTTTATTTATCTTTTTTTGGTGCTAGATATATTTACTATTCGTGTTTTAATGATAAACAAATCTTCAAACTATCCTACTGATTTCCATTAGATTATGTATGTTTGAGACGTTGAGGTTATTACTGATTTCTAGTTCGTTGAATTTTAAGTACACTCATATTAAGCTTTGTAATATATTCTTGTGTTCTAAAGGCAAACCAGATTGTATAGAAATAAAAAGAATAGATGAAGAGGAAGACACTGTATTTGACAATTGGCTTCAAATGTCATCGTAGATTCCTGCTAGATAGAAGCGATATTTGAGTAAATCATTATAATGTAGAAACGATTATATTAAAAAACAAAGTTCTCATTTATTTTTACTAAGATTCTATACAAGAAGTGAACCCATTCGTGACAGTGTTTGAAGCAGCAATGGGCCTACAAACTTGTTTGTAATATTAACCACGAAGTAAGTGGTGCAGGAAATGCGGGAGGTACATTAAGAAGTTCTTCCTTTAGAAAAGAAGACATTCTTCGAAAAATTAAAGGAAGAAGAGTGAAAAATATTTACCTTAAAACCGGATGCATGCAGGTTTGTCGCAGAACGCTTCATCTATTCAATAGTGTATATACTTTATTATCATACTTTGATGAGTACCCTGAGTAAACAAAATCCATGAATTTCATAATTTCTAAGCAGATTGTACTATGCCAACATCAATTCCATTGATATTTTTGTATCGGATGACAACCGACTCTATGTATTAGTTAGGTTCACGATACTTTTTTCGTATCAGCCTTAAAATGTAACTGACATAAGTTTTATTTAATAGGATGCTTAAAGATTCATGCTTGACAATTCCAGATGTTTCTTTCCTTTTCTAAATACTATTCGTATTGATGTTGCGTGATTATCTATTTATGAAATCTATCAATAATTTATTGAGACATGATAGTGAAATTCAAATGAAACCTTTCTTTTTATTGCGATTTTGTTGAACAAATTCAATAGCTAATATGACGATCAGATAGCAAACGTTAACAAAAATAAAATCTGAAATATTCTCAAATAAAGTCATTGAGTACAAAGGAAACATAACTCGCGATTTTTTCTAAAGAATATCTTTTTCTATTTTTACTCGCATCTTTATTCATGCAATTGTTTCCTGATATTTCTTCAGCGGTTATTTCCGAAGAACAGATAATTCTCTACAAATGTATTTCACACTATCAAACATGAAATCATAAATACCGCGCCAAATAGTATGATAAACAGTCTTTTATTATAGGACACGTGACAATTCGCATATTAAGATTTCCAGTGAACAACGTACGGTTTCAATACAGTAAACAAACATCACTAAATTATTGTAGCCGCTAAGAGACAATAAGTGATCCATTGAATTTCTTTCTTTTCGAATATGATCAGTTCAACGACTTAGATATGCTATTTAGAAGAATTTTGCATTTGATAATATTACATGAAAGTTGAATGATTTTTATTATGGTCACTGAAAATTCGTCTCGGAATCATTCAAATACTACTTTAAATTTTATAACTAACACTGGATCTATGTTCATTTTCTGTAAGAATGCTTATTGGCATATCAGGAGGATTCTATGCTAGTTCATGACACAATTTAAACATTAGCATTTTAACAACAATAATATATGATTTTACTTTCGCTGACAGTTTAGATAATTAAAAGAAAGGATATGATCTTTAAAAAAATTTGTATAAATTTTGCTCATAATTTCTGCTATTCGACTAATGATAAATTTATCTGCATGACTAATTTCAGGTGAACTTTTTACCATGAAAATAACCAGAAGTCTTCGAACATTTATTCATTTATTTTAACGTCGATTATCTTTATTCTGCTTTTTTTTTCTTTTTTTTCTTATAAAACTTGAATTATATATTGTGCTGGATTAGTTGGCTTATATTCCATTCTATTTAGAAGTTCTATTTCGTTAATAAGATTTATTAAGTTTTCCCTTTAAATACACTGCGTCTTACTAACAAGAAAACTTTTTTTCCTTTGAAAAACAATTAGATTTCATATTTTCTATTTATAGTGTTATTTGTTCTATTCATCTATTTTTTAGTTTCTGAAAAATATACAAAGATCATCGTTTATGTTATTAAGCACCATGTATGTATATATATTTAAATAAATGTTAAATCACTTTTCATTATATAACAAGAAAAAAAGAAAAACAAATAAACAGTAAACCCAAATAGAATGTGCATATACACAATCACCCCTCTAACGAAAGACGTTGAATTCAAGTACAGGCAGCCATAAATCGATAGAAATCAGTTTTATAAGAGACAATGACAAACAATTTCGATTTTTTCACGAAACGTAATTCTTTCAATTGATCAGAAAATCGATTTATTGTATCGTGAAAACGCGTTGGAATTTGTTCAATTGTTAAACGCAATGATTTATAATAAGATACTTCATCTTCAATACATAATGTTGATATGAGTGTTGTTAAAATTGAATCTGGCACGTCAAACACGAATATTTCAATACGACTTTTTGATGTAAATAATGTTGATATTGACGAGAATTTATATTGAAGCTTAAATTAAAATAAAAAGTTTATTTTCGAAAACAAAAATCATAGAATGCTTTACTTGATTTTCAATTTTCTTTTTTGATATTGATTTATGCATAGCTTCAATGAAATAGAGATAAAAATTTAATTGCGCACCAGCACTAACTGGTTCACTATTCGCGTTTAATGATGATGAAGATGAAACATTTTTTATTGAAGTACCACTGGATGTACTTAATATTTGTGGTTGCAATGATTGTTCAGTATCATTGAACAGATTAGATGATACTCCACTATTATTTATATTATTGAGATTTGTATTATTGCTATCTGTTCGATAGTATTGAACAATTTGACCGCTGGAAAAACGTTTATCATTGAAAACTTTACCATTTTCATACATACGAAAACGAAAACCTTCATCAATTGAATCATCTCTACCATAAATTAGGTAAGTATAACCACATGAGACACAATATTGATCGAGAATTTCGAAATTCTATGAGAAAAAAACATAAATTCTATGAGATTAAAATTTAATATGACACGAGGATGGACAATTTTTTGTTGTAAGAAGACAAAGAGGTCGGAACGAATCGTGATTCTTGATTGAAGGAATAGAACTTATAAAATTCTTATTCTCATTGAAAGCTAGATAATATTGATGATTCTTAAAGTTTATCGAGGCAATTCCTTAGGGCCTAAAGCATGAAGTATACATGTAATCGATATTGTATAGCTCATCGCGCAAAACGAACATTATTAAAAAAGAAGATCACCGAACTGATTGTATTCGAAATAAAAGTTATTCATATGAAAATTTGAATATCTTATAAATGACACTTTCGATAATATTGAATTTGTCAATCATCATTTCGGCAATGTCTCTTTCGGCGAAATCTACATTGATCCTTGTAATCGTTAGATTCAGTATACTAATTCAAAACAAATCGAATGGAAACCCTCTGGAGAATATAATTTTCGTTTCTAAGAATCGTTGATCAATTGAAACGAGCTATCTTATTTATTTTTCGTATCTTTTGTTTATCTTCTCACTATTCGATATCATAATATTAAAAAGCCTTAACTTGATAAGTTCTTAGCTTTTTCTTTTTAAATGGATTGTGTATGGACTGGCAGACAGATCAATTCTTCACTATCGATCATGCCTGATATCTTGAACATATAGTATATTTGTAGACATTCACAAAAGCTTCTCCTGGGAAGAAATCTGATTGTTAATAACATTACTGAAGACAGGTAAGTCTCCTGTAGACTAGCGGTTAAGTTTCTACTTGACATCTATTCTCAATAGTATGTCTCTTCGAAAAAGCTATATAAAATGTTTACTATTCAACGTGAACATCTGAACATATCGATATTACAAGTATATAAGCAATACTTTAAAATTCTCTGACATTTACCGATGGTAATTCATAAAAAGTATCAACGCCAATACCATTCGTAACAAGATCATGACGAAGTCGTAATAAATCGATAGTATGATTGCCCAGACAAATCACTGTATCACAAGGCTTTGTATTATTCTATTGAATAGATTGGAAATTCAAAAAGAAAAAAAGCTTAAAATTCCAAACGAACTATTAAACGATTTGAAATTGTTGTTAGCGTGGTGGAATGTTGAAGAAAACGTTCCATATCAAAACTCACACCGACAATATGAGGTAAATCATTAGAAAGTGTTTTTTGAGATGGTCGCCGAAAATGTGCAAGCTATAATAGATTATTGATTAGTAATTGAGACGAAAAAAAACAAATCTAACAAACATACCAATGGATCATATCTACCACCGCCAGCGTAGACTTCATAAACAGATCGTTTCTTTCGTTGTACAACAGAAGCTAATTGAAATATAAAACCGGAAAATGTATTTATATCTAATATGGGATTAAGTGTCATAAATCGCAGTGTTAAATGTATCTAAAATAGACAAGAAATAAAATAATTAAGGAAAAGAAATAGATTCAAATTCGTACAGGCATGGTAACACCAAACCAGCGTGCATATTGAACAATTTTTTCTAATTCATCGACAATATTTTTCAATAATTTTGAACCCTAAATGTAAAATAAATAAAAATATGTTTTTATTTGTTTAACATCAATTCTGACCTCAGTTTTAGCTTTACTAAAACCTTTCAAATGTGTTATGATTTCATCGAAGGGCCCATCTTTATCCAATAGTGTTTGAATGCGATTTGCTGTTTGTTCACTGATACCATTTTCAATTAAATGCATAGCTACTGTTGTATTTGTCGAATCAAATCGACTCTAAATGAATAAAAAATACAAAGAGAATTAGATCAAGCTCATAATTATGTAGCATTATTATACTTTATTAATGGCCGCTAAAATCGAACTAATCTTATCAATAGGTACATCGAAAAAGATTAATATAGAACGTAGCAATTGACTATGATTTAATCGGATAAATACATTTCGTTTCTTAATGTGAAATAAAATAATGACGTTTTTGTTTCTTTTTTGAAAATCTTTACCTTGTGTAATTGTAATTCTTCGATTACATCCTGACTTACAGCTAATATTTCAGCATCCGGAAGAAAACTTGTCGAAAAAAAAAATATTAAATTATTTTATGAAGTATTCTAAAATTTTCTCACGTTGATTGAGTGAATATAATATCAAAACCGCATTCAGTTAATTCTCGTGGATGCATTTCTGTAACGCCTTCACGATAAACACTTCCGATTTGATAACATTTCAATGTTGTTAAACCATTTAAACCGTGATGAGATACACATCGAGCAATAAAACGAGCTAAGGGAACCTACAGAAAAATCGTATAGAGTTTTTTTTTCTCCAATAAATGCAACACTTGAAAGTGATTAGTAAGTCATTAAGGTTTTCTTACTTTTGAATCAAATGCAAGTGAAACAATGAGACCAGTTGAAGATATAAATTTTAAATTTGAGCATTCATTTTTACTATAAATCGATGTATCTGGTATAAATATTGGTAAGCGCATAAGAAAAGCTCCGTATTTTTCAAATATCCGAATAAAACTATTGCGTATACTGGCATAAACACGTGAATCTCGATGAAATATCTCTAACTAAAAATAATGAATGCAAAAGTTAAAATTCCAAAATAAAATTTCATCGAAAAACCTTATTAAAATCAATTTCTATATCGGAATCAAATGTTGCATCACGTGCAATATTATTTTTTCTTTGAAATAATTTTGTGATTGTTTTTCTATAATAGAAAGATTGTAAATCATTATTTGTACTATTGATCATTCGATCTAATAATTGTTCGTATTGTTCTTCTTGTTCAAATGGAATTATATTTGATTCTAATAATGTATTTGCACTTGGCCTTTTGTCCGATTCATGATTAAGCATCTGTACAACTAATTCATACTAGAATATAAAATCTAAAATTTCGCGTGTTTTCTTCTTATCGAAATTTACATGACGTGAAAATGATTTTTGACGAAAATGATTCGGTACGTTAATTTCTGGACGACGTAATTCACATAAGATTTTTGCACGTTCCATCGATGTATTAAACGGATAACACATTTCAAAAAATGTTACACCCAAACTGTATATATCAACTTTCTAATTAATAGAAAATAAACTTTTTAAGAAATGTTTGTTTTTAACGTTTTCAACTGACTTCAGTCGGAGCTACACGCGGACCAGTTAATAGTTCTGGTGCAATATAGAATGTTGTGCCAACCGGGGTACTTATAAGTCCACCATCTTTGATTTCTAATGACCAACTTGATTTTTGATCTGGATGTAGTTGTGATTGTGTAGATGAATCAGAATAGCCCTATTGAACGAAAAGAATATGAGACAATTTTTGATTGAAAACAGTTATCTGAGGTCACTAAACTTCATTGTAACAGAATTTATTTGCTTAGTATAGAAGAAATTTTAATAGAAAACATTTTAAATATCCAAATATATCGATGATTTTCATAAGATTTTGTCGAGTGTAAGAGTCAATTTTAATGACTTTTATTTTGCACATAGTGTATATAAAATTAAAGCTTACGGATAGTTTGCTGATAGTTGCAAGGCCAAGATCTCCGATTTTTGCATGTCCATTTGAATCAAGTAGGATATTTCCTGGTTTTAAATCTCGATGAATAATTGTCTATGAATAAATTCAATTGAAAAATACTTTCGAAAATTAAAAATACGGTTTGAATTACTTTGCTATGCATATGCTTAAGACCGTCCAAGATTTCACGTAATAACATCCAAATCATTTTTGGCTTTTCTTGTAATATTCCTCGGTCTATTAACTGTTTTAATGTATTTCCTTCACAATATTCCATCTAGATAAGATAATTATAATTAAATTAACATAAATATGTGCATGTTTTTTGCTGTTACTTGTATAAATAAAACTCGTTGGATACAATCATCAGCATTATTGTTGACGGACGATGACGAACTTGACTGATCATTTTTCTTTCCTTCGATTGGATTTTCCGATTTCTGAAAACAAAATACAAAATATATTGAATAATATTTTTCTGGTAAAATGCTTTTCAAGCTATTTTATAAGCAATTTTAAATCGCATATACCTTCGAATATTTAACTGCGCATTCATATTAAAAGCAAATGAGTAGCTTTTTATTTTTTTTCCGAAAGGAACATGTGTCTTCTGTTCAAATCATTGTGGTTTTATAAAAGTCACGATGGTTAAGATTCGTGAATTAGATCTGTGCAGTGTAAATAACATTGTAATTTGTTTTCGCTAACTCAATGTCGGACTGCTCCGTGTGGGATATCACACAAATATTGATATTCGAATTTCGACATGGAATTAGTGAGAGTATAGTTCTATCTTTGGATAGGAACGATGATGTGATTAAAAAAAAGATTCAGAGAAAAAATTATCTCTATGCGCAAGTTAAAATCTTTGTCGACAGATGAGTTTTTTTTTGGCGAGTACTTGAAGTTCACTAAAAAGGCTACTATAAAATGTAATACTAACAATAATATCCATTTCCGAGGGATAGGTAGTCCGTCTATAGAAGGTTCTAGATAATGCTTGGGATAGGTGTGCACTGGATGCTACATTCCCAGGGATAGCCGCGTTTCATCACTAAGTAGAACAGCTGGTGGGCACCGTGTTGAACAACCATAATGATAATAAGCAACTATTCATGGTTATGCTGAAATGAGTGCATAGTTATCAAGCAATTAATCATCCTCATAGATATATTATAAAATTAAGTCAAATGTAAAAATGATTCTAAATAATTCCATTGTAAATCCTCTAATATTTTTTTCTTTTTTGATTTTCTAGAAAAATTGTATTACCATTCTAAAATACTGCGAAGTAAATGAAGTTCTTTAAAACAAGAATAAGAAAGACTGGAAATATGCAAACAGTACACTTACATCAGCATTATTGTCGCCATGCTCAAATACAATCATATCATCAGTTCTTTCAACTCGATGAAACGTTCTATTCAAAAGCAGCAAATTATTTAATTTAATTTGTCCCTTTCATAAAATCAAACCTTGTGTCAAATACACCACTTTCATCATCGGATGGCGTTGATGATGTGGTTGCACTTGATGAACTACTGTCTTCATTTTCTTGTCCATTTTCAATCAATATATCTGGTATTAATCCATGCAGATCATTTCTTAAACTATCTTCTTTTATAGATTTGCTTTTCCGAGGTCGGCCTGATTTAGTTGATGGTAAAGAACCGCTCGAAGATTTACTTTGATTTGGCAATGACATTTGTTCAGTCCATGTGCTGTAATATCTATAGGAAAGAAAAGAAACAGAAATTTTCTTTCTGCTTTTTTTTGGAATAGCGTATGTCTATTGACGAGAGTTTACCTAACAATATTTTGATGATTTAACTTCGAAAGTAGTTTAACTTCTCTGGTAATTTTTTTATTCACTTGTTTATTTGCACTTTTAAGAAGAATTTGCTTCACAGCATAAAAACATCCATCTAATTTGTTTTGCACCTAAATTATTTTGATTTTCGAATTTTGTTTTCCTTTTTTTGAATATTATTCGTTTTACTTTAAAAACATGACCAAAGCCTCCTCGGCCAATCATTCCAATAACTTCAAAATCAGACTTAAGACGAGATTGTGCTGAAACAAGCATTTCGTCATTATTGCTATTCGTTGAACTATTATCACGATCTAAAAAATTTTCATGTAATCGAAATAATTTATTTCTAATTATTCTCTTACGATCCGTTTCGGAAATCATCGTATCGAAATTTGTCTGTGATTCAACGCGATTAACAAGAAATGGATCGACTGATAATTGTTTTACTGATTCGCCATTGGCACATCTAGACAAAACAAAAAGTTATTTCCATGATTTTTCATAAAACATGCCTTTGTAAAAAATCTCGAAATTCATCAGATAACGTTGATGGTGCATCAATAATACAATCATGCGTTCGACCAGTGGCCAAATTTAGTAGAAGTAAACCCTATTCAATTAAAATACACGTATAACAATGTCTATCGCAAAAACGTCCAAGTCAAAATCTCCATCCAGCTAAACGCTGAAAGCGGTTGACTTGGTTCTTTCAAAAAACGAAGTCAATTTGATTGCCTACTAATATTTGTTTTTAAAACATTAGAACATTATACGATAGTGTATTAAGTTTTGCTGAAAACAAAAATTTATTGCGAAACTTAGTTTTATCGGGCAAGAGTTTTTCTCCAAAAAACGATGGCTAGAACTTCTAGGGTGTAGATTTTGACTTGTGCAATAGAGTTTTGTATAAACCATTTTACCATATCATAAATATCATTTTTGGTTGAACCATGTAATGATCGCGGAAGTTGGGATTCGTGAAATAAGATATGTAGATCGTTTAATCTAATCATATAAAAAATAATTTTAAGAATAAAAATAATGATCAAACCTTCGAACAAAACTTGTGCGAGTTATTTTAATTCCTGTTGTACAGAGATAAACAGATTTCGTCTAGAGAGAGAGAAAAACGGAAACTTTCATGATGAATTAAAAGCATAGTTTTACATTTATTGCACGATGAATTATGGATTTTGAATGCAAAAATAGCAGTACTTCACAAAGTGATATTGCAATTTTCTTTAACAAAGATTCCGATACGGGACAATAATTAAATACTTCAAGAGAACTCGCTTCTGGCCAATCGGTTAAAACCTATTAAAAGACAAAATAAAATTTGGTCAACATATAAAAAAAAGACGAAAGAAGCCATCATGATTTACTCGAAATGTATAAGTAGCCGTATCATGAACCAAATATTGATACGCAACTATTTTACATAGTAAATTATGTCTTATATTAAGTAAACGTCTCATATCATTTTCGATATTTCCTATTTCACTGCGATATTGTGCAAGGAAATTTTCTAGATCAAGTGTTTTATCATCGTTTTGTACACTTTCAAAATTCCATTCATAAAGACAATAAACATTTGCTGAATCGCCATCAGTGCATATATACGATGTATTAAGTATTTGATCGGATATTATTGGATGCATTTCTTTGTATAATACGTGACCACGACGTACGCTGACTTCTATTGGATTTTCAAATTTAATTATAGTTTCTGACATGATACGAGCTAATTTAACAGGTTTTGTTGATGATACGTCAGACTGAAATATATAAAAATAAACATTCTGAGAGTGTCAAATTAAAGAAGACACAAAGAAATTTAAATTTCGACACCGATAAAGGAAAAAGACTGAAGATATTTTGATTGACATTTCATTGATTTCTTTAAGTTACCTGTAGTTTCAAGATCATACAATAACGCTAAATCCGAACACTTAAATCTACAAATTTTATTCGACTTTTAGTAAAATCTCATAATTTATCGGTGTTTGATTACATAAGAATATTTTAGTTACTCTTAAAAAATTTGAGTTCTTTAAAAGACTAAAACGAAATTATTCACCTGTCTATATCGTTGTTTTTCTGCTTGTTTTGAATGTTCTTCTCGAATAGCATTAATTTCTCGTTCAATTTGTTGATGTTCCTAAATACAAAATTATGCGACCAATAGTTCATTTTTTGTAGTCAACAAACATCATTCTCGGGATTTTGTTCAGGTGACACTTGTATTTGAGATGGTGGCCGTCGTTTGGTACGAAATTCGTCTAAAAACGTTTGCGCATAATGTGCCAGTAAATAAATCATTTCCTATAAAACAATATTGAATTATATGCCATGAAATAATAATATATCTCTCTATATATTTACTCCTCCGGTATAATTTTGCGCTTGAATTCGAAGTTCTTTTTCGCATCGTTCTAAAGCTTCGATAGGAAAATTTTTTGGATTGGCTAATTCTAGTTTAGGAACTCTAAAATATTTCGAATTAGATGATCAGTTGAATGAAAGAATAAAACTCATTTACTCATTGGGATAGTTTGCTGTTTCTTGGACAATTAAATCAAATGTTGGATCATTTATTTGTTGTATTATTGTGCTATCGGATCGTACCGGTGTGAGTGTCAAAATAAAATGAGGCGGATATAAACGTTTGTCGCGCTTGCTACGACGATCCTTCAAAGCATTATTATAAATTGCGCTCAGAACACGAAGTTCGTTTTCTTGAGCATGTTTGAGATTTGACTCCATCTTGTAGACGGAGTGACTCAAACTATAGGTTAAACATTAAAACCGAATATCTAAAGAAATTTTCAAAACAAATTGCAACACATTTTCGAAACATTCTAATAAATTATATACTGCAGATTTTTAGTTTTTTCTTATTGTTGAATAACTTGTCCAATCAATAATGTTTTTCAAACTTGTTTTTCATTGGATAAATCTGTTGTAGCTGCTCTTTAGTGTGTATATTAACAGTGTATGATGCTCGATAAATTTTTCACAAAATGATGCTTGAATACAAAAGAATGAATCGAATATTACATTCTTTTATTGGTGTCAGTCTATTATTTATTTTCATTTTTCTTTATATTGGTCTTCGCCCAATATTCATACTTGCTAGTGTAACTTTAGGAATATTTCTTGCTGATTATTTATTAATTCCATTTGTTTGTCTTTATCAAGCGTTCATTCAATGGTTACCTTTATTATTTGAATTAAATATTTTCAATGGAATATTAATGGTAACTCGATTATTTCATTTTTCAAAATTCTGGTCCATTACTTTGCTTAGTATTAGTATTATACGAAGTATTATTCTTATTTATTATCGTCATTTGCCAATCAAGGATCATCATCGTTTATACATAGCAAATAAAATTCAATTAATATCTAAATTTATTATAGAACAATCAAAAGATATTTATCCTCGTTTCATTCAACTATTTCATACTAGTGACGATAATGATTTGGATAAATTTCAATTAGAACAAATCAATTCTGATGAAAATGTTATCTATGAACATGATGAAACTATTCAACGTTTTCAAAAACTTGCTGATGAACTTTCATCGCCAACAATATCCAATATTGATTGTTCAATGAATTCAACACCACCTATTCGTCGTCATCATCAGCGTCTTCTTCAACACAGCGAAAATGAACCTTTATCACGAACACCAATAACACCAGTTCACACAGATTTACCTAGAGGAAAAATTTTACATTCAACTATCAATGGATCATATGCGGGACCGATGACAAGAAATCGTACCAGGACTGGTGGTAAACCTTCAATATTAAAATCACCAGGGACAAACAAGACACCAGTAGATTCGACTTTCATAATTTCCAAATACAATGATAATAATTAAAGTCATTTATCCTAACAGGACAGATATTTTTCTATTGATGCTCATTTAATGTCTGATATTTCTTTTTTTCTATTTTTACTCTGTCAAAATTAATTAAATAAATATAAGAAAGATTATACACTAGATACACTTTAAATTACCAAAACAACGTTAAAAGAAAAAAACGTCAATTTGATGAATATGTCCTTTAATGTTTGTAGTTAATGCATTTAATATTTAGTAACTGTTCCCTGCATGTTATTTATGATTCGAATGATAGACAAAATAGCTTTTTTTCTATGTTGGATCCAATTTTAAATGAGAACAGTATCAAAATGTTTGTAGATTTCTTCATGAACTCGAAAATATTAGACACGATTATAGATTCCTGTTTAAGAGTACGTTGAAATATTTAAAAAAAAGCGTGTCGAGTACAAATCTTGATTTCTATCCGAACAAAACTTCTACGGAAATAGTTTTAATATTCTAACTAAAAAGCTTGTATGAGATGTATCCTCAATGATATGTAGATTCGCTATTATTTCGATCGTTGAAGAAAATAATTCAATATTTATATTTTCAAATAGAAGTAGACAACAAACGCAATATTTTATGTACTCAAGGTTATCCAGCATTTATAATAACAGTGATATGATAAAACTAAAAAATTCAGGTTTATTTTGCAAGATTACTATTTTTCTTCGCTATTTGATTGTTAATTCACTGCATCATTATTCAACATGGCTAGCATACAGAACAATTAGATTTGACTTTGGAAAAAATGAATCTAACCGAATAAAATTAATTTATATTATTTAAATGATAGAAGGTCAATAGAAAATATACATATCTAAAAATAGTTTACGTTGAAACTATTACACATTTATATCTTGATATAGATAAGAAAAAAGACAAATAATACGCAAATTGAAGTTAACAATTATCACAAGTAAAAATAATGCGTTCTTCAGCACTGTTGAAACAGATTGCACCGGTTTGTAATTTTTTTCAAGCTTACTCGTCTTTCCTATTAGAATATTATTATTATATAGCTTGTAAGTCGTACATGGTACCGTCTTAGTTCAGTAACGGCGCATTCGGAATTACTACTTCATACTGACCCGGTTCTTCCAGTTATTGATTTTTCATCATTTGCAAGTAAAAATGATACAAATGATTATCCTCGTGATATAATCGAGAAACTAGCAAATGCCTGCGAACATGTTGGATTCTTTTATGCTATTGGTAAGTTCTTATTTTCTATTAAAATCTATAGGAAAGAAACAATGGTTCTTCTCGAATAATTTAGGGCATGGAATATCGAATGAATTACTTCAACGAACACTATCTGTAACGCGTCAATTATTTAATCTTGATTCTAAAATAAAAAATCAATATGCTTCTCGTTCATTTGTTAATTCGCCCAAAGTCGGTAATCTATTAGGTGGTCTCGGTCGTGGCTATCAAAGTGTAGGAGAAAATGTTACAAATTCCCTACGTGACCGTCACGAAGGTTTTGATCTCTATCGTGAATTAGACTCAAATCATCCAGCACGTTTGCAATTCAATAAGAAAAACTCGTCAAATAAAAACCTACCTGATTATCGTGAAATGGCAATTGGGTGGAACCCATGGCCAAAAGAATTTCCATTATTTAAAGAAACGATAAATGAATACAAGTCAGAAATGTTACAAGCTGGTGCACGCGTAATGCGTGGGATTGCTCTTTCATTGAATTTGCCATTAAATCATTTTGAATCAACATTTAATGATTCGTTTTGGGTAAAATCATAGTCCAAAGATTTGTTTTTGCACCTATCTACTTCGTTTAATATTAGGTTATTCGATGTATTCGTTATCCATCGGTATATCCAGAGGACATGAAATCACCAGAATATGGTCATGGATGTGGCGAACATGCCGATTATGGTTGGTTAACATTTGTTAATCAAGATCTTGATTCACGTAATTGTCTTCATGTTCGTACTAATGATACATCAAAAGCAACATACGTATCAGCTGATCCGATTGTTGTTGAAGAACAAATCGCTTTAACATGTAATATTGGTGATATACTTGCATTTATTACTAAAAATAAATATCGTTCAACGCGCCATTGTGTTGTTAATCCTGTTAAACCAGCTCGAGAACGTGTTTCTACTCCATTCTTTTTTGAACCAAATATTGATGCCAAATTACGTATTAATGATACAACTCCGGAATGTTATTATGGAGAATATTTAATAAATAAAGTTCGAAATAATTTCAATTATGATAATAATCAAACTCAATGATTATTTGATAAAATGTATATATTGATTTGTCTTATCAAGTCATTGAAAATTTGTTTACATCAACTAAATCCTAAACTTATTATTGAAGTTTTGTTTTCTAAAAATGAAAGCGATTCTCTTATTTTTTTTGTAATGCGACCGTATGTTTTTTAAGGTTTCATTGAATATGATTTGATTGATCAATAAAATATTTCATCAGATAACTAAAATATGGCACCATTTTGTTCTGCTAATTCTAATTACCAGTTTTTATCTTAGCGGGAATCTATTCTTTTCATATTGTTATTTTGAGCATCGGGTTTGAAAACTATACTATATAAATAATAGCTGATCTCACCGGGTGCATTTGTTTACGTAGTTGTAAACGAAATGAACATTGATTGATATGACGAATACTAACAAACGCTGACGCTGAGCATGGCAACTATCTTATGAAAAGGTCATAATAAAGAAGCCTACTTATTCATTAGTGCCGGAAGAACTCATAAATAACTGGTCTTCATCAAAGAAAACTACACTAGTCAATGACCTTGACTTCGATCTGTCCAGATTCTTGTTTTTCTTCAACATCAGACAAGATTCTTTTGTCATTCCTTCTGTACAAGATTCTTGCCTGAAAAAACAGATCTTGTCTTTCTGGCAAGCTTCTTGTGTTCTTGCAATCTTGTCTGATTCTTGTTTTCTTACAATTCTTGCCATTTTCGAACAAATTCTTGCAATGCAAATGAATTTCATTTAGGCATCCATACGGTTGCCTCCTTTCGGTCCTATTATATTTTAATTTCAAATAAAAAAGTGCAAGAAAAGCACATTACATGTGCAAGGAAATATACAATAAACTCGTAATACGTACAAAAAAAATTAAGAAAGAAAAGAAACAAAAAACACTTGAACAAAACTGTCTATTTAAAAAATATATCTGTTATAGTTCGTCCGCGTCATCTAGAAAAAAAAGAAGTAATATTCAAACTTCTGTATATTTATAAGTATATATATGTCGTATCGAAGTTACACCGGTCGACGAAGTTATAACTTCGACGCTCATAGCTATCGAAGTTATTGTTAATTCACTTATCAATAAATAATTTGCCAAAATGAATATTCTGATGCTGAATGTATGATAAAAAATTAAGTCTTTTCTAACAAATACTCATTTATTTGACGATATCGTTAAATAAATGAGTTTTTGTTAGAAAAAACTTAATTTTTTATCATACATTCAGCATCAGAATATTCATTTTGGTAAATTATTTATTGATAAGTGAATTAAAAATAACTTCGATAGCTATGAGCGTCGAAGTTATAACTTCGTCGATCGGTGTAACTTCGATACGACATATATATATATAATCATATTGTAACATTTGCGTCGCTTTCACGTATATTTATTAAATGCCTGACTATAAAGCAAAATTCGATCAATCATGATTAAATAAATTGGATAGTAATGAAAATTCAGCAAAAACGTAGCTGAAGCTAGGCTCATCGTAAACAACATTTATTTATACAATATGTCGTACTAGTGATCTAGACTGTTCTAGCAAAGGTTGGAAAGCTGTTGAACAGCACATGCAAAATGAAAAACTCAAAAATAATTTAAATTCTTTGAAGAATAGCTCACAACTTACCTTTTCAATATCGGTAACAACATCTTCCACGTCGTCTACACATACTATTCAACTAGTTGATCCTAATAAAACTTTGTTATTCGATGATCAAGTATCACAAACTGAAATTTTATGGGCGCTATAATCTGTTCAAAATGCATCTTTCTAAAGTACCCAGGTGAAAGAAGACGGCCCGTAAACGGCCTGAAACGGCCTAAAAACGATGTATAACGTTAAAAAACGGCGCCGTTTTCCGTCAGCTCGGAAAACGAAGAGAATAGTGTTGAAAACAATGGCCGCTTTCTAGCAAAAAAAAACAGTCCGTAAAACGAGCTGACGGATTACGGCGAAATAGGGTGAAAATTAGTGCCGTTTTATGTCGTTTTATAGCAGTTTCAGGCCGTTTCCGATGGCCTTCCAGACGGCAGGATGATCCTCCTGGGTAGACATTAAATAGAACCGATAGTCTGTCGAATGCATGTCATTTTTCCTAAGCACGAATATTTCTTGTAGGGTCGAAGGCTGAAAAAAATTCTCTCTTTCTTGAAACTAATTATCCTCGTTTTTCCTCTTTTTTTCTAAAATGCTTGGTGGGATGGGATGCCAGCATATTGGAAATACAAAGAATGATGGAGAAGTCGACAGAATGAAGACGACGATAATATTTTGCAATACTCATTAATCACAAATATCGAGAAGAATATTTCTAGATTTGGTGAGTATACAAAAGATGTTACTCATGTATTTTTTTACACATTCATCTTTCTATTGAACGGTTTCGAGTCAATTGCAACTGTCTTTGCATTTAGGTTTTGTTTTTTGTTGAATTTGATTAAGATCTCTTGTCTGATCTTAAATTGGTTTTAATAGACAAAGAGATTCACCAGTAAATCGATCACTGAATTTGTTTTTGCAAATCATTGTAATTTATTTCAACAATCGACTCTTTAAATTGATAAAATGACCGTATCAAATTCAGAGTATCGATATAACACAAGACGATGTAAACGGTCCGTTGTTAATATATTTTACAATGATAGGCACAAAAAAATATATCGGTAAAATTTCTCATCTGAATCATGTTAAGTATTTGAAATACTTTTTACTAATTAAGATGTGCTTTTCTTTTTTTATTCTAGTTGAAGTTTATTGTTTCAAAAAATCTCCTTACTTCATCAAAATGACAGATTACTAATACAACAATAGATCGATATTTACATGCTGAAAAAGCGCTTCCCCCCTCTTTATATTTTTCATTTTGATAGAAAATAAACAAAAACAAAAATTGTCATATTAGATTTTTCCTTGATGCTAAAACAAATGTTACGTATAACATAAGAAAGTACATCATTCATATCTCCATGTGGTACAAATAGAACTGTAAAAGGATGAAGAAAGAAAAATGACATTGGATTATTCCAGTATTCTTTTTTTGTCATATCAATCGATAATTATGTATGCTACGTGCATAAACAAGATAAACAGAGCTCAGTAGTTTTAGCCACACGTATGTCAAGGGTAATGCTTTATTGATTTTAGCAAAAGAGTGTGAAATTCTGTATAATGTAAGAATGCATAACGATTATCTTTTCTATATGGCTATACCACTTGTAGCTCTAAAGAGATTAATTGTATTAGTCCATATCCTTTATTAGCGTCTGGCAATTCTCATAGAAAAAAAAACGTGTAACTAATATAATGAGAGAAATTGTCAGTTTCCCTAGCTACTTTTGTTTTTAATGCGGTGCGCAGCACAGTATTCTTGTAGTCCGTCGCGAGTTTTCTTTTGCTTTTACTTTCTCGACGTACGCATCTTTTTTTATCATTTTTTTCTTTCTAACTTGAGTGCGCATAAAAAATTTTCGTTATGTGACGCGATGATCTACAGAACCGTAAATGATAGAAAATCCATGCAAACTAGATATGAAAGTTTCAAGATCGAACTTGCTACATTTTGTTTTCAAATTTTCAATACTAAGTTTCGTTCGCCTAAAAATATCATTCAAAAATGATGATTTTGTAAGGTTTTTATCGTTAGAGAGTATCAAGATAATAAAAAAGATGTCATCAAGCAATAGTAGCCAATAGTCTATTTCTTCGCACTTGATATTAGATAGTGAATCGTTGAAATAATTTAATGTTCAATCAAAAGCATTCTCTAGGATTATGGTGATAATCACGAAAAAAACGTTTTCTCAGCAATGAATTCTATTACGATTATTTGAGAAATAAAAAAGAAATGTAATGATTTTTTGTTTTTTATTACAACTGCTGAAGACAGGAAAATGTGTATATTCCAAGCGAATATGAAACTAATCAGGTCAAAACGATGTCTAATTAATTTTAAGATTGCTTGTTCCTTGTCCGTGAAATTTTTTATTTTTTCGTGTACTCGGCTCGTGCTTCGCACCGCATTTCGTATACGAGTGAAACTCAAATACCATCTAGTTTATATCTGTTCTATGTCATTTTTATGGTTTATATTGTCAAAACTATATGTATATGTAACTAGTTGATATTTGCTCTTGCTATCAAACAAACGATTTTTTTTAGATCGAAATGGCACGTGCAAAAACATGTTGCTTCAACTTCTGTAAAGAATTTAAGGAGTATGAATTCGAATATTTAATATCTTTCGATATTTAATATCGTTTATATTATATAGTTTTGCTACGCGAGGCAATGTATTGGATTTAGCTATTGGCATCGTTGTTGGTACAGCATTTACTAATGTCGTCCAATCATTAGTTGATGATATTATTACACCTCCGTTAGGTTTAGTTTTGGGCGGCGTTGACTTTGCGAATTTAACAATTAAAATGAATAATTTTGTTTATACAAATCAACCACCAGTTGTCATTCGTTATGGAAAATTTCTTCAAGCGATTCTTAGTCTATTAATTGTAGCAATGGCACTATTTTGTATTATCAAAGGTGTAAATCACATATATAAAATATCGACTAAAAAGAAAAAAAAACATGAAGTCGAATCGATCATCGAAGCAAGTGAAGACATTAAACTGTTACGTGAAATTCGAGATCTGTTAGCTGGTAGAGCATATATACAAGCAACAACTATTCGAATATAATTTTCCGGCAATGTTTTTATGTATTATATTACTACGAAAAATCTAGATTGATTCATGCGTATATTTCATCTATTTTTATTCGATTGATAAAATACTTCTTAGTTTTAAAATAATGTTTGATATCTACTAAAAAATAAATCAATGAATCTTTTCGTCGATGTATTGCCTTAAGAAATGACCATAGTGTTGATTCATCACTCTGATACACCTGAAGATTTAAATGAACTATTTTTAGAAATCAATATAAGCCCTATAAATTTGATTAGAAAGTTTTGAAGAAGAATTTATCTATGAACATAAAGAATAAAAATTAATTCTTGCATTATGCTCACTTCACGGAAAGATACATCGAACCCTTCTCATATGTAAGTTGAATTTTGTAAAGTCTATATTATAGATAACACACGTTCTCGTTTCAGAAAATGTCCTGGTTAAAATAAATTTGTCCTTCAAGATTAATTTTGCCATTAGACAAAATTTTTAATATCGATCAATCGTCTATTGACTATCTTTCTTTTGTTCAATCAACAGCGACTATCTCGTTGTCATACAACGCGAAAAATTGATCCAAAACATGGATTAACTCAATTGGGAAAAAAACGAAACATAGATAATCAATCGATCTATGAAAAGTCATAAAGAAAAAGTTTCAAAGAATCCAAGTTAGTCCCATTTCATGAAATGAATCTCACCAGACGTGCTTGGAATTAATCACATAAATTCCAAATAAAAGTATCTTTATCATGAACAGAAATATGGCAAGACGCTACATCTCAATCTTCATTTGTTTTCTGCTTCGATGTTGATACAAATGTAAAGCATTAAGTAATACAATATGACAAGTGCATTCAAGTTTATATGTTAATGACAGACTCCGTAGCGACCTGAGTGCACAATATAGGTAGGATAGGATTTTGACGACAGAATTTTTACACGATTGCTAGAATAATATAGGAAATATATACGATCGATTCTTTTAGTAAAATACCCCGGATAACAGATTTTATCATGTTGAGATATTCAAGATAAGGAAATTTGATGCAAAAAAAGCAAATTATAACAAAACAATGTATGTGCTTCATGTATTATTTATCTTCATGAAAATAATATGAAATAGAAACATAAGAAAAAAGTATAGAAAAACGCATTGAAAATTTTGTATATGAATAATATGTAGAAGCGTGTTCTGTGGTTATTCTCTTTAAATAAATAAATAAAACAAACTGCATAAAGAAAACTCACAAATACGTAAATTATGAATTGGAAAATCGTTTAACGTAAGATTAGTATTTGAATCAGTTTTCGTTTTTGTTTCTTCATTGTTTGCTGTTTATTAAATGCAAACTTTATTTTATTTTCAATATCAGCTAAGTCCTCTGTAACTTTCAATAGTTGCTCAATGATAACCTGACTTCTATTATCATCACTATTAATCAATATAGTAGCTTTCTCAATATCAAGATTATCCTTCTTCTTAATGAGCCTTATTTCCATTTTGCCTGTGTCGCAGCATGATTTGATCTCTAATTTCATCTGGCGGCCTTTTTCCTTTGATCTGTGACCAAAAATCGAAATGGGAAGCAGGCTCATTGCTTTTAGTATCTTTTGGTATGAATTGATATTGCACAGTAAATAAAATAAAAATATTAATCTAGAGAAAAACATTGTTGTACACTTTGCAATAGGAATTTTTCATCTGATTTATGATCAAATTCCAGTCTTGTGCAAAATTGCACACAAAATGTATTCATCAGTCACCTGTGAATGATAATACAAACAAAACGAGCAATCCCATAGTAAATATGTCGATAGATATAAAATAGGAACATCGTGTCACTAGCTCCCATTCCTTTTCTTTTTATGGAAGTAGCGAGAGCAAGCATATGTCACAGGAGAAATCTAAAATATTAATGTTAAAATTTCAACTTTATTGCTGACATTTCTAGGGAGATTTCACTTTTTTCTGAATTTGATTGCTTCTGCAATATATATATATATATATGCGTTTGTACTGCTCGCAAATATACCAAGACACTTATCTGTATCAGTAATAGCAAATAAGATCCAAAGAAGGTTTCATCTTCCACTAATGAGAAAATTTTGTTTTTGGTAACACAGACACATGTTACAATAACGACAAACTGTGGAAAGACTAATAATATCAGTAGGACAAGTCGTCGTGTTCTAAGCTCTGATATTGTATACAAAAGTAGAATTCATATCTATTCACCACTGATTCTGCAGTTTCTCGTATATAACTTTTCATGCCACATAAACATAATTCGTAGTCATCGATTTTTAGAACAATACAACATAGATTTCAATATTTGATTTCTCCACATTTTAGAAAAGAAAAAATTTATTAGTTTTTCGTTCAAAAAAAAGTTCAGGCGGCAGTAGAAGCATATGCGTATAGATAGAAATGAAAACGGCTACCAAAACGGCTGTACACAGTAATGATCTGCTAATCAAAAGAAAAAAAAGCACTACATGCTGAAAAATAACTCGTTGAGTTCAAAGGGAAGAAATACAATACAAACGAGAAAGGAAAAACGGTGTAATAAACACAAATTGAGTATTCGATAATTATTTTCTTAAAAAAAAACAAGCAGATAATACAAACATACGTATACAAACAGAAGACTAATATCGAGTAAAATGTAACAATAAACAGAGCGAAAAAAGTCAACTCGGTTTCGATGATTTATGAATGAGAGAAAAACATGTCAATGATTCATTGTTTATGTTAAGATACATGACGAGATTCAAAAGAAAGACAACATACGAACTTGAATACATGCTGAAAATTGCACACAGAAAAAAAATACATATCCAACATGTATTTTTGACTTTTTTTCGGAGTTGGTCTTCATTTCTTGACTCGAGAACGGCCTTTCCGGGCAGGCTTGTCTAGATAATGGACGAAAAAAATATTATAAAAAATCAACAAAAAAAAACGTTTAGTTATCTTTCACCTAGTAGAGGACTGTCACTGTCTCGACGCATACCACCGACACCTTGTGTCGCTTGATTCGCTAATTTGGAAGCATATAAATTGGCTTCTTCTTGAGCTTTACCAATATTTTTTTTATATCGAATACGTTTGTTACCAAACCAATTACTAACCTGAAGACAAAAAGAAATTAAAATAATCTGATCATGAAATTGAAAAGAATTCATATGGTTGGAAACAAAATTTCTCGAACGTTGTCTAACAAAACACTATCATCTGAAATTCTAAATGACTCACTATGCAGTAGTCTATTCGAATCAAGAACTTAAATAAAAAAAACTCATACAAGTTGATCACAGTTTTCTCCCGAATGATTAGATCAAGTGGAAAAGTGTAAGGTAGGCATCTTGTTATACTGACAATATTGATTTACAATCAGAATCATCGTGTGAACTCCAGTCATCATGTTGTCATTCGATTTTTTCAAATAAAACGTAGTCAGATGTCTATGAGATTCAACAATCAGAATCTCTCATTTATTTTTCGACGATTAGAGGTCAACTTTCTGTAATTCACTCCAAGTTTACAATATTCAGATATTCTATCTGGACTTGTATTAACTAGAAAATACGATTCTACAAATTCAAAATATGTAGGACTAACACAGCACTTCGTTATAAAATTTTACATGACGAAAATCGCTTTTCATGTGTGTTAGTCTCTCAAATAAGGTATGGCAGTTTAAATGATTTTTCGTAAATTACTTACTTGTGATACACTAATACTGCATTTTCTAGCAAGGTCTTCTTTTGCTTCTTCACTTGGATATGGATTTGATAGATGTGAATAGAAATATTCATTGAGAACTTCAGTAGCTGTTTTACTAAAATTACGGCGTTTTCGTCTGTAAACAAAAAGCAAAAGCGTCGAATCCAAATGCCTGTACATATCTTCATTAAATAAATTCTATTTACCGAGCATCAAGAAACCGTGAACGAAGTATCATAACTGCTTCACATGTACTTTGTTTGAGTTGTAATTGAATCGAGGAAAATTTCTTTCGAATAATCATTACCATTCGATCGATTTCTCTCGGTGAAATAGGTCGTGCACGACTCTGTTCTCGTAATAGATTAATAACATGACTGGTAAAATCATTACATGCTTGTTCCTATTAATCAATGAACATTAAAAAAAATCCTATTTGATCTATACTTTTATACAACATACATATTTTTCTAGTTCACTATGGTAAAGTTGACGAATTTGTGTTAATTTAGCGCGATAATCACCATGTTCAAGTGCTGAATCATCATTAATACTAGCAGCTGCATTAGCACTTCGTGCAGATGATGATCCGCCTGTTCTTTCTGGTCCAGCAATACCTATGAAAATGATCAGAGAGCTATTTTTATGGCGAGAAAATTCATAATTTCTACCTTCAGCTATTAACATATTATCAAGACGCATTAATTGTGAATCAGGTGGTTCTTCGTCTGGTAAATTTCGAGTATTAATCGCTAAATATTTTTACAAGCAAAATATACTTAGAAAAAAAGAGAGTAAAAAGCATTTTCAATAAACCTGTTTTTTCTTTGATTTCACATAGTACTTGAAAAAACGCTGGTTTAAGGCGACTTTGATTAAATGCATGTTTTCTAGAGAAAAAAACAAATAGAAAACAAGCTCTTTTTCTTAAAATAAATGCAAACCTGGCTTGAGCTTCATCAAGACTTTGATCAACAATTGACATTATTTGTTGAAGCATTCCATTTAAATCATTAAATGGTTTACTTTCATTAATACTTGTATCGTAAAGATTATATTTTACATCAGACGATGACAAGGACAATGGTGGTGGGGGTGGTAGTGCACCTAAGGACATCATTGGATTGTAATGTGATGGTGGTGGAGGTGGCATCCCTTGACCATAACCTTGATCTTGACCATCCATTATCTTATTATCAATATGTCGGACACGGATAATCAATCAAATAAATATATACTTTAAGCCTGACCTATTGACTTATTAGTTTTTTTCCTTTTCTTTCCAATCCATTTTTTATCGTACCGTAACAAAGAAATAAATAACATATTTTCATTGGTTCATTCGTTCTGCATTGGTGTGTTATTAATGAAGCCAAAAGCATACGTTTATTATTCTAGCTATTGAATGAAAATACTCGTTTGTAGGTACAGAACTTTTCGAAGAATCTATAGATTTACCTAACTGTGATGATGAACGGTTCATATGATACTTCTAAATTTGTTGTCCGTCTTCGTGGTTTGCCATGGAATACAAGTCAAAGTGAAGTGATAAAGTTTCTAGGGGGTAAATTGACGAAAATAAGCATATAGTTGATTTTCTTATGTGCTATGAATTAAATAAATTCAGGTTGTAAAATTCGACGACTACAATTCGTAACAAATGATCAAGGTCGATCAACTGGTGAATGTTTTGTGATTCTTGAAACAAAAGAAGATGTCAATTTAGCGAAAAGCTTCGATAAAAATATGTTGGGAACTCGTAAGTAGAATTTCATAATCAATAATATTTATATGACTTGAATGATTCTCTATTTTGTTTTACAAAAAAAGGTTATATTGAAATATTCGAATCTAATCATGATGCAATGTCTGATATGTTGAGAAAATACAATAGTGATTATAATGCGAATCATCCGCCAAATCCAGAAAATAATTTGTCAAGTAATGATAATTGGCAAGAACCTGCTGTTCGTTTACGTGGCTTACCGTATCATGCAACGAAAAGTGATATCAGCAAATTCTTTGATGGTACGCAGAGATTCGTAAATAAAGGGAAACAGTAGAGAAGGAGATTTGATTGTCTTTTTTGAAGTTTGGATGTTTCCTTTCGGTTTTTTAAGGAGGAAAATGATTACTTTTTTGTGTATTTTTGGGATTCAATCACCTTGTAGGACTCGACATAGCTCAGAATGGTATTCACATCTCCTCGAGCAAACCAGCAGGCGAGGCTTTCGTCGCTTTTGTGAACATGGACAATGCCCTACGAGCTTTGGAATTCAACCGCATGAATATGGGGCATCGGTACGGTAAACAGTCCGTGAAAAAAATATACCCTCCCACTTTCTATTTTGTTTGGTCCGGAAAAAATAATTCGTTTCATCATATAATTAATCGAATTTCGTTTTTTACTTCTAAACTTTCAAATCAAAATAACTTCGAATTCCTTGACATGTCCCGTGGATTTTCTGTAAATTCAACTCCCTATTGAATAGTTATTTTCCTTATATTATCGTGTGTTTGTTTTACTTGCTACTCAACTAGTTATATTGAAGTATTCAAATCAACTTATGGTGAAGCACGTGCATCAATTCTTAACGATACACAAATGATGGTACGACAAAAAACGGGCGGTCCAGTGCAACGACAAGGAAGTGATACAAATAATACTGGAAATAATAATAATAATAATAATAATAATAATAATAATAATAATAATGATAATAGTTGTAATATTAATCAATACAGTAATATTCCACCAGCTTCAAATAATTATAATATAGATACAAGAAATGGAAACAATTATCCAATGGTTCATAATGAAAGTGGACCTGTTAAACGTAAGATAGATCGATTTAAAAGATTAACAAATAAAAAGCAAAATATGAAATTATAGGATCATTGTGTGCATCGTTTACAATGAAATTACGTGGTGTACCATTTGAAGCTACTGAACAAGATGTTTATGATGTAAAACAACAATTATAATAATGCTTACGGTTCTTTTTATCTCTCACCTATGTTCTAGTTTTTCAATCCGATTATGCCGATTCGAGTTGAACAGGAAAATGCTGTACGTATTAGGGCAAGCACATGGTACGTTGAATTTGGTTCGCGTGAAGAAGCAAATGAAGCCATGACGTAAATATTTCTTTTGTTTTTAGTTATATTTTTTCAAAACAAATTTCGTTATTATTTTAGATATGACAGAAAATATATGGGATCACGATATATTGAATTGCTACCATTGTATGATGATAGTACACGATCGAAAAGGAATCGTAATTAAACACGATAAAAGGAAGAGAAAACGAGTTTTCATAATGCGCCGTTTATATAGACTGCTTTTGTGTTCTTTTTTGAATATTTTCTTTTTTATTTAAATCGAAACAAAATTTTTAACAGTAACAAAAAATTTTATATGGCTTAGCGATTCTTTGTTAAATATTTCAAAATCAATCAAAGGATTACCACCAGACAAAAACAAAATTGAACAATCGATCAACATTCCATTCTTTTTCCTCATGCATCAATGCTTTGTCTTTAATATAGTATATATATGATTAAATATTCACACGAAAGAGGAATATTGAATAAAATTGCTCAAAATTTCATTTGATTAAAAATTAATCTTTATAAGAAACAGAGAAAGACGAGAATACTATTCAATTATTCACCATTAAGATTGTTTTCCAAGCAGTGAACATATTTAACTATATGCAAACTTGTATTTTGAATAATCACGAATAATTATCTCGATTCGAAGAGTATATTATTTCATGTATGGATTGCTTCCGCCTGGTAGGCTAAATTAACTTTAGTATATTCGTTTATTTTAATATTAGGTAATCAGAAATTTTGAATTTGAAATATTCAATTCGATCAGCGAAAGGTTTTCTTGATATCGAATGAAATAAATTTTTTATTTATTAATTACTCATAGAAGCATATTGATTGACTGAGCGAATTCCTCTATGGAATGATAATTTTAATACGTCTAAGAGCTTTGCTAACCAAATGCTCAATTTTGTAATCACTACTTAACATCTGTTTTGTTTAGTCACTTTAATTTTAATAATGACTATATACTGTTCTTAATACAAGATAATCAATGTAGAATTACTAGTTCTATGACGACAATTTTCTACACAGCTGGCTTTGCATAATTATACGACTTCATTAGTCATTCATCTGCAAAATATATATTGTCCAATCTGATGAATAATCCAATACGTGTGTACTGTTCATTTATTTGCGTAAGTCTGTCTAGGCAATATTATTCTATGGTGTTGTTTAATATTTAAATAATTCACTTGAACAAAGAGTTCCGCGCGTTCTTTTTTTTTAATATGATCTGAAATATCAAATGAATAACGACTTTACTGGTTTGTTTGAAATGTAGAGGCTATATGGAATGTCTAATTGCTTCTGAAAGGGCATCTACACCCTTCAATGCCCTTGCATATACATAGAATGCTAATGAACTATTCTTTTACGTCGAAAAGTTATTTACCGGACGATCAAACAAGCCTGTTACTGTCGATCATCATAAAAAAATGTGCTCAATAGGAAAAAAATAGAAAATAACATCAGAAAGATGAAGAAAATCGAATAGACGAATATTGTTATTAATATACCTCAAGGAAAGATAAATAATGCTGAATATAATCAAGGATAAAAAGATATATGTATTCTTCTATGATTACAAACGCAGTAGGCCTGTGTTCTATCACTGATTGTCTGTTTATCACTAAGTCTATGCGAATACGTATATTCATTCTTGATAGTAATGGAGTATAAGTGCTTCTCTTTCTATGTATGATTGACGGGCTTCCATGGCTTGCCATGATAGTAACGTTCAAGACGACATTGCATCTATTTTCTAATAATGACTTCATTCGTCAACATACATAAACATAAAGACTTTTATCTATTATAAATGAGAATATGCGATACAAGTAAAGATGTGCACCCCCTGCTGTGACCTCGTATTATAGGCAATACTTCTATATATAAATATATATATATATATAAGCATATGATTTATGCTTACGTCATGATCTTTGTCTTGATGCATATTCGCGTTATGAGTCCATTGAGCAGTGAAGCAAGTCATCCATTTACTCATCTAACAGGCAACAAATAGCATAAGCCATCATCGTTATTAGCTATCCACATGTATATTTAAGTTGCGTTTCTCCACCCATTTTCTTTTTCCTTCTCTTTGTCTAGTTAAAACATAATGCAATAGGGAACAAATAAAGACAAAAGAAAAACGAGATGATTGACCGTACGTAGAGCTATAACAATATAACCTGATCGATGTGAGTAGCACACACATTTTCTTAGACTGTATTTGCCAAACAATGGCGATTTATGTATCAATGAATGACATAATTTTTAATGGCAATAATCATAGTCTTAGGTTGACGTTAAATGCACACATCTGTCATAGCGATAAGATCTACTCACTCTATCGTATCTTTTTATTCCATTCTTTCTTCGCTGTTTTGTTTTATTGAAGACAATTTTAAACGATATTTACTAATCGGCGTTCGATACGGAACGGGAAAGAAAGAGAAAGTGAGGATGAAGAACGAATAGCAGATTTATTTTTGTGTGAGACGGCTTAGAGAACGATTAGTCGAGGAAGAATAAAAGAAGAGAAAGAAGAAGAAGGAGAAGGAGAAGATGTTGACCTGTGAGATCACGTCATCCTCAACTTGGCTACCGATGGTCGTTTTTTTCTTCTCTCTCTCTCTCTCTCTCTGTTTTTCTCTCTCTCTCTGTCTATTTCTTTTCTCCTTTTTTTGTCGATTTGGTTTTATTACTATCGTTACCATCACCTAACCATTTGGCTTTATTTACCCACTCGTTGTGAGAATTAATCATTCTTACTTTTGTCAACACCAATCAAGTGATAAAATAGCTCAACACCTATCTACATGACTATAACAGGTAGTTATTTAACTCGACATCAATGTCTATTTGAATAAGGATAAATATCGTTGATTTATTATATCCAATATATATATATATCTTTTAGATCGCTTGAATGGAATGAACGATGTCATAGGTAAAAAACTTACAACTGATCGTTCATTTGTGGTTCCTGATTTCAATGCCGCCGACGAAGACAGGTAGATAAATGAAATCGTTTTGATAACAAGTTCATTGATTTCCTTTTTTTTTATTAATAGTTGGCTTTTTGAAGATTTCAGTCGTGATGATGCAATTAATACACTACAGACTCAATTGGATGGTACATTTCTTGTACGTCCCAGTGGAACTATAAAAGGTGACCTTGTTCTTTGCGTCAAGTATGTTTAGTAAACTAATCTTTTTTACATATATTAAATGTAGTTCTTTCTATATGTTAGAGAGGGCTCAAAAGTAAGTCATTATATAATCAACGTAACACAAGAACCATCTCCAGCAATATATAAAATTGGTGATAAAACATTTTCAAGTATGAAAGAGCTCTTAACGTTCTACAAACAACGATTACTAGATACATCACCACTTGTTCGCATCGTAAGTTATTTACTTAATTAATGAAAAAAAGAAACAAGTTGTTCTACGAAGTATTCATTTTTAATAGCACCCAAAATTACGAGTACGAACAAAATACAAATTCGATGGAAAAGTAAAAGAAATAATAGTTCTATTGATTGATATGAACAACAAATTGGTATTTCTTTTTTCTTTTCTTCTGTATTAATAGGATGAAGAAGATTTGCCGTTTAAGAAAGGACAAATTTTAATGATTATTAAAAAAGTCGAACCATTATGGTGGTTTGCAAGGAATAGTGCTGGAGATACAGGAATGATTCCAGCGAATTATGTTGACTATATTCAGTAAGTAAATAAATGAATAAATTTGGTTGCACTTTTTCGATTAAAACTTTTTCTTTTTTTAGAGATGAGGTTTAATTATTTGATTTCTTAAATTACCGTCATAGTTTTGTTTTTGACAAAAGAAAAAAGAAGAAAAGACACAGTGACAATTGTATATATAAATATGTAAGATTTTAATAAATATCATGTAGTATGACTTATTTCTATTTATCATCTTTCATTCTGATTGTAAAGTTTAATAATTTTCATACTAAATTGAAAAATTATCTTTACAATATTGAGTTTCAATTTATGAACAATACGTTATCTCTTTATTGTTTTGAACAATGATAAAGTTTGATCTTTCTACTTCAATCCAATATTACAAATAGATTAAGTAACATTTATATGATAATGCATCACTATAAGCAAATTTCTATGAAGAAAGATCGTGTCAATAGGGATTTAATCAATTATTAGTTATTGAAAATATTCACGCCCTGAAAAAGGACAGTTGACTACGTCACTATCTGCATTAATTGACAGAACAGAATATTATGATCTAAGATCGACAGATGTTCGAAGAAATATTGCTTTAACCCTCCGGAGAGTTTTGGCTTACACACACATATAATATCAGCATATTTCAACAACTGCCAGCTACAAAATATATATATATATAGTAGTTAACCACTTAGTTCATAATCCAATTCAAGTAATCAAGAACGGAATAATTATTGAACATTACTTCCTGTATATCTATCTATCACAATATGAATATTCATGGATGGCACAAGCATTTTTTTCTGTTTTTAATGAAGGGATCTTTGCGACTCTTCCAAGGAAATTTATTTTATGCTAACAGCATCTGCTATCTATGTCACGTAGTGTACGTCAACTGTATGAGAAGCCGATATGAATCTTTCGATTATTTGAAAGCCCGCACAAGGCGAGCGGAGGAAAAATTAGTCTATAAGACTCATTGAATTATTCCGAAACACAGAAATCTTTAGTAAAAGGCGAAAGATTTTCGTGTGATTGTTCCGGAATCAGAGTTAACATTACACAGCTAGTCATTATCTATATAAAGCATGAACGAACGCAAAAATTGCACAGTAGATGTATTCATTCACAAATCGATGAGTCATTACTTTCGCCCTTTCTGTTCAACACGTCGAATGACTTCGTAATATATCATGATGTACATTAACCTCATCGGAAAAGTCAGGTCGTGAAAAGAATAATAAACCTTGTTGAATCGGATGTTGTTGATCAATTTGCATATTTCGTCTCGCACGTTTGTATAAAAGATATTTTATTCTATCATTCATTAACATGTATCCTAATTCATATAATTGAATCGATCGATAGATATTGGATGTCCACGATAGAACAAGATTTGTACTTGTCCAACAGATAGCTGTTAATGTACTAAATATTAGAATATCGATTGAAAAAGTTCGATAATTAGTTATCATTGAACAAAATGAGAACGAAGAAAAACTTATTATGAAATCAAATTTCTATAGTAACAAATTCATTTTATTTTATTTTCCTGAGCTTTGCTATTTTTTTGCACTCTTTAGATGTAAATATCAGACAAGCGTAAGAATAATGTAATCAAACATTGCAAATACTAATGATTAATACAGAAAAAATGTACAATAAAAAGAAGAAAAAGAAAAAAACGATTTTTACGGCGTAGCCAATTGTTGCTTTTCAGCCAATTGACCTTGCATTTTTGTGAGCATATCTTGCATTCGTCGAAGCTGAAACACAGTAAAACTTCAGCTCAGCAAAAAAACAGTCGTGTAATAAAAGTTTACCTCATCATCTTTTTCTTTGATTAATTTCTTCTGCTGTTCATCAACATCCGTATCATTCGTACGTAATTGTTTATTCTTCGGTTGAAGTTTTTCTGAACGATAATTCTCATAATGAATTTCATGTGTTACTTCTTGTAAATCTTGCATATGTGTTCTAAATCAAAAAACAGAATGATATTTTCTTGAAATAAATTGATTTAAATCATACATAAGCATTGTTCGAAGTTTAATAAAGTCACAATGATCGGCATTTTCTACTTCAACTAGACCCCATGGATACATTCGACCACGTACTTTTTTTCCTTTAACTTCAAGTGTTTGTGCTGATGATATAACTGCAAATGGTACAGCATTTTTCAATTTTCGATTTTGTTCTTTAAATTCTTCATCTTCATCCGAATCACACTCAGGTATTTGATAAATTTGAATATGATGATCGCGGATTTGCTCAAGAATCTAAATTAAATTAAAGTTTTGTACTCAATCTGCAAGCGAATTTATTTTGAGAATGACTCAGAATGTGATAGGGAACAGTTTTTTTCTTATACATACGTTTTGTTTCATCTGAGAAAGTTCATCAGGTGTAAGTGCATCAGCTTTTGCAATTATTGGTACAATATTAACTTTATGATGTAATTGTTTCATACATTCAATATCTAATGGTTTGAGTCTAGAAAACAAAACAAAACAAAATTTAGTTAAGAGAACAAATGAATTTTTCGAAATAACGTACCCTCGAGTAAAGGACGAAATAAAGTAGAAAAGACAATGGACACGATTATCGGATATATTTCGACGATTAAGACCACTTTCGTCGTTTAAATAACGTTCGAATTGATTATCAATATAGTTAATGATAGATTTATAACAATCAGTTGTATTGATACTATCTCCATAGCCAGGTGTATCAACAACTGTTAAACGTACTTTAACACCACGTTCCTCGATTTCAACAGTTGAAGCTTCAATTTTGACTCCTTGATGAATTTTTTCTATGAATCGTAGAAAAAAAAATAGAAAGAAATACCGATGAATAAAAAAAAGTAAACCTTGAGCAGTAGGTATATGACGTTCTGGATAAAGATCGGTTAAGAATAAACTATTGATTAATGTTGCTTTACCAAGGCCACTTTCACCTAAGTAAAATAAACATTGATGTAAATGAATTTTTTGGCAACAAAAATATTTTTGACATACCAACAACCATTAGTGTAAACTCGAAACCACGTTTAGCTATTTTTCGATGAACTTGATTTGGTAAATTAGCAAAGCCAACAAAACTTGATGTTGCTTCTGAACTTGCATATTGATTACCCTATTCGAAGAAAAAAATAAAATTTGTAAGATAGATTTTCTATGGAAATGTTTTTTCATCAATGAGAATATCTAGTAAGACTTCTATTGAAATTGAAATAAAAAAGTTAATCTATTCTTCATACATTTTTCTCTTACTACTCAACCGTTACCTGAGGTAGTAGTCAAACATATGATTTGTTTATAATTGAAATTTATTTGTTCATCAATCTCAAACTTTTTTTTAAATCAAAGTGATACGTAGAAAAATCTTCAATTCGAGATATCATAATCAGATAAACATATTTATAACAATCGTAATACTCACATTAGTATCTTTTTGTTGCGATCGTGAGCTGGCTGTTGTACTCATTTTAAATGGTTGGGATTATTCGAAATGGCACCGTCAATCAGTTGATCGATTATTGTCTATTAATATGATCTCACATAATCCAATCAATAGCCAATGAGTGATAATCCAATGAAAAACAAAAGAATAAATAATAAAAATAAAAAAACTAGATAATTATTGAGTTCAATTAATTTTTTTAAAATTTTATATTAATTATTTTCCCTTCATTGGTTTATTTTCGACCAATAAAAAAAATCAGTTCAAGTGTGTGTCAACAACGCACTACAGTGGCACCAGTACGATCAACTGACTGGATTACTACTTGCAAATTAATTACGAAAATGTTTATTTCATATAAATGTGTGGTTTTGTCAAGATAATTATCATTCTCTAGGTAAGATAAAGAATATAGGTAGCTTATGAAGGAAAAAAAATTCTTAAAGGCTTAATCTCTAAAAGAAAAAAAGTATTATGGAAGTTTTTCTATTCATGAAAAGAAGGATTTTAACATATTCAAGATGATGTGATATATGGTTTCATCACAAGAAACTAATAATTTGAATGCAAAGAGACATGCTTATTTTTATGATAGAGAAGTATTCTACTCGAAAGAGACGTATGAATAGACATGAAGAAAAAACGTACTGCAGAGGTTTCTCTCTATATGTATGTTAATAGTTACTCTTTTAACATAACATTTATTAAACTTCATTTATTACTGAAAAAGAAACATACATCATACTTAATACAAATACATTAAACATATCGAATTTCTCTCCATACCATAAATAAGCCATAGTTCGCATCACTCTTAACTCTTACAAATAATATATATTTAATTGAAGTACTATTTGATTTATCACACTATCTCTCTGTCTGTCGCTTTTAGCTAAATAATGCAACAACAACGTCGACGTCCACCTGTTCCAGCATCACCTATAGCGATGAATAATAATTCTAGTCGTCCAATACGTCAATCAAGTCGAAAGTAAATGAAATTAAAAAGCATCTACTCTGAGTTTAACTTTTTTTTATCTTGAATTCACAAAGATTCCAAGAGTTTTTCTAGTTATGAAATAGACTGCTGGTATCAATTCATTTTTCTTTTTTAGCACGTCAATGACGTTGAGTCCGTGTTCTGGTTGTTCTCAACTAATGTATAATCCATTATTATCGAATGTTCTTGATCGTTTATGGCATCCTGATTGTGTTCGATGTTTTGCATGTCGATGTGTACTCAATGAGCAATGTTATTCACGTGAAGGCAAACTTTATTGTAAAGATGATTTTATTAAGTAGGATAAAGATAATTTTCTTCAGTAAAAATAGAATCTATAGAAACAAATTCTTTCTTTTGTTTTTCAATATAGAAAATATATTCATCGTTGTTTTTCTTGTCAAAATATAATTCAATCTCATGAATTTATTCGTCGCGTTCGAGCAGGTCGAATTTATCATGCTGGCTGCTTTATTTGTTTGAAATGTAAACGAATATTACAAGATGATGATATTGCGTCATTAATACCATCGGATGGTTCACCAATGAATGATTTAGATTATCTATGTCAAACATGTTCAAAGTCAAAGAATAAATTAGTCAAATCTTCGATAGGAACAGCGCCATCATCGAATGCAGATGAAGGTTTATTCTATTATAAATATTACAAAATAACGTTTTTTTTTGTCTTGAAATTTCTCTTTTCTAGAAGAAACAACCGATAGTGAAAATTCAAATACAACAAACGGAAAAGCACTAACGAATGACCGACAAGTCTCACCTACAATGCATATCGATGCTTTGCCAGCTGCTCATTCAATTCAATCATCAATACCAAATAAACCTATACTTTCATCTATCGAACAATTATCTCATCAATCGAAAACTACATTGGCAGCTGATAATAAAGCACAATCCATGCAAGTTGATGAAACTTCAACATCTAAAGCATCAGCATCACCTACTAAAGCACATTCATCATCATCGTCATCAAATTCATCGACTACACATCCATCTGAAATTCCAGATGAAACAGAAACACCACCGCCTCCGCCACCACCTTCGAAACATATTGGTCGTCCTAGCAAAGCTCGTCAAAACAGTAATAATAATAATAATAATAATAATAAACGAGGACCAGCAAAATCAAAAGCAACAACACAAACAACTCGTCAAAAACAAACAACTACGAATGAAAGAAAAGGTCGTTCGCCAACAACAAGATCAAAATCATCGACACCAGCGGCTCCAAAAACAGTACAAACACGTTCAAGTAATCGTCGCAATACAAAGACATCACGCTATCGTAAACGAAGTTATTCAAGTGGAAGTGATGAAGATGAAACAGATGATGAAGAGGATGAGGATGGTGAAGACGATGATACAGAATTTTCTGAAGAGGTATTTTCATATATTATTTTTCAAGAAAATATATAGAATGATTTTTACCGTACAGGACAATACACGTGAGGAAGAAAGAGAAACTAGTCGTTCACCTTCAATAAAAACAAAAGCATCGAAGAATAATAATCAGAAAAAACCGGAACCTGAACCAACATCAATTCCAACAGCACAACCGAAAATGTCCGAACCCCTATCGTTACTTAGTGGACTTTCATCTAACCCGATGGCTGTTTCATCTATTATTAAATCTGATATTCCAACAGGTTTCATGCGTCCTAATTTCAATCCGAATTTTCCTACACCTCCACAATTTCTACCACCAAACCATCCATTTCCACCTGGTTTTCCATTACAACCAAGACTTCCAATACCACCGCCAACAACATTATCAGTTATTTCTCAAACACAACCTGGATCTATATCCGATACACATCGGTCATCTCATTCGACGAATGCTTCAGAAACAGATTCACTTGACCGTTCATCAAGTCCTTCACAAATGGATACATCAACAAATGCCGATTTAGGTACAACAACGAACACACCAAAAATATCAGCTCTATCTTCATTGCTTGAATTCGGTACATTGCCATCATCAAATCTTGATGATATACGCCCAACGGTTCCTCCAGCAAATCCTTATCCATTTCCATTTGTCACACCAGGTCCAGGTGTACCATTTTCACCTCAAGCAGCAGCTGGTATGACCTCTTATTTTCGACCACCGTTTAATGCTCCACTAACAACGGCAGCACCATCATCATTGTCTGTCGATACAAATCAGTCACCGATAGCTACAACAAAACCAAAGAAAAAATCTACTGCTAAGAAGAAGAACTCAACTGAAGTCGTTTCACAAAATCTACTCGATGAGTCGTCATCACCACCTAAAAAGAAAGTACGCAAAACTAATGCACGTGGTGGTAAAGGAAAAGCAAAAAAGAATGAAGCAGATATTGAAAATGATGTTGATGAAGATAATAATTCACCACCACCACCGCCAGCTAAACGAAAAAGAAAATCAAAGAAGGATGCAAAGAATGAGACAGCTGCAAATGCTAATGATGAAAAAAAAGTTTCAAATGAAACTCAAAATAATACTTCACATAATCTTCTTGCTCAAATGGGTCTTATTAATAATTCATTTATGCCACCAACACCACCACAACAATCGTCTTCCTCGACCAATTCAACGCCAAATGCTCAACAACACGCTCAAATAGCAGCTATGTACAATATGACACCACATTTTGGTGCCTATAATGCATTTCCAGGTGCATTTAATCCAGCGTTTCCTGGGGCTGCTTATCCAGGTGGTTATCCACCTCCGTATGGTTTTCATCCAGCATTTGGCACACCACCAACAGGTCAATCGTTTCCATTTATGCCACCTACAGCAAATACATCTTCAGTTGCTAAGTATGTTTTTCTTGTTGATTTTTACCGATTCATCGAAACATTATTTTCAATTTTAGTGCCTTATCACTAGCTTCTACAACAACGACTTCATCGCCGTTGACAGACGATAAGCCGGCAGCTTTAATTGTACCTGAAACACGACCAGCAAAATCAAGAGGTAAAAATAATACTAGTGGAGAGAAGAAAAAACCTGCTACTCCTCGAGCAAAGAAGAAGAAAGGAGCGATTGTTGCGGCTGATGATAGTGCGACTGCTGCTGCTGCTGCTACACTGATACCAACAACTGACAATGAACCAACCACACCATCCACTGAAACAACAGCAAAGACTACAACAACATCCGAATCAGCATCTGCATCGTCATCATCAGTAACAACAACTAAACGACGTATTAGTGGTACTGAAAGTGAAGATTTCGACGAGCAGAATGATGAACAACCATCACAAGCAACAAATTGTAAATCAGGCAATGAATCAGATGGTTCAGCAGGTAGTGCTGATCGCTCATCGAGCACTGCAAAATCAGCATCGACATTAGCGGAAAAGAAAGGCGGCCGTACAACAATAAAACCAGCACAATTAGAAGTAAATCTCTTTGTTTTTTGCAATACATTTTTTCTACATTTTTCTTCTATTTAGATTTTAAATAAAGCATTTGACTCATGTTCTAAACCAAATAAAACTCAACGGGAACAATTAGCTACCGATACTGGTCTTAACTTACGTGTTATCCAAGTAAATACTGCTTGACTGTCAATTGAAAATTTCCATTTTCGTTTTTAAAAAAGGTTTGGTTTCAAAATAAACGATCGAAAGAACGTAAGGAAAAAGCATCAAAAGAAAAAGAAGCACCTCTAGACGACGTTGAAGCAGGCGAAGATTCACAGCCACCATCACCACCACCACCACCACCACCACCGCCGCCGCCACTGCCACCACCGCCACCACCACCATCAATACCGGCATTGCCATCGGAGCCGTCCGAAGAAACTGAAACAATGCCAACAACACCACCAGCACCACCATCACCACCTGCACCTGAACAGGAACCGACTCCTGAACCAACACCGGTCACTACTACCGGAGCGTAAAGTCAAAAATAAATCTTCCTTTTTTTAAATCTAAGTGCCTTGTCAAAATATTAAAAGAATCTTCTATTTCAAATTGTAAATATCAATTCTCATTCGCGTGCAATCGGCTCCCTTTGTTTTTGTTGATATTGAATATCGATCTGACATTTTTCTTCTTTTATTTAAATATAATTCGTATTTATGTTGTTCGTATGTGTGTGACAGACTGATATTTGTTTTTTGTATTTTAAGACATAGAAAAACTTTTCGTCTTTTAGCATAGAAAAAACAGGTACAGTTCGAAAGAAAAAAAATTATCATTTAGTCATTTTTGATCTGATATTATATTCATCTGTTTCTCTTTCGCCTAAGTATGTATATTATAATTACTATTTTTTTTGTTGTTTTAATGTCTTTATCATTTTAATTGTTCTTGTATTATTGAATAGTGACTTCTGTAAAACATAAAAAACCTTTTTTGTGTGTTTTGTCATTTTTATTATATATATATACAGTGGCCGTCAAAATTATCCAACCACCTAAAAAACTAATTTTGTTTATGCGATATTTTGACAAAAAAAGTGACTGGAGGTTTGTAACTTTTACCATGTTGTAGACCAGTGTCTAGTACGTTTGTGTTTAGTTTCATATCAGAATTTCGTGCTGTGGATTTTTATTAAAATGAAAAAAAAAAGATGTCATATATATATCGCGCGTCAAGATTATCCGACCACGTGTATTTTTATTCTATCTTTGTTCTCGTTTAAATATAAAGTTTTCTTTATGTTACACCATTCGAAAGAGCAAAATGTTTTCTACACGATGTCCTAGTTTTGATTTGCATTGGTATACAGGAACGGTCTANCAGATGATTGCATTTTCAAGGTTGAGAATGAATTTTTCAGCAAATATGACAGAAATAAAAATTCATCCATTGCGTGAACAAGAATTTGAATACATATTAAACGAAATAGAAAGTTGTTGAATCAGATTACAACTGGAATTTAACTTGAAATTCAATGCTCTATCCATTGACACATCGTGTGTTAAAATTCCCCTCAGAGTTCATTTAATATGAACCTAGGTTGTGATGAGACACTTCGGTGAATTTTTATTTCTATCATATTTGCTGAAAAATTTATCTTCAATCTTGAAAATGCAATCATCTGTTTCAGATTGTTAGAAGTAGCCTATGTAAAGAAAACAATTCTATACTAAAGTAAGGGCTTTTTAAAAATTGCAAATGATTTTTCAGCCGGGTAAAGAGGCCATATATGGATAACTATACCGATTTGGTGTATATTTTCGACTCGGTCATCTTAAATAGACCTCATANCAGTTTTTCGTTTTACTATAAAGTCTAGCTGTCAAATTGAAATCTTTATTTTCTAATAAATATGTTCACAATAAAATTTCATTTTGTCATACATATATTCAATTCAATCATAATAAAACAATGCTTACTCAAATCGAACCTGCTCGATTTATATTTACACTAACTGTTGCATGCTTTTTTTCGAAACTGTATTTTTGCTGCCTTTTGCCACACTTTATCAGTTGCAGTTGTGTTTGAGCAAAAGAAAAAAATCTTCACATGTCATAGTACTATTAAATCTGATTTTCAATTCAGCAGCTATCGTTTCATTCGCCGCCAAATTGCGACTGGCTGTCCATGTGCTTTTTCTTTGACTAATAACGCCTTCAACAAATGCATTTGAGCAAAGAATTGAGTACACATAAGAAATAATTTTGTACATTTCAATGCACATTGGTTTCGACTTTACAGGAAGAAAAGCCCAAGATTGATCAGACCGAAATTCCACTTCTCTTTCATGATTTTCGGTTGTCGATTTGTGAATGAGATTATCTTCATCATGAGACTCGTTGCATATGTCATTGTTGAATTCTTCATAAACATGGCCATTAGCAGCCAACCAATATAATTGACGCGTCACATCTTTATCAATAGTAAATGTCGGATAAAGAGACAGAAATTTTCTTAGTTTCAACCAAACTATGGATGATAGTAGTCGTAACATTGAAAAATGCAGATGGGATACAAAATGCGTACCTCAGAGGTACAATTTTTAGACCTTTTCTGTATACCAATGCAAATCAAAACTAGGACATCGTGTAGAAAACATTTTGCTCTTTCGAATGGTGTAACATAAAGAAAACTTTATATTTAGACGAGAACAAAGATAGAATAAAAATACACGTGGTCGGATAATCTTGACGCGCGATATATATATGACATCTTTTTTTTTTCATTTTAATAAAAATCCACAACACGAAGTTCTGATATGAAACTAAACACAAGCGTACTAGACACTGGTCTACAACATGGTAAAAGTTACAAACCTCCAGTCACTTTTTTTGTCAAAATATAGCATAAACAAAATTATTTTTTTAGGTGGTTGGATAATTTTGACGGCCACTGTATATATGTATAACAATCGAATGAGATTTTGTATAGATTTCGTTTTGATTTATTGATGTCTGATTTGATCAAGATCACGATCACGATCATGATCGTCATCATTTGGGCTAAGTAATGGAACATCTTTTATAAATATACTAGCTCGTCGTTTTGAAGCGCTAACATTAAATATAGCAAAGCGAAAATATCGTTGCATTTCTTCACGAATTGAAATCTAAACAAGAAAGTTCAAATTAGCTTTTCTGTATAAACAAGGACGTCTTACAAATACACCGATAAACCTTTACGTTTAAATATTGTTTCAACAAATTAAACTCATTGACGAGTAATAGCAAGTGAACATTCAAAGTGGATTCTATTTGACGAGAGAAACATTTCAACTTATTACTATGGAGTTGTTGGATCAATTCCATGACACACCCTAAGGAACATGGGGAAAACTGCTGTTTACAATCGGATTAGATCTTTTCTGGTGAAACAGTTTTCTTTAGAGGAAAAGATTTACGATGAAAGCTTCAGATCTTGTAGTTTCTATCTATTCTGAGATACAGTTATGACTTGAGCGTAGCTTTTACATTGTTCATATACATTTACAAATACATGGCTCTTATTTCAACATAAGATTAATTCAAAAGATCTACAATTCTTATAGTAAAATATGCTCGATGAAACTTCTTTTTATTGTTTTTTTACCTGTCGTCCTTTTCTATTTCGAATTTTGATACTAAATTCAACAGCAGCAACAATCGTTGACAGTATTAATCCACCAGCAAGTATCACAAATATACCGCCTATATTTGCAAAACCTAATTCAGCTGCTATATCTTTTCGTTTATCTTCTTGATCACATTTTAGATTAGCTGCTTCTTTCCACCATTTATTATAGTATTTGTGTATAACACCTTCGTCTTGCAGTTTAAGAATCGTATCGCTCAATATATCACGATAAGGAGAATCTTTTTTTGGAAAACGAAAAATGAAATTTATAATAAAGTATATTCTATTTTTACTTTGTGGCACACCAAAACCGTAACCTTTTGAATCAAGTAAACCACCAATGGATGTCAACTCACAATTTCTCATTATATTGTATTCACTTGTAGTTGATCTATATGAGTATAAAAGAAAATGATTGAGAAAAAAATATACATATGAAATTCATATTAACATACTCCATAAGAAAAGCATAATTGCCTTTTAATACTCTATTGATACCTTCAGTGCTGGAGGCTGCAGTAACATCTGCTTGATTTGCTGATATATAATTCCACATACGTTCATATGTTGCTATTTTGGATTCCTAATAAAATATGAAAAAAAAAACGTATTCAATGGTTCAGAAATTATTTCTGTGCTTTTTTCTTCTTCTCCAAATATTAAGAAATGCTTAGCGGAGATCAGGATGCGCCATCAAACATAAAATTAACCTTTGTGAGAAAACAGCACATTATTTGAGTATTGACTGTCAATCGATTAGTTGTCTAATAAAGTAATCTATTGATAGAAGCCATAGAGAAAAATGCTGTTACGCATCTAGATAAGTTTCATAGGCTATATCTTAGATATTATTTAGATTTATAGGGATTCCATACCAGTTCGTGGACATAACAGTTATCACAAATCTTTTACTAAATTAAAACATATCGATCTGAACAAATATCTCGTTTGAGTCTACAAGAGCATTGTTCTTTTTTTCAAAAATCTCTTGATATATTCATACTCGAAAGAAATTTTCCGTCGAACCACCCCGTTGAAATCCATAAGCAATTTTTGTTTGTGATGCCAGATCTTCAGCATTTTCAATAGGCGTTTGCATACGTTGTACTGTCAAAAAAGCAGCTAGAATTTAATAAAATAAAATCTTTACTAGAATTCTAAATTATTTTCTGTTTCTCACCCAAATTAGCCGTATATGATGAAACAATGATTAGAGTAAAAAATGACCATAAACAACTAATCATACGTGTTGATGGCGCTGTTGGATTTAAATCAGTACCTATTCATTAAGATAAATATACATAAAATTTATTTTCCAAACAAAAAGAGTACTAACCTTGTTGCATAATATTTCCAATAAGAAACCAAAGTGAATTAAAAAACGTAAATTGATTTTCTAATTCAGCACGTGTTCTTTTACATGGATGTAGATCACGCCATTCGTATGGTGATAATCGTGCAACCAAATAAAGAGCAAAGCTAACAGCTTAATTTATCAAAAATAAATAAATAAAGATATTCCAAGAGCTCGAAATCAAAGGATTGGGCGCATAACAAGCCAAATCGGCCTATTTTTTAGATTGTTTAAAATTTGGTATATTCCGATGTAGAATTGTATACCGAGTTCTTTTATGCAATTTCAGATCGATTCGACTATGTTTAGTACGGATAATACTGGGAATACTACTCTCTTCAGCATTGATATTCACATGGTGTAACGTCATGGTGGTAAATTTTTATTGTAATGCCACTCTTATACGGCATTAGTCTCATTAGATAGAGCATTTAATTCTGCATCGATTCCTACAAGAACAAGTGTATTCAATAAACTTTTGCTATATTCTATTGGTTCGATTTCTAACTGTTGGAGGTTTTTTAACTGAAGCGCTTCACTTTTAGTCTCATAAAAATTTGTCGAGGAGCGTTGAAGTAGATCTTGATGTGCTGTTTGATAGCAAATTTTACGAGCTACAAAATCATATACTTTCCATTTTTAACAGAGCTTGGCCAACTGAGAAATCGCATAGATAGTATTCAAAAGATAGGATTTTCTGCATTTTTGGTTACTTTTTGGCAGCTACTTTCAGAGAAAGTTACTATTATAACAAAAAAATAATAACATATCTGGAATCAGCATCCAAGACTAAGTTTGTTTACAATTGTTTCTACTTCTTCTTTAAACTTTTAATTTTTTCGAAAAATTTACCTTTGGTACCCGCAGGCTTCAGCCAAAAGTAAATTTTGTCAAAATCTTTCTTTTATAATTCGAATACTCACCATTTCACGTTTAAAAAAGATTTCATATGCTTCGATGTTAATTGAAATAATCTAAAATTGTTTTGGATGAAATTCATTTTCCGCTAAAGTCTGAGGGGTACCACAGGTAAATTTTTCGAAAAAATTAAAAGTTTAAAGAAGAAGTAGAAACAATTGTAAACAAACTTAGTCTTGGATGCTGATTCCAGATATGTTATTATTTTTTTGTTATAATAGTAACTTTCTCTGAAAGTAGCTGCCAAAAAGTAACCAAAAATGCAGAAAATCCTACCTTTTGAATACTATCTATGCGATTTCTCAGTTGGCCAAGCTCTGTTAAAAATGGAAAGTATATGATTTTGTAAAGCGCTTCAGTTAAAAAATTTCCAACAGTCAGGAATCGGACCAATAGAATATATCGAAAAGTTTATTGAATACACTTGTTCGTATTGGAATCGATGCAGAATTAAATGCTCTATCTAATGAGACTAATCTCATCTAGAAGCGGCATTACTGTAAAACTTTACCACCATGACGTTACACCATGTGAATATCAATGTTGAAGAGAGTAGCATTCCCAGTATTCTCCGCACTAAACATCATCAAATCGATATAAAATAGCTATAAAAGAACTCGGTGTACAATTCTACATCAGAATATGCCAAATTTTAAACAATCTAAAAAATAGACTGATTTGGCTTGTTATGCGATCCCACCCCCTCTCCTTTAACTAACCAAAATAAGCAGCAATCATATAAAGCCATACATCAATACTTAGTGGTTTAAAAAAACCAAATAATTTTGGTTTAACACGTTGTGCTTTTTTAAAAAGAATATTTATTCCAAGTGTTAAGAACGGTTTTGTAAAATCGATGGCCTTAAATATTTTAGAAAAAAGAATCATAGACCATTAATAACAAAATTCAATATTTTTCGTTTGCTCTAATCAATGAAATGAGGTTTCGTCTTCGACGAATACACTCATGTAAGCAGAGACCGATGAGGCTAGCTAGGCTATATTCACTCAAGTTGAAAAACACCTATGATTAAGAAATAGGCTTTTAATGCAGCTATTTTATATGATAATAGGCTAATCAGTTTGTAAACTTCTTTTACTTCCTTGTAATAGCATAGAACTATTTTTCTAAAATAGTACCAAAAAGTATACTTATGCAACACTAAGAATGATTAAGATACTTGTGGCTACCCAAGCAGACAAACTCTTGGAAAAATGCTTTTAAACACTCAATTGAGAATCGCAATTGTGAGTCATTAACGCTCAGTAACGAAGCGCAAGAAACGCGTTTTTTACGCAGAATTCTCACTTTCAGAGCATGAAAACGGGTAAAAACTCAAATCTGCAGCGTTTAAACGAATTAGTTTTTACGTTATCGAATAATTGTGCGTTAAAACGCTTAGAATCGGAGTTTTTATTCGTTTTCACGCTGTGAAAGTGAGAATTCTGCGTAAAAAAAACGCGTTTCGTGCGTTTCGCTATTGAGCATTAATGACTCACAATTGCGTTTCCCGATTGAATGTTTAAATGCATTTTTTGCAAAAGTTTGTCTGCTTGGGTAATAGTGTATTGCCTCATTGACGTCAACAGTACTAGCTCTAAACGGCATCTAATTGGCTTGTTACTCTTGTTATTACAGACTTTAAAACATGTCCTGTGACAAAGAAAAAGATGGCTCGTTCGATTTAAATAGGCAAAACATATTGCATTTCTGATGCTATCTAGTTATTAATGGATCATTCTATATTATAAATACTTGTTCACGTTGATATGTTATTGTTAAACCAGCTAAACCTAAATCAGCTCGCTAAATAAAATAATGAAATTATTTTGAAGAGAAACACGAAAAGAAAAATTTCTTACACGATTTACTAATTCTCCAATAATACCATTCCATTCTCCTTTTTCATTCTTTTTTCCAAATATTTCATCTTTGACAATTTCAATTTCAAACGCAAAACTCAGTCTTTCAGATAAATCCAGTAAAATATCAATACAAAAGCCCATATATTTATGTGTAGAATTGGTCCAATTCGGATCTAAAAGTAAAGGCATTTAAATAGATGTTATTTGTTTTCTTATTCCGTTTTTACTTAGCATAACATAAGGTGGTTCCTATGAGAGAAATTTAAAAAAACCAATCTTTCATTAAAACTATATTTGTCTAAAATTCAAACTTACAATAACTGTCGTGACTTTTAATGTTTGATTTTGTATTTCTTTGATTCTTGTTTCATAATCTTTTGTAAAATTTCTTTTAATTTCTAATCGATCTGGTGCATTCGATGACCAATTTCCATTCTATCCCAACAAACTCGGAATATTAATTTTATGCTTTTGAAATAACTCTATTTTCTCTGCTCATACTTTTTGCACGCCGTCAGCTGCTAAATCAACGACTTCAAATGATACATCTGTTCGCAAACCATTCTCATCAAATTTGATCTTTCCTGTTATACCATTTGCTTCAAACTTTTAAAAAAACGTCAATAACTCGAATGTCAAAGAAACATTTTCTTAACATACTTTTTTTAAAAAATGAGACAATGCCGAACCGTGCATCCAGGGTGTTTGCGCATCACATGTTAATTTTGTTGTATTCAACGGATGTTGCTCAACAAATTTGCTAAGTGCTCGTGCAAAAAAGTATACTGCATCATAGATAAGAGCGGCTGATGCCTGTTTTAAATATTCAAACACGAAAAAGATTACATACAGCAAAAGAATGCAATGCTAACCCTTAATGAACGTTCGTTAGTAACGAGTGGAGCATTGACATTAAAATAAATATTACTATCAAAAAATTCATCCACAGCTGGATCTTCGCGACCGAAAAATTGTAAACCAGTTATATTAACTAATGTATATAGAATTTTTTGCCATTTAACAACCGAAACATCCTAAATAGAAGCATAAACATTGAAATAAAGCCTTGTTTTTTTCCTCTCGTGTATACTAATCATTTACCAATGAAGTTAAAACGAAATCATAATAAGGGCCAACTAATCCAACAGTTTTAGCCTTAAATTTAAAAGAAAAAGAATCGTTTCTTTTGTGCAATTTATGTGATTCTAAATAATGATTTTACATGTTGGAAAAAATCGTCTAGATGATCCGTTGAAACATCAACGAGAAATTTTGAAATCCCTGTTTCTTGTAATTGTTGCAGTAATGGATGCCAATTATCTCTACCTGGTCGGCCTCGTAATTGTCTTACAGTAACTTTCATTTGATGATTATCTGAAGTTAATTTTAGTAAATCTTGAAGATAATGTAAATCTAGAGTGCAGACAAATAGAGGTCCAATCATTTTTTTAGTTTAATCATTTCATTTTTATATACTTTCAGCATGTTCAGTTATGATAGCTAGTTCGTCCCATTGTTGAAATTTTATAATATCACTAAATGCTTGACTTGTTGCCGTATAATGTGGAAAGACATTAATTATGTAATATTCCACTTTAGTTTGAGGATCAGGCGATGATAACAACAATGGCATATGTAATTGACGTGTCAATGAACTGACGAATTCTAATGCAGGACTAAGTCGACCAGTGAATAGAGCAACAATACCTTTTTGTAATTGTGCGCAAACTGAAGTAAATGAAATGAGAAGAAAAACAAACGGATTTTCGAATTCGACATATTGATATTCAAATGGGAATTTTACCCATTTTATATGCTGAAAAACTATCATATGCATCGACTAAGTCAATATTAGTGATAACAATTCTTGATTGGGTAAATATTTGCGATTGAACATTGATTTTAGCAACAGCATATTCAAATGCTTGGCGAGATAATGTATCTCCAGTATCAAATATTGCTCCTAGAGATCATATGAAAATAATATCATAAATGTTTCATTTTATTAATTGATAATAACAGAAGTTTATTTTTTGTTCTTCCTTTATATAAATTGTATTTAATAACCAATCGAATAATATTGTTTAACAAACAAAACTATACTTACCAATATGAATTTCATGTGGTAAATCAAAACTTTTGGTTGAATAAATATAGAATAAGATAATAATTACACTAGTTGCTGTTGCCATTGTTTTATATGTTCAAGTACTTTTCTAACCTGAGAAAGCCGTTTCCTTTTCAATAATAATCCTTGCCTCGTTTTCACATACTATTAATAATGAAAAGAAGAAAAAATTATCTATCTTTTGACAGAAGAAATAATGTGCTTTCTCTTCTCTCTCCCTCCCTCCCTCTCTCTCTCTCTCTCTCTTACTGTGTCTCATCTTGCAGAGCCATGAAATATGTCTCCATCACTTAACATCATCAGAAAAAAGAAAACCTTCTTCTTTCTTGCCTCAATATCACTTCGATCTGTTTACACTTCTCTGCACAATAGGGATATTTATATAAATGCATCAACAAGATTTCGGTATCGAAAAGAATACGAGAGAAAAGACAAAAAACAACCTACACAGCATGTGATTTAACTGTGACTCGATGTCATACACGTACCGTAGCAATAAATTAGTGGCTGATCAATTATTTAGAAATAGCATATTGCACATAGCTTCTGTTCCTTTTTTCTCTTAAACAAACACCAATTATCTATAATGTGCTATTTGTCATCTGCATGAAATATATAGATCAATCGAGCGTTATCTTGTTGATCGACACATTCTTTTCGCTACTCTAATTTCTATTCGACGATGATTCTATTTCAATCTCTATTAAAATAATTGACCTCGTCATGTTGTATGCTATTTCGGTTGATGAAACACAGTTGGAAATCTTTATCGATTGCCTATCATAGAATCACTTATGTTCTATGCCTTAGAAGTAGACTGTATTGAAGGACATTAGTAGAAAAAGAAACTTCAAAATGTAAAACACATAATCACTTTCTCTTCTCCTAGCTATTTTTAAATAGAAATATGTTCATAAAATGCAAATGACAATCATATGTAAATGTCATGATCTGTTTTGTCAGCTGAAAATGATTGATAATGAATCTTTATTTGACATGATATATGTCAATAACAATATAAATATACATTTGCAAAATCATGTTTTTTTCATTCAATCATATGTATTATTTCTTTGAAAATAGAATGAAAATATTACAAAATAATATTATTAATTGACAAATTTCAACTAGGTGCTTTGAAATCAATGTCAAATTGAACACTTATTGTAAATGAACTAAAGACTTGTTTGTTCGATAGTGATAAAGCATAGTTCTAATAGAGTTCTTAGGCAAATAGTCAGTTACGATAGTTTTTTACGAGTACCAAACGTAAAATCTATGAAATATATAGTGCTTTTTCTGCTGTTGACAGAAGCTATAATCGTTGTTCTGACTAACCATTGTTAGGATATGTTTATTCAAAGTAATTATTGTTGGAATGCAAAGAGAAAGTATTTGCGAATGAAAAATATGTCTGATCATTTTTATTTCCAATGAATAGATACGGGAAAACGCTTTTAGGTATAAAAATATTTTTTTTGCGTATATTTCGTTTTTATCAGCATAAAACGAACATTCAGTAATCCATCTGTTAAACAAATATGATAATTAAAGAGTACGTAATCATCGCGTGACGCCCATTGAGACTCTATTGATTTGGTTTTACAATTCCATCATGGAAATGTGCATTTATGCGTATCTAGATATCGTAATATAGAAATTAATCGTTTCCTTTGTAAAGAAAAAAAACGATTATATGAAACGCTATTGTTTTTTTTGTTTCAATAGACAATTTGTCAAATTATTTGATCATGCTTCTGTATTGTGTATTATGGGTGCGCATTGAATGCATTTCTATGAATGATTTGAAAATGTGAAGATTCAAAATAAATGAAATGAATTTCAAAAATATTATTCTATATCTTATTCATCGTAGGAATAAGAAAGCGATCGAATGATCGTCAAATCTGAGAATATTCTTGCTTGTAAATTATCAGAGATTGACATATTCCATGACACATTATTACCATCACAAATAGATTTTCTATTCTTAGTCCTGTGATAATTTTTCTCCATTAATCTTAATCATGATACAGAAGTATCAGATTTTTTTATTAGGCTCCAAAGTCGTTTGCAGTACAGTAAGCACATGGTAACCATACCAGAGACAGGCAGATATTAATTCTCACTTCTAGATTCTATCTATCTTATCAGTTTAGGTAACAGTATACACTACTAATTTTGGTGGATGACCATTTACGATGCAGTAAAATATGGCTGATTACAAGAAATTAATGAAAGTTTTGAATTTTTAAGAAAGTTTTTCTAGCATTCACTTGAGTTCTTATAGATTCTAAAACGTCGATACGTAGGAGGGCGCTCTAGTCTAGAGTGGTATTTAATAAGCCAATCCAATAATATGATTCATCAAAGCGCGATTAATCTTTGTTTTTTAGTTGCTTATTTTTTATAAATTTTTCTTAATTATAAAATTTACGCGAGTATCATAGTTATAAATATCTTATTGTAAAAGAAAAAAAAACGATTTAATTATTCATTGGATAACTTTGACGAATACGTGTTGATGAGTGACTAGACATCAGTCCTGTGAAATGTTCTGTTTAAAAAATTCAGTTGGCTTCATGATTAGTTCATCATGGCAGTTCGGTATCGATTGAAAAGCAAATTGCCTGAAAACAAAAAGACTATTAATCACGAGCAACCAGTTATTGGAACCAATCCAGCTGTTAAATTTGCAAGTCTTCCAATAGAATATAACCCTGAAAAAGAAATACGAGATAATAATTCGTCTTCATCATCAGAATCTGAGCGTGATACAGAAGATCATCATTCATCATCAGAATCTGAGAGCGATACAGAAGATCATCATTCATCAGCAGAATCTGAGAGTGATACAAAAAATCATCATTCATCATCATCTGAACCTGAAAACGAAATAACAAATATTAATTCATCATCTTTAATAATGTCTTCGACGTCAAAACGAAGCGATTGGAGAAAAGATCAATCCAGTATAGGTCTTTTATTATTTCTTTACATATTACAAGGTGTTCCACTTGGTATGGCTGCATCTATACCTTTAATTATTCAAACACATGGTACAAGTTGGTCTCAACAAGCAACATTTTCATTTGCATTTTGGCCATTTAGTCTTAAACTTCTTTGGGCACCGATTGTCGATGCACTATATTTTAAAAGATATGGGCGAAGGAAATCATGGCTTATACCAGTACAATATTTAATTGGCTTTGTTATGATTCTACTATCATATCATATTAATGATTTATTGTATTCAACAGAAACATCAGTAATAAGTCAATCGCGTAGGCTATTATTTAAAAGGTTCAATGTTAGTCACACTTGAATTTTCTTTTTATTATTTATTTAGATATTTATTATCTTACGGCAGTATTTTTCGGTTTATCATTTCTTGCAGCTACACAAGATATTTGTGTTGATGGTTGGGCACTTTCAATGCTTTCTAGGTAAATTATCTATAGTGGGTAGTACGTGAGTTCAGATATAAGACTACTTTTGTTTTGTTAATGATTTCATCTTATTTGTTTTAAAATGTTTACTAAGACGAGCGAATATTTTATATAGATGATTTTTTTTAAATAAGGGTGTATTGTCCTATCATTAATCAGGCCGGAGAAAACGATGATTAGATGATATTTAAACCAGAAAATAGTTTTGAGTACTTTTCTAGATATCTCAGCATATATATTTTTAAAGATTTTTATTCATATTATAAAGGAAAATTAATTTTTCATTATAGAGAAAATGTTGGTTGGGCAAGTACATGTAATTCTGTTGGTCAAACAGCTGGCTATTTTTTAGGCAATGCCGTTTTTCTTGCATTTGAATCGAAAGATTTTTCAAATCTATACGTACGACGACCATTACATATGGAATTTCAACCAACTGGATTGATTACATTACCCGGTAGGATATATCAAAGAGTTATCTTACTATTGAATGCATATTTTGTTTTCTCGTAGGTTTTCTTACATTCTGGGGAATAGCTTTTTTAATCTCAACCACATTAGTCGCTTTATTAAAACATGAAATCGATGAAAGTTATGATCCCAACGATCCTCATTTTAATCTCGGTGAAACATATAGAGTCCTTCTTAAAGCTCTTCGTCTACCGTCCGTCCGATCTATGGCACTAATTTTGTTGACAGCTCGAGTACGACAGAAACATATGGATAAATTTATATATTTTTTTCTTTATTATTAATTGTGATTTAGGTAGGTTTTGCTGCAACAGACTCAATGACTGGATTAGAATTAGTTGAACGTGGTGTGACACGCGAATCGTTAGCTCTATTAGCAATACCAATAACACCATTACAAATTGTTTTACCATTCATAATATCAAAATATACAACTGGACCACAACCATTAAATATTTATATCAAATCATACCCATTCCGGTAGATAGTTTCTTATTCTACTTTTCTATCCATGATTTTTTTGTTTTGCTCGTTATAGGGTGATGGTCGGTATCATTATGGCTGTGTTTGTTTATATTACACCATCATTTCAAAATTCAGATAAAACATTTCCTTGGTATTATTATACTTTGGCGATTATTATCTATGCAATACATCAAATATTTCTATACAATATGTTTGTTTCTCAGATGGCTTTTTTTGCTCTAGTTAGCGATCCAAAAATTGGTGGAACATATATGACATTACTTAATACACTGTCCAATCTTGGTAAGCATCAGACTCACTGGCAAGAGAAGAAAAAAAGCTATTTTAAATTGTTTTGGTGTTCTAGGGAGAGATTGGGCTTCAACAACAATTTTATATCTAGCTCATTATTTAACGAATAAGAAATGTTCAATAGGTAGTACTCGATGTGTAACAGAAATTGAAGAAAAAACCTGTCAAAAGTTAGGAGGTACCTGTGACGTGTCTGTAGATCCATATTACATTGAAGTATTCATGTGTACTGCAATAGCTATTATTTGGTTTCTATGGAAATATCGAGCACTACTGCATTTACAATATTTACCGATGAGTGCATGGCAAGTACGAATTAATCGACGAAGAATTCTTGTGTCAGAATGTGATGACGAGGAATCAACAATGATAAACGCATAATTTTTATATGTGATTATAATGATAGATAAGTCTCACGAATAAGGTGATCTGAACATTCCAATATATATTCTCCATGTTGTGAAATTACTTTAACTTTTCAAGAATCAATAGAAACATTAATATTTTGAAAACGATTCGTTTTATCTGTTGCTCTCTTTTACTTTTTATTATTTTGTTTTCTTTATTGTTGTGTAAATTCATATTGTTTTAGTATAAATTTCTATTTATTATATTGACAATAATGACATCATAGAACATAATTTTTCTCTTGTTTTATTATTATCACAGTGACGCATCTATTTACCCCAAGTGCCCTGCATATCGTATAAAGATAGATGTCAGGAAATATTGAGGTCAAACATTTGATTGGTGACCATGAACGAATCGTTCCTCATGGAAAGTTTTGGAAGTTTTAACAATGCAGTTGACCTTGTCGCTAAAAGAAATTTATTCTATATTTTATTTTTCGTTTTTAGCATTTTCCTCTTCGAATATACGAAATAAAACTTATCGATTTGCTTTGCCTCCGAAAAAAAGGAATAGATGATGCAATGTTTAATATCAATGCATGCAATATGATGAAGTAATTTTGCGTGAGCTTTTACGTTCGCTTGTCACTTAAAAAAGACATATATATAGTATAATACGGAGATTTTTTGCATGCTATTGCCAGTCGTACCATTCGAGGTGAAAAATATACTTCGATATACATATATGAATCTTGTTTCAGATCGCTTTTCACAACGCGTATTCCAATATTGCTTTGTCGACTTCATCGTCTTCAGGCTCGTTCATTTTCAGTTTCACTTAATGTATGTTAAATATTTAATTCACTAGTTCAAAATATTTTTTGTTCAGTTTCATAAGTCTTGGCAAAAGATTCAAAAGCAATACATGGCAGAACCAGAAGCAAAATCAACGCTTGCGGAAGTAGGAAAAAGGAATAAAACTTAGAGTTGCAATATTTTATTTTATTCTTTCAGTTAAATCCACCACCAGAGTACATTCCAGAGCGCATTAAAATTTGGCAAGAACTAAAAACAAAATATCACGATTATGTTGCTGCTCAACCACAAGTTGATATTACAATTACTTTACCCGATGGGAAAATCTTACCTGGTAAATCATGGAAGACAACTCCTCATGAAATTGCCATGGGTATCAGGTCTGTTTCTTGGCTTTATAATCATTTTCAAATATAACACTACTTTTTTTTTAAAATTATTCAGTCAAGGATTGGCTGCTGCCACTGTTATTGCCAAAGTGAATGGTGATTTATGGGATCTTGATCGACCATTTGAAAAAGATGCAACATTAGAGTTAATTAAATTTGATGATGATCAAGGTAATTTTTTGTTTTTTTTTCAATACCAATAAAATTCCTATTGAATATTTCAAAATAGGAAAACAAGTATTCTGGCATTCAACTGCACACATTATGGGTGAAGCTATGGAATTATGCTATGGTGGTTGTCTATGTTATGGACCACCCATTGAACAAGGCTTTTACTATGATATGTATCTTGAAAATCGGTAGGAAATGTTTTTTTTTCCATAAAACAATGTTTATTAAATATGAAAATAAAAAATAGAACTGTATCGGGTCTTGATTATGATCCATTGGAAAAAGTAATGAAAAAAATCGTTAAAGAGGAACAACCGTTTGAACGATTAGAAATTTCCAAAGAAGATCTATTACGTTTATTTGGAGTAAGATAATTTTAGTCGAATATTTGAATTTTGTAAAATTTTTATTTTATCAATTAGTATAATCCATTTAAAGTTCGAATTCTGAATGAAAAAGTGCATACACCAACGACTACTGTTTATCGGTAAAATATTTAAACCAAAAAAAAAAGAGAATTTGAAACTATATTTCAATATGTCTATATATAGATGTGGTCCTTTGATTGATCTTTGTCGTGGTCCACATATTCGTCATACGGGAAAAGTAAAAGCTTTTTCAATTACAAAAGTAAGCCAAAAAATGACAACGTTGTCTTTCTGTTCTACGATAAGATTTTTATTATTATGTAGAACTCTTCGACCTATTGGGAAGGTGATCAAGCACGTGAAACTCTACAACGTATTTATGGAATTTCCTTCCCTGATACAAAACAACTTAAGGAATGGAAACATCTTCAAGAAGAAGCAGCTAAACGAAATCATCGAAAAATTGGTGTTGAACAAGATCTTTTCTTTTTTCATGAACTAAGTCCTGGTTCATGCTTCTTCTATCCAAAGGGAGCTCATATTTACAATAAGCTTATTGATTTTCTTCGAGTTAGTAATAATAATCCTTATTTTTTCTTGAATTATTTATTTTCTCGAATTAGGCTGAATATCGTAAACGTGGTTATCAAGAAGTTATCTCACCGAATATTTACAATGCCAAATTATGGAAAGTATCTGGACATTGGGATCATTATTCTGTAAGAAGATAAATTTCATTTTTGTATCAAATTCTTCATTGTATCTTTGTTTGTTCAATAGGAAAATATGTTCAAAACCGAAATTGAAAAAGAAGTCTATGCACTTAAACCAATGAATTGCCCAGGCCATTGGTAAGAGAGAAAAAAAGGAGCTGGATAAAAGAATAAATTTAAGATTCATCTTCTTTTGTTAAGTCTTATATTCTCGTCACGTCTTCGTTCGTGGCGTGAATTACCATTGCGTATGGCTGATTTTGGCGTTTTACATCGCAATGAAGCTTCCGGAGCGTTAAGTGGTCTTACACGTGTGAGAAGATTTCAACAGGATGATGCACATATATTTTGTGCTCAATCACAAGTAAGAAAATTGTTTTTGTCAGTTTGAAATTCTTTTTCTCTTTTTGTATTTAGATAAAAACTGAAATTGAAGGTTGTCTAGATTTCTTGAAACAAGTTTACGGTATATTTGGTTTTACATTTGAATTAAAATTATCAACGCGACCCGACAAATTCTTGGGAGAAATCGAAACGTGGAATTTAGCTGAAAGTCAACTTAGTGAAGCTCTTAATTCGTTTGGCTATCGATGGAAAATTGATCCAGGCGATGGTGCTTTTTATGGACCAAAAATTGATATTACTATTCGAGATGCTTTACAACGAGCTCATCAATGTGCAACAATTCAACTTGATTTTCAATTGCCTCAACGCTTTCAACTTCAATTTCAAACGTAAGAAATAAAATCAAATAAAAATCGTTTTAGAATTTTTCCTTTTTAGCAATGAACAAGGCGAACTTCAATCACCAGTTATTATTCATCGAGCTATTCTGGGTTCAATGGAACGCATGCTTGCTATTCTTACGGAATCATTTGGTGGAAAATGGTATGAATATTTATTTTTATTACTAATATTTTATTTGTTTGAGGCGCGCTACTACTGGAGAGGAGTTTTTAGGTATTTTTGAATTTTCGAGAGTGTTAGTTTGAATTGAATAAAACCACTTGCATCTGTTTTTTGTTTTTACAGAGAATTGAGAATTATACTCTAAAGCAGAATCCGAGGACAGCCTGATTTTAAACAAGATCGATTGTCATCAATAAGTCATAGAATCATCGCAATATTCTGTTGGGAAATTTTCATCCGAAGAAATAGACACGTGGATAAACATGTAAATTGATATTGAACAGATGGCGAGGCACGAGTACAGATTATGTTTCTTTTCCATTAGTTAGGCATGCCAATTATTTTAGTAAATTATTCGCTGAGAGGACTCAATCCATATCGGTCACTATATATAAACAAGGATTTTTTAAACGTAGAAAAGAACTCTATTAAAAATTCCATTGGCGTCTATTTAGGCCTTTCTGGTTATCACCTCGTCAAATGGCAATCGTACCGATATTTCCATCATTGGATTCGTATGCTCAAGAAGTTCAAAAGAAATTATGGCTAGCAGGTTTTCAAGTTGATTGTGATTTAGGTTGGTCGTCATAATGTCGAAAGGAAAAATGTCGAAAGGAGAAATGTCGAAAGAAGGAAGAGGAAAAATGTCGAAAGGAAAAATGTCGAAAGGAAAAATGTCGAAAGAAAAAAATGTCGAAAGAAAAAAATATCGAAAGGAAAAATGTCGAAAAAATATTTTTGACATGAAACATCGTCAGTTAATATTTTAGAGAATTGTAAATAATATAGTGCATGTTTTATTGCATAAAATTAAGTTGAAATCTTAACAGTGAGAAAAATATAGAACAAAATTTTCTTACTCATTTCACGTTCACTTGGTAAGATAGCTATTGCAGTATTTGATAACATAGCTTTTGCACATTCTTCATCGTATATACGTGGAATAGGTGTTGTTTCATTTATAGCTCGTTGTTTTATTTTTTCACGAACTTCACGAACCTCAAGTTTTTCTTTTTCTGGAAGATGACTATGATTGCCAACAGTTTTCATCAATCCATTATTTAAATCAGTATGCACTTTAGCTGCACAACCATTAATAGTGCATATCCAATATTTAGTACTTGTTGTTGTTTTATTCAGTTTAAAAGTATAATCATCGGCAACTAGTAGAGGTTTTCCTTTATTTGAATTTATAAATGAAATTGAAGGAGATTTTGCTTGAATTTCACTAGTTAAAGTTACGAAAGCTTCAGCCATGACAGTACAATTTTAGTTATATAATAATTCTTTGTTCAACTCTTTCTTTTTACTTGTATTAATAGTTAGTCATCCCTATCAATACTGGCTAAAATTCTACACTAGTAAAATTATAAGAAAAAACAATGAACTAAATGGGATTAGAATCGCCATATACTGGAGACATCATTATTTTTTTATTTTTCACTTTCGACATTTTTCCGCTTTAATATGTACGTTTCGACATTTTTCCTTTCGACATTATTCCAGCATACCATAAATTCGAACCATGCTTTCAGAATGCCTAAAAAAGATGTCGCAAATCACAACACATAGAGCAAGCTTTATCTTAGTGTGCAGCCAAGATATTGTGAATTCTTACTTAAGATCTGTAATCAGATCTTGAGTACAAAATAACTGTATTATCTTGTACCTAAATTTCCAAGATCTGTTAACATATATGTACCTTGTATCTTGGCCAAGATCTTGCTTACAAGATGTTTGTCTAGGGTAAGAATATGAATAAGGGATTAAGTATGAAATTAACGGTTGGATAAAACATTAGTGTAGAGTACTAGACTAATTGAGTGTGGTGAACTACATTTTACTACTATAGAACCGTTTTTGGAAGAAATAGGAAAAAGTTCCAGCTAGAACCAGATTTTACTTGAACCTTAAATGGTTCTGAAAATAGTATCCAAATCTAGAACCCTAAAAGGTTCAGTATGACACCTTTTTTTTCTTTCTGAATAGTAGTTTTAATTTGAGTAGCTAAGCAACGTTCGACTGTGTTTAATGTGAACCAGATATTCATAATGAGAATCCAACTCCATATTAAATGATAGTTTCAAAAGAAAATTTCTAAAAAGTTTGCATACATCTACATTTCTGGTCGCAGATATAGGGCTCTTAGCTAGATTTTCCTGTAACCACACTGTAAAAAAATCGTAGAATACTAAACCCTAGTACTGAAAAAAGGTTTCATAAATCCTTAAAGGGTTTATTATTCTATGGTGAAGGGTTTATTATTGTACCCTTTCATGAAATAATTTTTTGCACTAAAAAAATTAAAATTGGACTCGTTATACATATATATCAAAATGATGTTGACTTTTCTGGTTCATGACACTTATTCATCAAATATTTTTGTGATTATATAGGAAATCATACAATAGAAATAAAGATCAATGAAAAACAGAATAAATTTAGCTCTCTCTATGTTGCAATAGCTTGTAATCTCACATTAAAAGATTATCATTCTCCATTAATTAGATCAACCTGAAAAACAAAATGAAACTTTGTTTATGTAGGTGAGGCTTCTATAAAAAAAAAAGTAAGTATTTATTCATAAATCTTGAAGAATTTCATCACTGAGTTAAAACATTGTATGCAATTATTACTTTTTTTTGAATCAACCGCTTTTGATTTAGCTTTTCCCAATCGAGCCGATCAAATGCAAGCATTATTTTTTTCCAGTCTTTTAGTTGCATAGAAAAGAAAATTGAAAATTGTAGGTAAGTATAATTTTTTTATTAGAATTATTGATTTTAACGTTTTATTTAAATATAGAAGTGAAAATTCTCGCTAAATATAATTTTCGCAGTTGAATTATTCTTTTTTTTCTTTTAGTCAATTTTTCATTCAAAATCAAACGTGAGCATAATTTTTCTTTCACAAATTCTAATTTCTATTCTTTTAGTTCGAAATTCGAAATCGCAATCACACCGACAACTACCCATGCCCACCCGCACCCACACACCCTCTGAAAAGAAAGAGTTATCATCAATAAATCAAACATTTTAGTGTTATACTCAAATTTTTTGTGCTAATATTTCAGGATTTTTATTTGTTTTTACTTTGAACCAGTGTCGATTCTCTTCATCGCAAAGCCGTAATCATTCGTAATTTTGGAAATATATCAGATACACTTTCTAAAAGCAGCTATATATAACTATATAATTGTCAATATAAACTATTTCAGATTTTATTTACCATGACTGAGATACAACAAGCAAAATCAGGAGCACAAGAACCGATTGCTATTATTGGAATTGCATGTGAATTTGCCGGTGGCATTAGTTCGCCGTTTGATCTTTGGCATGCATTGGTTAACAGTCAGGATGTGGGTAGTGAGATTCCAATTGAACGATTCGATATCCATTCACACAGTGCACACATGATGAATCAGGACAATGGCGAACTGCGTAAACGGCTTGTTCACCGTGGATACTTTTTACCATCATCTAAGTGGGATACATTCGAACCAAGTTTTTTTGGCTTATCCGATGGTGAAGCAGCAACAGTTGATCCATGCCATCGTCTTCTACTGCACAAATTCGTACATTTAGTCGACGATGCTGGTTATTCATTGGATCGTGTTCGTGGTTCTCGAACATCTGTTCATATTGGGCAATTTTCCATAAGCCATCAAGAAGCAACATTGAACTTGAAGCCAGAATTTCGAACGCGACTCCATGGTCCCAATATAATGCTGTATAATGCAGCTGCTCGACTTTCATATCATTTTGATTTGCATGGACCAAATCTATCGTTCGACGTGGCTTGCTCATCATCGCTTCAAGCTGTACATATGGCTATTCAAACATTGCGCAGCGGTGAAGCAGATATGGCCGTAGCCGGTGGTGTTAATGCCTTCTATACACCCGTTAGTCACCTGAATATAACGCTGCTAGGTGCAATATCCGTCGATGGTCGCAGTCGTTCGTTTAGTACTGATGCCAACGGATATGCTAAAGGTAACTGATGTTCTATTTTGGCATGAAATAAATGTTCACATGACTATTTCCTTTATATTTTATAGGTGAAGGTCTTGGTCTTGTTCTACTCAAACGATTAAAGGATGCTGAACGAGATGGTGATAAAATTTATTGTGTTATTCGAGATGTGTTGACCAATCATGATGGCAGTGAAGGAAAAATTAGTTATGTTATTCCATCACCAGCCGGACAATATCGTTTGCTAAACGATATTTATGAACAAGCAGAATTCGATCGAAAACGCATTTTCTATGTTGAAGCACATGGAACCGGAACACCAGTCGGCGATCCAATAGAAGCCAACACTCTCGGTCGATTTTTCAATCGTTCTCAAGTTGATTCACCATTGCTTATTGGATCAGTCAAAAGTAATCTTGGCCATACAGAGGGTACAGCTGGTGTGGCTGCACTCATTAAAGTAGCCTTATGCATGCGTTACCGAGCCATCCCACCTAACATGCACTTCAAAGCACTCAATCCAAAAATTGATGCTAAAAGGTTTAATATTCATGTTGTTCAACATTTAACTCCGTTTCCTACACGTAAAAATAACAATGGCAAACAAGAACCAGTAGCAATCGGCATCAATTCTTTTGGTATGGGTGGTAATAATGCTCATGCTATTGTGGAAGAATATCATCCATCAGAACGAACCAATTTGACAAAGGATAGTTCAGCGACGAATGGATATCATCATTTAGTGGTTGAGAGACAGAAGCCATTGGTTTTTCTAATCACAGGTGAGTAACAAAAAATTGCACGTAAACAAATATGTTATGATACTTTTTTCTATGTAGCAAAAAGTCAGGAATCACTTCGAAAACAAGTAGATTTGTTTAACACATGGTTGCAACAACAGAAATACGACAAACAAACAACTAATGCTGAGAACGAAAAAGCCTTTCTGGCACGTGTATCACGACAACTTCTCCTCAGAAGAACCATAAGCTATGAACATTTGGCTATAATTGTTGCTACGGATCTTGCTGAACTTCGAGAAAAACTCGATGCATATCTTGCAGATAGTGCAGCACCAGGTCTTCACATTGCGCAACGTCCGCAAATTCCAGTCAATGCTGATCTTCGACTTTGCTATGTGTTTAGTGGTCAAGGTCCACAATGGTGGGCCATGGGTCGGCAATTGTACTCGACAGAACCTGTCTTTCGGCAATGGATCGAGCAGATTGATGTTGAATTAGCAAAAATTACACAAGAATGGCGTTTGTTGGATGAATTGATTGGAAAAACAGAAGCGGAGTCCCGAATTAACGATACGAACATTTCTCAACCAGCCTTATTCTCTATTCAAGTCGCTTTGACTGCTCTTCTCGCCTCTTGGGGTATTTATCCAAGTGCTATCGTTTCACATAGTGCTGGTGAACAGGCGGCAGCGTTTATCGGCGGTCGCGTAAATCTACCAGAAGCTGTTCGTATTGTTTATCATCGATCTCGTCTACAACATCGTAACACTAGGCAAGGTGGTCGAATGTTAGCTGTGTCAATGAGTGAAAAAGAAGCCCGTGAACTATTGCGTGGCATTGAAGATGTTGTACATATTGCAGCCGTTAATAGTGCTCGATCAGTTACACTAAGCGGTGATGAAGCGATCATTGACGAGATTCAATCGATTCTTACTGTATGCCATCCAAATGTATTCAAAGCTCGACTTCGAATTGAAAATGCTTTTCATTCTCATCAAATGGATCGTTTTCAAATCAAAGAAGATATGCTTTCTTCTTTAAGTAACATTTCTGGACTTCCATTGCAAGATAAAAAACAATTATTCAATGAAAAATGTGCACAGGCTCAATTCTACTCAAGTGTTCTCGGTAAAAAAATGGATTCGAACATTCCTGTTGATGCACATTATTGGTGGGCAAATGTTCGGCAAGAAGTTCGTTTCAATGATGCTATTCAAGCAATATTGAGTGATAGCGCAGCCGATGCATTTCTTGAAGTGTCACCTCATCCAGTTTTGGCAACTTCAATCCGTGAAATTTGCGAAGCAGCCGGTACACAAGCACATATTTTCCCTACATTAAAACGTAAAGAAGATGAAGAGATGACATTACTGGCTACTGTTGCTCAAATTTCTCATTCTTCTACTGTTTGGCAAAATTTTCTTGATTCACGCTACATTCAGGGCGATGATGATAGTGACCATTATGAATTTGATAGATTTCCAGTTTATGCATTCAATACAAGTCCATGCTGGTATGAATCAAGAGAATCAGTTTTGGAACGACGTGCTATGAATGAATCTAATCATCCTCTATTGGGTATTCGTCTATGGACACAACAGAAAAATCCAACATGGAGAAGTTTGATTAATCTCAAGCTAGCTGAACATGCATTTTTGATAGATCATCGAATCCATGATGGTATCATGTTTCCAGCTGCTGGTTATCTTGAATTAGCATTGGCTGGTTGTCGTGAACTACAAATAAGACATAGCAATGACGATAGTACCCATCTATTGCCGATTGCATTTGAACATGTTGAATTTCACAAAGCACTTTTACTTAATGAAAGTGAATTAGTTGAAATATATACAGAAATTACTTGGCCTCTAAGTGAGTGGTCTATCTACAGTCGACCATGGGAATCATCAGGACAAGATTGTATGCGTTCAGCAGGTATGGCTGGTACAGATGTACTAAGCTCATATACTGATGCACAAGCACTGAACACATTCTCATTACGTACTTTTACATTACATGCACGAGGACGTATTGACACAGGTGCACATTTAAAACTGCATGCTGCGCGTGGTGCATCAGAACCATCGGTATTTCTTGGGTCCGATGAATTTATCATGTCCTCAATGGAACCAGCTAGTGTTTATGCTCGCTTATCTACACGTGGTTATCAGTATGGTAATGAATTTCAGGTGACAGAATCGATGGCAGCATCAAAATCGAAGGTGATTGGTCAAATTCAATTTAAACAAGGATCAGATCAATATTATTTGTACCCAGTCGCGGTCGACGGTAGTCTTCATGCGCCGATGACTATTTTGCCTGGTTCCGATACTTTATTACCTATTGGGATTGAGAAAATGATTATTTATGGAAGTACATTGAATCGATCCCGTTTGGTGACCTACACATCGTATCATTCAACTGTAGCTGGCATCTCACAAGATCATACACAAGCATTCGACATGATAGTATATGATGCAAAAGAGAAAACACCATTATTTGCATTTGATACATTTGTCACTCAAGGATCTCGAGGTAAAAGTCGTTCAAAAACTACAGACAAATCGGTATTCGAGAAAATGAAAGAGCTTGCTGAATTTCCGAATGCAGATTACAGTGAACATATTGAAACCATTCTCAGTGATTATTGTTTACAAAGGAAGTGGTACCCAATTGATCTCGAAATGATCGATTTGGTAAGAGATGATCTACAAGCGTCAAATTTTGACTTATCTTTGCTACCTGAAGCGACTACAAACATGTATGATGCTGATAAGCAATTGTCAGAATCAATTGAACAGTTGAATGAATTAGCATCTGAATATGCTCATTTAGCTATTGAACAACTTTCACATTTAGTTGATGCAGACACTAAACCCGAAACATTACATCAACTTATACCTGAAGATCATTCTGCACATATGCATCTTTTCTTAGATTCATGTTTAGCTCTTGCACATAAAAAGATCAGTTCATCGGTGACTCAACATACAACACAATTGCGCATTGTTAAATTATTCGAACGTTTTCCTTTAATTAAGCCATTACTTACGGTAATATCGGCAATCGGCACACAACTTATGAACTTGATTGTCGGAAAACAGGATATCAGTGAAGTGTTCACAGGAGGTTCCGATAACTTAAAAGCCTTAGAAGAATTACAAGTACTTATTTCACAGACCAAAACATATGCTGCATTTCAAATACTAGTGAGTCATTTGAAAAAAATAGCATTAGTGGGCAGCAAACCTACACGTAAGCTTCGCGTGTTTTTCATTGGTAGTGGAGTAAGTGCAAATGCGTTACCTATCTTGGAAAAATTGACCGATCTTGTTCAAGAGGCCAACGGACACGTAGAACTTGTTTATACAGAAAACGATTCCAAACTACTCGAACAGGCCAAAGAAACAATTATAAGCAGTGACCCACGACTAATAATATCGTATCGTGTATTTGATATCGAAAATGTTGATACAGATAGCTTAATCGAAGCTCATGACATCGTATTTGTTTCGAATATTTTGGGTGGCGCAATGGACAAACTTCAAGTTATTTCTGATTTACGTAGCCTGCTGACACCTGGAGGTCTACTTCTTATTGTTGAATTGACCATTGCTCATTCCTATTTCAATCTTCTGTTTGGTATCTCGGATAGTTGGTGGCGTGGAAATGGAGAAAAACAAGGCGTACTCAATGTTGAAGAATGGAAGCAGTTGATAAATGGAGTTGGTGGTTTTGATAAAAATGTACTTACGAGTCCATCGAATCAATTCGGTAATACACTTATTTTAGCTCAAAAATCAACTCAAATTGATACTCTTGCTAAACTCAGCGAAAGAAATGAACAAGGTTGGCTCATATTGGGTGATAATCGAAATAATTTATCAAGTAAAATTTTGTCGTATTTGCCTTGTCCAAATATTGAAGTCGAAATTCGAGATCCTAATTCGCAGTATCAAGAGTCAAAAGCACAAGTCATTACTGTTGTGAAACAAATGTTAGCCAAATATAAACAATTGAATATTGTTTTTGGATGGTCATTAAGTACATTGCCACTAGGAGAAGGATCTGATGATAACAATGAAGCAGCATTTCATAGTCAAGATGAAATCATGTGTGGTCTACTTGTTCACGTACTTCAAACAATTCAATCGGAACTTGCCGAACAAGCTAATCAACCGTACCCTTATGTATTTGTTTTAACAGAAAATGCTCAAACACCAGCCGACAAACAACTAAATGCATCTCCAACACCTATTCTCGGTCTCACTCGTAGTTTGTTCAATGAATATAAACGATATCATTTGAAACTTGTAGATTTACAACCAAACGAGAATAATTGCAATGGTAACTACAGTGATTCTTTTGTTAATGTTATTGTTCGTCATCTTATTCAATCCCGAAATATCCATGAATTAGCAGAAATTGTAATTCAACAAGATGAACATGATTCACAAGTGATTACACGACTTGATTGGAAATATGAGACAGTTGTAGATAAGACAACACTTGACGATAAGGTTACGACAAGAACAATTATTCCGTCGGAAGATGGGGACAAATTTCCATTTCGTTTACAAGTAGCTGAATCTCGGTTTTTGGCTGATCTTGTGTGGGTTAGGGAACCGTCAATTGATGAAATTTTACCAGGACAATTGGAAGTTCGTGTTCATTGTGTAGGTCTCAATTTTCGTGATGTTCTCAAAGCACGTGGAATGTATCCGCACATGCGTAGATTTGCACAATTCGACAAAGATCAACCATATGAGGATCGTGATACAGTACTTGGTTTTGATTTTATGGGATCAGTTGTTCGAGTCAATAATCCAGATTCATGTTTGAAGCCGGGCGACCGTGTATACGGCTCATCTGTCAAAGGAGTTTTCCATTCACATTTGATTGTCAATGAATTCGATGTTGTTAGCATACCACAATCATGTTCGCTTACAGATGAAGAGTTGGCTGCTTTGCCATGTGGATTTTTAACAGCATTCTATGCGCTCAAGCTTCGAGTACAATTAACCCAAGGTCAAACAGTTCTTGTTCATGCCGCATCAGGTGCAACTGGTCAAGCATTCATACAATATGCTCAATTGGTTGGTGCTCAAGTTTTGGCTACAGCAGGCTCAGAAGAGAAACGTCGTATGCTTCGTGAACACTTCGGTATTAAACATGTTTTCAATAGTCGTGATCTTTCCTTTGTTAATTCAATACGTGAAATTTATCCCAAAGGTATCGATGTTATTGTCAATTCCTTGACAGGCTCACTCATGCAAGAATCAGTAAAACTACTTGCTCCTCGAGGTCATTTCGTAGAATTGGGTAAACGTGATATTTTTGACAAAACATTTTTACCATTGTATCATCTCAAATCCGACTGTAGTTATCACATTATTGATCTCATTATGCTTAATACTCATGGGCATATGTCACCTCGCGTTTGGCTGGAAGAAATTTTGGAACATTTTAGAACAGGAAAATTCAAACCAATTGAACCAACAGTAGTTGTTGAACCCTCAGATGTTATTGAAACATTTACTAAAGTCAATCGAGGTGAAGCCATGGGCAAATCAGTGATTCGAATTTTCAGTTCGAAGCAACCGTTACAGATAAAAGATGATATTGGAATAGTACCAAATAGTCAGCATACAAGTGACATGTTTCCATCGCTTGTATGCAACCATGGAACAATCATTATATCAGGAGGTTTCGGTGGTTTGGGTTTAACTATGACTCAATGGATGATTGAAGAACGAGGTGTCAAGCGAGTGTGTCTGATGAGTCGACGAAAACTAGTTGAACTTGAAACGCCAGACAATCCACAGTACGACGATTGGCTTCGAGTCAAACATGCTGCGAAAGCACATAATGCCCACGTTGACGTTGTTCAGGCTGATGTAACACGATTCAGTGATGTTAAAAATTTGATTGTGAATATCAACAAAACACAATATCCTGTTCGTGGTATCCTTCATGCTGCTGTCATTGTCGAAGATCATGCTTTGAATAAATTAACTGATGAAAATATTGTGCGTATGCTAGGTCCAAAAGTTAGAGGCGCATGGAACTTTCATCATGCTTGTCAGGTGACTCAAGCACCCATACACTTTTTCGTAATGTTTTCATCGATTCGTAATCATTTACTTGATATGGGATCTGGCGGCTACAATGCAGGTAATCAGTTCTTAGATGCACTAGCAGATTTTCGCGTTAATCGTCTTGGATTACCGGCACTTTCTATTGGACTACCAGCTGTCAGCGGGGCTGGAATGTTTCATCGATATCGAGAATTTCTGACAACTTTACAAAGTACACAAGGTTTTGCTCTTGTGCCAAATATTGCTGTTTTTAAACTTTTCGATCGTTTGCATCGTGTCCAATGGGAATCCCCTTGTCCACTTATATTTGCAGTCAATTGGGAAAATCTTCGTCAACGTGTTCATCAACTACCAACACATCAACTGAGTGATGTTGTTCGGCAGCAAGCTATTTCATCTCAAGAAAGAAATCCTGCACTCAACAACATGAGTAATATATTAGATATTGAAACAATCTGTGATCGAACACAAGCAACCATTGCCCACTTGTTAGGTTCAACTTCTGTCGATCGTATTGATGTTAGTCGATCGCTAGTTGCTCAAGGATTAGATTCGCTAGCCGCTGTATCATTATATAATTGGTTGGGAAAAGAATTCAATGTATTTGTTCCATTAGCTGATCTTCTTCAAGGTATTTCTGTGAAAATCATTGGCCAGTTTGTGATGAATAAAATACAAGAGCAACAAGGTGCTAATGGTGCATCTTTAGAGATGAATTCCACCGAAACAGGCATAGCTCAAGCCGCGAAAAACTATGAAGAAGATGTAATCCACGATGTTTCTACTGATACAGGTGTCAATGATGTTCAATGTATTCTGCCTTGTTCAAAAACGGGCAACACATTATTTATTCATTTTTTTGTTGCCGATAGTACAAAAACAAAATTTCAAGCACTTATTGCGAAGTGTGCGGAATACTTTGGCGAAGACAGAACACCAGGTCTTTTCCTATTGGATACATCAACAATGAAAAACGTAGAAGCAATGATTTCTCAAATGCGTCGGATACAACCACGCGGTCCATATTCATTAGTTGCCATCGGAGAGAACTCATCTCATGTCATAATGGACATAAGCAATCAACTTCAAAAATACGAATCAGCATCAATATCACGTATTATTCGCGTTGAATCAGCCAAAGAGCAAAATCCAAAGACATCCAAAGATCATCATACAACTATTGCCGGCTCATTAGAAGACTCAACTACAGTGCATCGTCTTGTTGAGAAACTATTGCACGATTCGAAAGGATAATTTTGTTGACATAAATCCATTAAATTCAAATTGTTATCCACGCGTTTCATCATCGAACTTCTATGAGTCGTAATTTAACTATTTCGTTTTATGCTTCTTCTATATAGACAGTTTAGTTGAAAAATAAAAATAAAACTAACATGTGAATTTCACTAAATTGGGTGTGGGTGCAGGTAACCGGAAGAATGACACCCACACCCTCAATGGACTATACAGTTTGGGCGTGGGAGAGTGGCCTTGGATATAGGCTTAAAAGAATGTCAATAACAGCATCCGTACTCATCCACACTGCATCAATATCTTATGTTGCAGTGTGTTCTACTGTAACGTATATCTCGATTCTATCTATTTTCTTGTCTCTGTTTTCGTGTGCGTATATAAACATTTGTTTTCTAAAAGAATAAACAGAGAGATAATAAAACACACACGTTTAAAGTGCTCGTCGCTCTTCGTGAGCGAGAGCGCTAACATTTGGCGACATTGACTCGTTTCTACTAATAACAACTGTGGAAGGTCAAACTGCTGATTAAATCAACCAAATCGTCTATGAACTTGAACATCGAAATGTTATGATCACCTATACCGTCAATGGTTGGCTGCCTTTTCATCAATTACTAATCGACATGCAAATGATTGATAATGAACAACAAGCATTTGAATTATTTCAACAACCTGAATTAATTACATCAATTGATCAAGATTCATCATTTCAAATTTTTACAGCAATACCATCGACAAATATTCCATCTTCACAACAGTATACACGAGCACCATATGATAATATATTATTTAATGATGATCATGAGCAACGACAATCACAACAACAACGAACAATATTGATAAACAAACGTTCACGTGAACAAATATCTGACGATGAAAATATTCCATAAACACCACAAATCAATTTATCACATACAATACATTCGAAACAATGGCAAAAATTACACCGACATGAATTCATCAGACATGGCATAGATAATGGATTTTTTATCACAGAGATCAAACAAATTCTTCGTACGCACAAAATAAACTTTCTTGCCATAGATAAAGTAACGTCATCATCACCGCAGTCACAAATAAATAAATTTACATTTACACCTCAATTTAAAAAAAATAACTATTATTTCTTTGAAACAAAAGAAAAAAAGAAAAGAAAAGAGAACAGATAGAATCGAGATATACCTTAAAGTAGAACACACTGTAACATACTCCCTTATTGGACAAAAAAAGTGTGTTCTATCCACATTTTTGGATAGATAGAAATGATAATGAAACTAAGAGATAGGTAATGACTAGCATCAGACGAAAAGAAAAATAACAAACTAAAGCACGAGAAAGTCGTTGAAAAGAAATGGTTAATAGGATGAAAGAGCGAAAAAAAATGCAAAAAGAAGAACGAATATAAATTTTACGCTTTGATAGTTATATCGGTCTTGGTGGAAAAGAGCGAAAAGGAAAAGAGCGAAAAGGAAAATGGCGAAAAAAATCTAGAGAGGAAAATAGCGAAGAGGAAAATAGTGAAAAAATTAGAAGTGATCATTTCTATTCTTGTGACTCATGGTTTATGCTGTTTTATTGATCGAAAAAAGACTACTATGATAATGTATTTAGAAAATTTTATTTTTTTTTGTTTCCAATCAATAGTGATAAACCTGATAGAAGTTCCTTTGTGGTGATTTCTTTTTTGAGAAATCTATCGTGAAGAACATTGACTTTCATTTGAAAAGCAGTTGTCTTTTTTGATTGCTTTGGTGCAGATGCACCAGCATCAAGCTGTATTGAAATATGTTGAAAACGAACATGTTCGCTTTTAATCAACTGTATAAAACTCCAAATATTTGGGTGTTTTCGTGCCAATCGAGTTGCAAATCGAAGGTTATAAGCTAAAATACGAATGATTCGCGATAAAGCTTCGAGATGAGGCAAATTGAAAATAAGACTATTCTTACCCTCTGAAGTGTTGTTAGTGCGATGTTTGACATGATGAAAATTCCACATGTGCATAGGAACAACACCATGCATCCACTGATGTTGGAAGTAAACTAATAGATCACTCAATGATGTTGCCATGATTGTTTGTAAACGTTGAAACTGATTATCTATTTCAGTAATCGGCATAAGGCTTAAGGCCATTAGTTGACGACATTGATCACGAATACTTCCATTGTGTAAATAATCATTCGCCAAACCTAAATCTGTAATTTTTCGATGGATTGCCTGATTGAAGTGAAACATACATCCTGAGTGAACTGCCGTAGGAAACTGACAAAAATTAAACAACCTTAAACATGATAATCGCATATTCTGAAAATGAAAATACTCACTTCTTGTCCAACAACAGGTAATAAAGTAGGTTCATAGTCTGTTATTATTCGTTTCGGTTTAAATTGTTTTCCCATCGTATTAGCTTTTTCTTTTAATTGTTCAATCAACTCAGTGTACGTTTTTCCACGTTTATTTGGTAAAAGACAAAAGGCGACTGGCAAGCCTGTCATACAAGAGTGAACAATAATCATTCAAGATATTATTAATAATTTACCACGTACCTTGACCAAATTTCTGAGCATGTATCAAGTATACTTGTTTGAAATTTGGTGGTGTTGTATCAAATGTTCCGTCCATAAAAATTGTTTCGCTTTCGAATAATAATTCTAACTGTTGATCGCTTGAAAATACCAGTATTCGATCTTTACCACGTGTCATGAACAAATCAACCAATAAAAATCGTTCATTTGAAAGTGTTTGCTGATATGATTCAGGAATATCGAATATAACGCTTGATGGTATGACAGGTGTAATTTTTCGACGAGCTTTACTCATATTAGATCCTTAATATTAAAAACAAACATTTCTCGAATAAATTATTTTACTAATGTACCAACGGTACCTACGATATTCAATAACAGTTGGTAAAATTACTGCTGCTGCTTTTGAAAGTTTCGCCTTCACAATTTCCTCGTCATATATTTTTGTTATGGGTGTTGTTTCAGTCAATATTCGTTCTTTCATTTTGTCTCGTAAAATTTTTGCTTCTAGTTGATCCGGATTTGCAGAATGATTATGATTACCACTAATCGAGATCAACTCCTTGTTAACATTTGTATGTATATATACGCTGCAACCTTTTTCCGTACAAATCCAATATTTTTTCGAGATTGTTGTTTTGTTACATCGAAATAGATAATTATCACATATTATTAATGGATTACCTTTATTCGATGTGGCAAAAGATATCTCAGGTTGCTGAGCGTTAAATGAACTATTTTCAGAAGGTACATTTGAAATCATTTTCACGGTAAATCTATTTAATATTAAGAAGTTTTCTCGGTTTATTGAAAAAAAAAGATGAGTGACCAATACGAACAGAAATGATGAATTTTATAACGACATCTTTTCAATCATCGGATGTTTCTGTTCTTTTTCATTTCGTCCATCATATCATATTTTCGCTGTTTTCCCTTTCGCTATTTTCCTTTTCGCTATTTTCCTTCTATATAGTTTTTCTTTCGCTGTTTTCCTCTTTCAGTTTTTTTTCCGCCATTTTCCTTTTCGCTCTTTTCCACTAACACCGTGAGAACTGGGGATTTAATGTAAGCGCACCGAATTTAGATTATGAAGTATCAAAATCAAACTTTAACAGAAAAATCGACGTTTCTCTTCGTAGTACCTTTAAGTTAAGTTTTCATAAAATACGTTGACACTATGAATATGGCAATGCCGTCTGGCCAAGACGGGTCGCTGGAATAATTTTCAGGCGTATGGTGTTATCGAGTGATGAGATCTGAACTGACCAATGTTAGCAAAGGAGTCAATTTTCCCTGCATTGGTGCGATGCATAGAATCCCAAGAGTTTAATTGTTGAAGCTGAAATGGATTGTCGTAGGATATCGTAGGTCAGGATTCGCGCATTGTCCAATAAGATTCGCCAATTCATCAGACCAAATTGAACAAACATCGGATCAAGATAGATCTCGGCGAGCTCTATCGAATGCACTGTTTATTCTTTTTCCAAGATCTACCCATCATAGAGAAAAACCAAAAATACTGCAAAAAAAAGACCACAAAAAAGCCTAATTTTTCAGAAGAACCTGTCACGATTCATCAATTCATCAGACCAGACTGAACAAACACCGGACCAAGATAGAGCTTGACTTGCTCTATAGATTGGACTAGTTTTGAGTTTTTGTACGATGCTTCCGTCGGCTCGAAATTTGCTAGACTATCCTGGAAATCTCAGGTTTCTCGGAAGAACTCGACGCCATTGACTCTAATCACTTTTTCAAGGCTTCCATACAACTTCTCAAGAAGAACTTGGTGAGATCAACTGAAAGTACCTCTGCCGGGGTGAATGGAACGGTCGGATTCCCACCGAACGTCAAATCCGCGCCTCAATCCAAGATTTCTATTTGGTTGAAGTTTTGATGTTTGGAAGGATCAGAGTAATTGTTAAATAATATTTTAATTCTAAAAAAATTTTGAATGATTTAAATTCCTTTTAGGAAAGGCTATTGAATGTTTTTCCTGATGGTATCTCTAGTCACTGTTGGTTAGATACGGATATCGACGCACAAGAAAATTAAAGAACACAATCTTGAGTGATTGTCATTTTATCAACAGTACCAGTATAGCCTTTCGAAAGAATTAGCAGTCATGATCACAATGCATATATTTTTGTGAAAAAAAGTCTTAAGATCAGCAGAGGTGTCAACTGAATTTTCGTTTCAATCTATGATTGTTCCGAACCGATTTCCGATAACAATCACGGTAAAAAAGAGTTCAGACAAATTATTGAGATCTGAGCTACGCCAAAGTTACAAATACTAAAAAATCAATATAGATTGATTCAACAAAACAGCTAACCAATTTTCTAGTAATTTTCTCTAATCCATTCTATTTTTGATTCTTTTTTTCTGACAATTTTTTCAACTAATGCACGATCAACATTATTTATTGACGTAATAAATTTAAATCAATCTCCTTTGTAAAATACTCAATCGCACTTTAAATCTTTAAACGTAAACTCCGTTCGATCATGGATTGCTCAATCCAGTTGAGCCAATAAAATTGTTTTCCTTTCCTTCTCATGATTGCGGATCATGTAATCTATTTGGTTTAGTTATGTTTTTTCGTTATTGAGTCGTTTAGTTTTCTCGTTTGAATATATGAGGGACTATCCTTATATTTATTTAAAAAGGTTTATTTATTTTTTCATCGCTGTTATCGTTATTTACATAAATCTACTTTTCTCTTCAATCAACTGATTTCATCAATTGATCTCATTAAAAATCATTGATTATACATATACATATACTAATACGAGGTAAACTAAATATTTACGTGAGTTCTCGACATAAGATCAATTAATCTAAAGAAGACGCATCACTGACTGCCTAGGTCGAGAAATCCCACACAGAATTCAATAGGAACTTGATAGTATTCTGCCATCCGACAGAATTTTATAGGATTCCGGGTCGAGGAATTGACATCGGAACCCATTGAACTCCCGATGACATCCAACAGTGTTTCTTTGGAAGTCATAGGAATCCGGAACCCGGAATCCGATAATAGCTCTGTAGGGTCCGACAAAATCCGGTAAGATCCCACTGGATGCAAGTCGGATCCGATTGGTTCCCACTGTTGGATTGTTCGACCTGGGTGAACGTAAAAATAAAATAAAGATTAATTACAGACATCTTCAAAAGAGAACCTCACAATATGTATAAGTTAATAATGTTTTAAGTAAATATTTTGATGTTTCACGACAATTTTGACAACAAAGTAGATAAATGACTAAATTACCAATAGAATTAAGTGTTTGCATAAAGCTGGCAAATGTATAGAAGATAGGTTGTATTTGACATTGAAAATCAAGAGTAGATGGTGATATATACTTCTCTCGTACGGAATATTGAACTTCATAGATTTGATTAATAAAAATTGGAATACGACATACGAGAAATAAAAGTACAACTGCTATAAGCATGATTGTCACATGATAGTGCCGTCGATAGTAAACTAAATTCATCTTCAACATTGCCATTTGTCGAATAGATGTTGACAATAAACGACGATGTTCATCATAATATTGTGTAAGTCCACGTGCTGTTAGAATACTCATAAATATTAATATAACAAATGGTATAATATATACCACTGGAATATAAACGTAAGTATTTATGATTTGAAAAAATGCTTTGTGCTTACCAATAAATTTATCTACAAAGATTAATGAAATCGAGATGGTTAGGAAAAAAATGAAATCTATTCTTACTCAATACTTCATGATGAGTTCGATTTTGAATATCAATTTGTTTAACAACACGAAATTTAAACCAATACGGTATTATAAAAATAATTGAAAATATTGTTAATAATAGTATAATACGTAAAGAATTTCGTACAGTACAGTAATGAGCAGCATTTAAACCCATGAAAACATGTAAATAACGATCAGCAGAAACAGCTACTGTGTAACAAGTTATGCATAATTCAAGAGTATTCATTAGAGGAATAATGTATGGTGATAATCTATAGATGTACTTAAAAAATAAAAATAGAATTTAACTTTAGATGAAACTCACTGATAAAATATTTCATCATAATTATTGTATAAATTGTTTTGAGTTTTAGAAATAAAATGTGGAATTATAATAGTGAAACGAATTGCATAAAATATAAAAAATAATATGAGCCAAAGAAGATTTGCAACGGCCAATGCAATTAAATATACATTTGTTGATAATGTTCTCATACGTTTATTGGCTAATACAATTATTGAAAATGTATTACCTAATAATCCTAATATGCAGGTGATAATTGATAACCACCCACCAATGACAAATCGAAATATTAATACAAAATCTTCATCTTTTTTGGTACATACAAGATTAAATGTATTGTTCAATGTCATTTTTACAATCGATTGATGTTACCAAAGAAAAAAGTGAAAAATACTTAACCCTAAATAGATAATATTTAGAGCTCGCCTATATAGTTGAAGGGTGCTATAAAAAAAAACGTATCGTATTATCTATAACGTTATTATAAATTATTTTATATCCTTATTGCAATCAACATTGGTTTATCAATGCTCCTTAGATTTTAATAAGACCTATCATATGACTAAGTCGTTGATAGATAAGCAACAGGAAAAAAGTGATTCCTATTTTCATGCAAAAAAATGAACTAATTACTATGTTGCATCGATACAATCATATTATTTCATCATTTTTTTTAATATTAGCGTTTTACTAGCGATGGGGTTTATATTGTTTTTTGACAATCTCAAATTTTGATATTGAAAATAAATTGAATTCTTGAGTAACAGTCGTTCGAATTGGGAAGTTCATGTTTTTATAGCTGTAACGAGAAATTATCAATACTAACAGATGAATGCATCTACGAAAGATCAAATTGTTGTGCTTGATGTAACTTTTTTCTTTAAATTTATTTTGAATTGATTCTTTGAAAATCGAGAAAACATTTTCATTTTCTCAAAAGCAAGCACTCATGATTCGTTCAAATGTTCAATAGTGCCTACTTGAAGAAGACAACGAGCCCGCGATAGCTCAGTTGGTAGAGCGGAAGACTGTAGATGTATCATAACTGTAATCTTTAGGTCACTGGTTCGACTCCGGTTCGCGGGACTCCTTTTTTTTCTATCTTATTTTGAAGCTGCATTAGATTTTTCATTGATAAATATTTTATCCAATTGTAAAAGGAGACGATGAATAAATAAATACAATTATTTCTGATTGATGATTATTGATCATTGATCATTGAATTGGAATGAAGGTCACCGCATATTGTATCAAGTAAAATAGTATAAAGATGAGAACAAGAATATAAATTTTTTTCTATATGAACAAATCTTGAAGGATAATTTTTGATATCTACCATCAATATATTCTTTGTTTTCCTTTTAGCACCGTCTGTGTGTCACATCATAATTTAGAGAAGTTGTTGCGATGATGATGAGAAACTATATTACCGAGCCATTAATAATTGCGATTGGCTAAATATAAAATCATCTAATGTAAAAATCATATAACGGGTGTGCCAGATGAAATGAGCCTCTCAGTATTTTTCGAATATCTCGTTCTATCATTTCATAATGATTCGTTGAAAGAACTGTGTTCACTAGGTTCTGTAGAGAATTCGATGGGCTATCTTTTAGAGAAAAAACCAAATAAATACGTGAGAATCTGAACGAGATATTCGAAAAATACTGAGAAGCTCATTTCATCTGGCGCACCCGTTAATGCCCTTGAATATATAAAAACTGAAAAGAGCCAGTTAATAAAAAAAAAGGAACAACAGCTGCAGTAAATAACATACATTTCTCATTGATACGATACTATTATTAGCTCAGTTATCCATAGAATGAAGAAAAAAAACATTTATAAAATATATTGCACTTTTATTCGAAAGAGTAAAATTATATTTTAGCAAATAATATGTTTTTACTAAATAGGTAGCAGTGTAAAATAAATTAGTTTAAATAATTTATTTAAGAACAGACTGTTATAAACAGCAGCTACTAACACTACTACACGAGTTCAATAACAGATCCATATGTGTCGCAATCAACACAAGCATCCAATTAATATGATATACTGTATACATAACAATGACATTTAATCTTATGGATTTATTACTTGGTTCGATTGTAACGAACGATGAGCAAGACTTCGCTGAAATAATACATGCAACTTTTTTTCTCTTCCCTTGAATAGATGACCTTTGGTCGTTCTTTGTCAAAACAACGTATAACGAGCCCGCGATAGCTCAGTTGGTAGAGCGGAAGACTGTAGATGTATGATAACTGTAATCTTTAGGTCACTGGTTCGACTCCGGTTCGCGGGACTCTTTTTTACTACCTATAATATCAATGATGATACATGAATAAAGTAATAAAAAATGAGCATGAATAAAAATTCTTGTAGGTAATATTATCAATGAAGGAGACCGGAAACATACAGCTAAGTATTTGAGCAAGAATGTGGCATGAAAAACAAACATACAAGAACTTATTTTTTGGTCTATCACACAGAGGATCTGATAGATAGAAAAATTTGATTGACTAATTTCTATAAAGTTGTGTGCAGTGTACATGACTTATATTTATTTTTTTAAATTTAATTGATACATCAAATTTATTTTATTTTCAACTGATTTTTCAAGACTTTATTCTCGAGAACCTGAAGCAATATTAATGCGTCGAACAGTATCGATGATTTTTTTGACACCAGCCATGTGTGTGGACCTAATTTATTAGCATAACTAACGGAACCATAACCCCACCAATCGAAGCAACCATTTAGATTCTGAGAAGTAAATGTCGATTGTATTACTTGTGGAAATAATACAATTATATCATTGAGTTCAGCAATTTCCAAGTAGCCTGCTTTTTTAGCAAATACATCACCAACAAATGATTTACCGGTAGAAGAAAAAGAAAGGAAATATAATTAAATCATAGACAAAGCAAAGTTGCATGATACAAACCTTGTTTACAGCCATGAAGAACAACATGAATTGGACATTTCTTTCCTTTAGTACAAGCTGGCGGAAAATAAATATAGCCTTGTGTATCAAAACTAGCACCAACATCAGATGATGATGTTCCAGTTATGCCTGGAACAGTGATACTTGATAATGTGAATGTACTTTAATTAAAGAATTGCAAATATGTTAAATAGACTATATAAAGACATTGCTGATTGCATCGCAATTTGCCCATAACGAAAACATATCGAGAGCTCTTGCGTCTGAATTAAGAGCGGCTTGCGGATTCATGAATACTGCTTGATCAATAGCAATAAATTATCCAGTAAGTGTTGTTATTGATCCACTTGGTGGTTTAATAAGATCGCTACCATATGAATGATTTAACATATCATAAGCCAAGTTAAAATCACTACTCAAGAAATAATATACGAAATTATTTTCAATTATTTCTTTCTTTCTTAATACATACCAGTCATTCATGAAATTAGCTGAATTAAGTGTTTCACATTTTCCATTAAAATCTTCTATTGGAAAAACATGATTAGCCGGTAGATTATAGTTCGTTTTGATTCTAGCACCGAATTTAGAATATATTTTTTCATTGAGCTGAATCACAGACGAAACAACTACTCGATCATTTTTACCACTAAATATACACATACTGAATCATCTTTTACATTTGATGTTGGATCAGCACTGCTAGATCCAATATATGATTTCAATTTATTTTGAATATTTGTCAACGAAGCTGATGTAGCTGAACCATTCATACTTAGGTCTGACCAAACGTTCTGCAATTTAAAAACAAATTAATCATATTTCATTTATTTAATTGGTTAAACTACGTTCAATAGAATTGGTCACCGGAAAATTGCATAGTATCAGGCGTGACGAATATGATTGATATGACATTATATTGATTCCTTCTTCTATCATCTAATTAATAACATTGGGCAAGTATGGAGTCAACGATGATCGTGAAGCAATTTTGTACATCTTGGCCCTGACGATTCATCTTCAATAAGCCAGCTAGCATCAGATGAATTATGACTAACCTATCTAAAATAAATCCATATCCCATCACTAGTAGGGCTAGAATGTAACTGTCATGATCGAACAAAATTTTTAAAACAATGAAATATGATTAGTTCATGTGGTATCCAAGGTACCTAAAATCTTTTTCGAAAAAGAGTTCAAAAAACCTTTTAACAAATTGTTAGAAAGGATTCAACTTGATATATCTAATTGTGGCAACTATCATCAACATTTAATAAAATAAAACTCGAACTTTCTCTTTTTCTTTAGCTTTTTTTTAAATTGCAGGACTTTTGGTCAGACCTAAGCACATGCGCCAAGAACTGACATCGTGTTGCCTTGAGCGCAATAATAGGAAGGACCAGCAACAATCCCACAGTCACTAATTTCAGATGAAAAGGCAATCTGTAATTGCGATGTCATTGAGACACCAGCCGATATACTTGAGACTGTAACATCAGTTCGTGGTGTTTTAGCTTCAATAAATGAAGCAACAAGAACAGAAATACAGAAAATAGTTAACATTGTATAATAGTTGCTTTCGATGGATACCAAAAGTAATATAAATCGAAATACGTAATATATAGGTGCGAAAAGGGGGCACGAGTGAGGTGTAGCTGTATTGAAAACAAATTTATAAATTCATACTACGTTTGAAAACTTGTGAAATTTGAGAAATCAAATATTGATATTAAAAGGATACTAAGAGAGTATGGATATTTTTGAGTGCTTATTAAGTTAAATCACACAAATAAATATATAGTTTTACGGGTTAACTTTGTACTTTAGAGGCATTCTGAATATTGCCCGGCCAATGTTTCTCCTTGTTAATAGTTTATTTATTAAAATATGGTCGGCTTCAAAAATATGGCATATCTTATATGGATTTCAATGTGTAGAATATTCTTTCGTCGAATAAAAATCACGTGCAGATAGACCTAACATTCAAAATAAAATGATCAAATTACAAAAATATTAATTTTACTACAGGTGAACTTTTTTCGATGTTCTAGGTCGTAAAAGAATGATACCATGATGAAGCGTTACTAGCTATTTACAAAAGTAAATTTAGGCATTCGTATTAAACGGTAAAAATATTTACAATCAATCTTGGGATTTAGCAGCTCAATTTCAAACTAACTTATTAGTTTGAGAAAGAAGAAAGACCATACGCCCCATGACATATTCTACAAAATAATTCTATTGAAATGATATATTATAGACAATTGATTTAATAACAAGAGCAACTATCATCTACTCAATTTTTTCAAATGGATTTTTTCTGTTCGATCGATTATCAGTAAAATTAACACAGACTTTTACTCCCTGATGAATGCTTTTTCAAAAGTCACTGAAAATACTAAAATAGTATTGTTTTGATCTAAATACTAGTAGTTTGCATAGAAAGACATTCGATAGTCAACTTTAATCAAAATAATTTGATCACACCAACGATCATTAGAAAAATGTGAAAGTAGAATAATATCAAAACTCACACGTTTTTCTTCTATAACGTAAGCATGTTTTGTTTTGTTCTTGTTATTTTTTTTTTCATTTGACTAATATAATGAAAAAAAAAGAAGCTTTGCAGTATAACATGTACTCTAATGAATTTTATATTGATGACCAATATATCATACATCTTCTAATTGACACTATGAGTTTGAACAAAACAAAAATAGGGATGATGCATATTTTTCATCCTTTTACTTTACGATAGTCACTATAGAAAAAAGTGCTATGGTTTAGCATCTCTTGTCTGGCAGTATATAGGAAAATGATAAAAACGTGTGTTCGAAATACTTAATACAATCGGTTAGGAAATTGAGTTAGAATTAAAAATAAAATAAAAACTGAATATGTTTTTCTCTGAAAAATTCCTTATAACACGTATGTAGAAATGTAAGAGATTAAAAATTCTTTTTCTCATGAGAAATCAACAACAAAACGATCCTACAAACAAATTGTGTTCTGTAAAGTCTGACACATAAAAAATCATGTCATGTTATAAACCGATACGATTTCATACACTATACGAAATAATGTAAAACAAAATCCAATACTAAATAAAATCATTGATTCAATGCGTTCAAGCAAAAAATATTGACAATAAGGATTTAGATCATCGAAGAACACAGCAATATAAATATGTTTGTTATTAATATCGACACGGATTATCTTTTTGCCTGAACAGTTATTAAATAAAACACTTGTATTCCCATTCTAATCAAGTAGATTAAAATGCATTCTTGCGATCGGTATAAATTATCCACTTTTACTTTCAATAAAGCACATTTTGATTAGAAAAGTTCTATTATATATGCATTGTTTACTACTGAATTTACAATTTTCCTCAAAGATTTTTGCAAAAGGATTTCAATAAGACAAAATATAGAAATCATGGCTAAAAATCAAAAATGTACATTCATTAAAAAAACACAATCGTATATTTATAATATCTATATAAGATAAACAAAATCGAAAAAATTCCAAACATGAATAATTTCTTATTTAATTTACAAAAGGAAAAAGAGATCCGCAACTATATACTGTTGTTAAAGCTCAAATAGCACACACATATACATATACGAATATTATTTAAACACTTGCATAAAAATCGACTATATACTTGAGTAAAATGATTAGAATAATGCAGAAATTATGTTAATTAATTGTTGAATAAATTCTAATATCATGATTAAATTGTTCTTTATTATTGGTTAATCGTGTTCATAGGCAAAACGAAAATCATCATCATCCGTTAAATATGATCCATATGATTCAATATCATCATCATCAAATAATATATCCAATCTTATAAAGAAAAACAAAACAATGAGGAATAATTTTTCTTGCAAAAGCTTTTAACATACTCATCAAATACTCTCCCAACAGTAAATGGTGAAAAGATCGATAGCATAAGAACATCAGAATAGTTTTCTAAATCTCCATGAATATTAAGACGTTGACGACGACGCGGTGGATCTAATTGAACATGTTGTCCATGTTTATCAACATGTCGATAAAAACATTTTGAGCCGAATGGACATAAACCATCACCTCGTTTGAAAAATTTACAATGGATCTTTCTAAACGTATAAATGAAAAAAGTGATTTCGTTATCTATTCAGTTTTTCATTTTGCTTTATTTACTGAAGATTTTCTTTATAAACTTGAATTAGGGCCCTTTTTGCTTGATCATTTTCTGGCCAATATTTTGTTGGTGTAACAAAATCAGATTTTATTCGACATTCGGGACTATAATAAAGCAAAAGAATATCTTTTATTCATGAATCAATTGGTACTTTTGTCAAAACTATTGATACAAACAGCAGAATAAAATATTATACGAAAAACATTTTTACGATGGTTTATGTTATTCATCAGAAGTCGCTCAACGATTGTTCGCTGACCTGTACTTTACTTCTTTATAAGTAGAAAAACAAGTTGTAATTCATCGAAAAATTCTACTTTTGAATCTACAACCGAACTGTACAATAACATTAGAGTAAGTTTCCCAGATAGAATCAATGTAATAATTATGAAAAATATCTGTACTATAGTAATTTTTCCCCATAAAACAATTTGATAGTGTAAAATACAAATTAGTTTTAGTTAACATTTTACAACGGAAAGAAAATTTCATCGAAAAACGATCAGACATTTGAGTGTACAAAAGAGCCAGCAGCTTGAAAAGGACATGAAACTTGAACCTTTAGAACAAAAACAAAAAGGTATTTTTCTATGGAAAAGAAATGTCATTGGATAGAAATAATATTTCGTCAAATCATAGGATTAAGACGAAAACTAAATAAACAAGGTCGATTGACACGAAAATGATTAGATGTCTAGGACTCAGTTATACGCATGATTGGTTATTATTCTTTTCTTTTCTAATAGCTAGGCAATATTATGACAAACGATTTCATGTGACAGCCAGCAGCTCAAAGAGAAATCAAACAGAAATCTTGTCAATCGATCGACAGAAATAGTCGCAATAATTTAAAATATCAATTCTTACCAAGCTTTGACAATTTTATGTTCATAGTTTGATGATGAACGCCATGTTCTTATGCATTCCAAACAAAAGATATGATCACAATTTTCCAATATACCAAAACGTTTATCACCATCTCTATCCCATACTGTTTCAAGACAAACACCACATTTTTTATCTTGACTACGTTGTATTGCGAAGGCTTCTTCACAATCAGCTTCATGTTTTCTCAGGCATTCCTTAAAAAATTAATAAAATTCTTTTTCATCAAGCAGAAAAGACAAAGATAAATTTAATATTCTTACAAATCGATGCTGTTCTCGTTGTTTTTCATTTGTTGGGTGTAATAACGGCATTTCACAAAGGTCACATAAATCACCATGAATATATGGACAATAACGCCCAGTTTCTAATGCTTCACAATAGCCATCTTTTTCAGCATATGGACATATTGATTGAAGAGTAAAACTAGGAGAATGTAGCTCCACTTCTTCAAGAGAAGTTGAATCATCAGGAGAATTTTGTTCATAGCGTCTTGGCTCTAGAAGTAAATTATGACGTTGATGATCTCTGTATTGCAATATCTCTTGAAATTACGTGTTCCTAGTATCCTGTATTTTTTGAAAGATATTTCTGATAGATTCTCAAAGAGAATTATCATTCAAAATTTAGTTTAGTGAATTTCAATATCTTCTTATCAAGCTACTTATTTTGAAATGAAGGATCAGAAAAAAATAGTCCCAGAATTCGTATCAATATATTAAAAAGATATGAGAATTCTTTTTCTAATCTTATATTATTGATTTTTCGAAAGGAATTCTGATCCTGCATTCAATATATATATATATATATATATATATACAGTACCTTCTGTATTCAAATTAATACATGATTGAGATTGGTTACTAAGTAAATTCTGTTGAAACGAACTTGTTGTTGTAGTTATTGGTGGTTCAATCGACCAAGGAAATGCTTCCGATTTCTGTTGTGCATGAACATACCTTAATAAAAAAATGATTAGCATTGTGAAAATAAAAAGATAAAATTTTTGAAGTTTAATCAAACCTGCATCGATCACCATATATACATTTGCCTCGTAGGTAATATCGACAGATATTATTTATTTGACTGTTTGTTTGATCGTGTGAATAGTAACATTTATCACCATAACGACATGTGTTCGAGAGAAAATATCTGTGCAATGATTTTTAACTTGTAAGAATAGAAAAACATAAAACAAAAAACAACAACAAACCGGCATAACTTCTGTGGCGATTCGTTTGGATTAATGGCAACCACCGACGAAGCCATCAACGACGATTTTATATCAAGAACTAGAGTGTAAACAAGAAAATATTAAATCAAATTTCGACTGACGTTTTTTCCGAAAATACATCATTCTTTAAAAGCATCACACAATTTCCTTGAGTGTCTATTCGAAGAGCATATAACCAATAGAATATTGAAAATATTTTATTTGAAAAGAAAACCTAACAATATACTTAAATTCAAGTATATCTCGATAATATGAAATTAGATTTATTAATAACTATTCTTATTTCAAAAAAAAACAAGCAAAGGAATGCTTCTATTTCATAGAGTACTAGTGTCATCTACAGGAAGCAAGTTGGGCAAGTTATCCTCATATAATCAAGAAAACTAACTTTTCATTTAAGTCTCAGTAATACATTAAATTGTTACCAAGAAGGTTTCAGTGTATGAACAGATGATCATTCAATTGAAAAATATTTTGCATATATTATTATATATTCTATGCCACTACAGGAAATAACCAACCGAACCTAGAGCTCTGTACAGGTCTTCGAAATTTGCTCCTATTCTGCTGGATTATATGGAACGTATTAGTCCCATCAAATGATAAATAATATATAAAATGCATTTCATGTGCCGTAAAATTAATAAAAGTACTATTGATCAACGCTAAACAGAATTATCGTCATTAGTTTTGTTTTGCATTGTGTCTATGTTTAGAAGCAAGATGTATTTATTTATCGATTGAAGCAAGCAAACAGAAATGAAAAACAAGAATCATGAAGTTCAACAATTATCTGTTGATTTGACATCTAAACAGAAACATCAATGAAAGTAGCTAATAAACTAAATTTCTTCATTTACTCTTCCATTGAATAAGCTGTTGAATAGCATCTGTATGAATTACTTGAAAATAATATCGATAATCAACAAGCATATTATTTTCTGCTGTTTTTGCTTTCAACTGACGCATTAATTGATAGAGATTCGATCGTAAACAAGATAAATTTATACAATTTTCTCGGTTAGATTTCAATGTACGATATTCTAATTGATTTGAAAATTCTTGTTGGATTGATACAAGTACTAAGTTACAAATAATCCCACGACATATTATTTTTATGAAACGATTCTTTATAATGCAAAGTTTGTTTTTTAAATAAGCTAGTTCTTCACGTGGTAAAGGATCAACTAAAGAAGAAAAAAAATACTTTCTTTGGAAATCGATCCAGCAATGAAATTAAAATAAAAACTAACGTGAATGTCTTTTACAAAAATGTCGTTGAAATATTTGTTTCCTGAGTACTCTTTGTTTTTCATGTGAACGATCAAGGATTTTATCAATGTGAGCTTTTACAACCTAAAATTCAAAAATTTAATTTTCGCTACAAACCTAAAAGTTTTATACGACAAAGTGTTATTCGAAGAAACAACTCATATTCTAGACAAGGTCACATGCAGATCAGGTGTCTATTGTTAGTAGGATCAGATGACCTATTGTATGACAACAGCAGAGGCAGTCATCGCTGCCATTAGGTATCTCTAATAAACTGGTCAAGATATGCATCTATTGAATAATGGTGAACCTAAACTCACACCGTCTTGAGATTGAAGGTGCGAAGGTGGCTATTTCAAAAACCAAAATTCAATTCGATGAAACATGATAATGTAGCGGTCGTAGAAAGACAAAGTACATTTTATAGATTTAAATAAATCATCTCTAGATTCGTAGCAATCAATCAAGCGCCCTCAAGTCATTATCATCATTTTTGTATATATACAAATCAATACAAAGCTGCAAGCAAAATTGGTGCATCAGCGATGTGAAATCCATATAAATCCTGACATTTCATTTTTAGCGATATCCTATTTTTAGTAAGCCGTGGAAACCGTCAATACAATACATTTCGAATTCTATTGTCGAATAGGTTATCATAAATGCATGCAGTAATGTATAGTTTCAAATGCTTTGAAAATCAAGAATAACAAAATCATAAATAACTGATGCTTTACCTCAAGTTGAAATTTATCTTTTTTCTCAATTAACTTTCTATTTTGTTCTCGGTTTTGTCGAATATGAATTTTTAATGAGTGAATACATTTAGAAATAATTTGAATATTATTCTCTCGTTGATGAATATGCTCATCAAATCGAGCTAATTTTTTATATAATAGTTGACATAAATTAATTCGACGCACCACCATACGACCTAAGATTGATCGAACTTTTAAATATTTTATTGAATCTTCGTTTGCTTTTTTAAGATGTTTCTGTGAAACTTCGTATTGATTTTGAAGGCTAACATATTGATTGTGAACATTTGAGAGCTTTCTTAGATTAATTTCGTCTTTTTGTTCAAGTGCAGAATGAAATTCGTATAATTTATTTAAAGATGTCTGCTGCTCAATTACACCATTATGACAAATAGATAATTGTTCAGTAAAACTTTTTAAGCGATATTGAGAATGTCTAAACAATCGAATTGATATAATTGAAAAATGTCACGTAAGAAAACAGTGAGTCTGTAATTTACAGAAAACATAGTTTCTCATTCTTTGTTAAAAATGTTATGATACTTTGCGTTGTACAAATAAGTTTCAACTGAAATCTCTGGTAAATGAAAGCGAAAGAACTGTTTTACTCTAGTTAGTCTACATTTTTCTATCATACATATCTTAGGAATAGTCTGATTGAGTATAAAATCGAAACCGCGACGATATCAGCAGTCATCGGGTAGTAACTATTTATGAGTTAACACTTTTGATATGTTTTTTCGACTTAGCAATACCTAACAATTGAAGTATACAAAAACTTACATGTGATTGATTCCATTTTCATCACTCTGATGCATACGAAAATCTCGACGTACTTACTTAATATTATTCGATGCGACTTGTATTTGCATTTTTATTAATTGTTGTTTAGTTCCATATGAATCCGAATGATTTTTCATTTCCGTCAATAAATATGTAGCTTGAAGATACTGTTGTTGTTCTTCGCTTAGTTTATTTTCTGCAATTCAAGTACCAATCTAAACCAAAAGCGATAACTCTAAGAAAAATATTTACCGAGTATTCGAATATGTTCATAATTGCTGTTGAAATCTAATCTATTTTGTTGAATTCTATTCAATATATTATTCATTCTACCAGTAATTCGATTAGTTTTCATATGTAATTGTTCATTTATTTTATGATGATTGTTTTTTGTATGTTCATAGATAAGGTTTTGTTTAACAAATGTTTGATGAATCTGTTTAAGACGAGCAACTTTTTGTCTCGACTCAAGTAAAGTATTTGCATTTATTTGGGTATTTTCACGATGAAGATGTTCAAAATGATTTTTTAATTGAACATTTTCATCAATTAATGGATATGTATGTTCATTTGATGTATTCGTACGTATGTGTTCTACGTTTTTTTGAGTTAATAACGAATCATGATGTTGAATTAATGCTTGATAGAGAATATCATCCTTTGAATGTTCTTTTAATTTTAATCTTAATTGACGTCCAATGGTGCGACATTGAGTCTAAACTGACATTCAAATCGTAAGCAATATAAGAAAACGAATTACTTTTAATTGAAGACATGCGTCGCGATAGATCTAGAAGAAAACAAAAAAGAATTATGAATACAAACTCAGATGGGTTAAAATGTGAGGATTCAAATAGGTATTTTAGCTTTATTATTCTCATACAAAACAGATGAATTGGACACATCTAGTAGGCTAAAGCTATTTTCTCAATATAATCGACCGGCCGAGAAGCGATTTCATTATATTTATCTAAATACTGCTAGAAATGATGTTTTATTCATCAGCTTCCTTTTACGTTTTTCTGAATCAAAAATTACTGTGATTATCTATTGAAATCTACATCATATTTTTAAACACTAATTACTGCATCATTATCGTTGATGTAAGGGTTTACTTGTGCTAATATGAACCAGTGTGCTGTTTTAATTATCATTAACTGTGACTAAGGAATTTCAGGAGAATAGTTTGATTTCTGTTACATTTGTTAACTATTGAAAAGTATCTGATGAGCCTTAACCTTCATCTCTTAATGTAATGAACGAAACAGGTGCTTTCAAACTTCTGTTTAAAACTTATTCTTCATATTTGTCTGAAAGAAAATTAATTCAGTTAGAAAAATCTTTACATTGATATTATGTTTAAGCTCTTGCTCCATGTGATCCATTGTTTTATAATCACTTTCTCTTTTTACCAACGATTGCTTTTGTTTCAAAATATTTTCTTGATAATCAGCAACAGTTTTTTGTAATTCAATATTTAATAATTTGTTTTCATCAACTTTATTTTCTAGAATTAATATTAACTTATGTGCATCATCATGAATTACTTGATTAGATGGTTTTAAATGAAGTAATTCATTTTCTGTCTGCTTTTTCAATTGTTGTTCAAGTTCAATTAATACGAAACGAAAACTATTTAAACTTGTATGATGGTTGTTAAGAGTATTATCATATTCTTGAGTTTGTTCGGTTAAATTATATTTCATTAATTCAGTTTGCTTTATTAATGAATCACGTTGTAGCTGAAGATTATTTAGTTCATTTGTAAGAGTTCGAGCAACTTTGCATTTGAGAAAATTAAGTTGAGTCAAACTATGAGAACAATGAGTTTTGATTTCGTGTATTTCATTTTCTAATTGACCTGAACATATCAAATTGTAAAAAAGTCTACTAATGAAAAAAACAACTTCACTCCAATCAAAATATGAAACAGCTCATTTTTTTGTTTTTTTCAAGATTTACGGACGTAAGAGTAAATCTTGAGTGACCACTACGCATCATAAAATAATCATGTTCCTTTGAGTTCATATTGAACAAAAACTTACGAAATTCAGAGATTCGATTCTCATTGATTTATTGAGTGATAAATTTTTCTTTTCCAGAAGTTATTCATTCATACAATACTCATGAATAAATACTGGATATTATTTTAGATACAATATTTTCTCTCGAAAGCTATTTCTTAAGAATCAGCAATTTCTTTATTTTTTATGTTAAAAATCTGAGACAAAGAAATATATTTTGTAGGCGATAGTTAATTCGACGAAATGATACTGAAACAGAAGTTTATCATAAGAAGACATCAACATCAAAATTCTCACATTCGAAATGGTTGAAAATTCGAAGTTTAAACGTAAGATGAGTCACATATTTAGTAGTCTTCTTGTATGATCATCATAGGCTCTAAGTTTCTTAATTAATTAATTAAAGATAAAATCTAGTGTATGCCTAAGTTTCAGAACATTGAATACTAATCCGGTGTGTATTCAAGAAAAATATATAAAACGCTCAATTAACGGTAAGATATTTTGAAATCAGAAATAGTAACGAGGGCGCCTATTAAAAACTAAAGACTAACTAAAAGACAGGATCCGTTTTCATATGAAATGATTTCATTGATTGTCTATATAAATTATACAAGATGTTTAATTAAAACAACCTCGAATGTACCTTTATAACCAATTAATTGTTGAATTTCTATACAACAAAAAATACAATTGCTAAATGAATCTCTCTATCAACAAATAGATGACCTCGTTTTAAATGCATTACATTAATATTAGTATCATGTAATTGAGAATAGAATGTTTGATAGTGTTCTTGTTTTATTTTCATATTTGTTAAATCTTGATGTTCGCTTTTTAACTGTTCAAATTGATGCTGTACATTTATTTCATTCTGTATACGTTCATCAAATTTTCGCCATGATTTTGTTACGATATTATATAGAATTTTTCTTTCACGCTTTGCTAATTTATGATTTTGCATTAGTATAGGTAGAATTGCATTTTGATATGTTATTTCATGTTTGATTTGTGAAATTTCTTCATTTAAATCAACATCTCTTAATATTGATTTCAGTACGCATTGATATAAATACTGATAACTATTTATGTATCGATTAGCGTCATGTTCATTCAAATTCGAAAATATTTCATCCAATTCATCGTCGGTCATGAGTCGAAAACGTATAAAAAAATCTTGTTCACATTGATGTTTAGCATCAAATAGTTGCTGATGTTTAACAAGTTGAAATTTTGGTGCTGGCAACGATAAATAAGTAATACCCGTATCAACATTACGTGTAATTTCAACAGATTTTGAATCATGAATATTACTGTTCTGTCCATTTAGATTTTTACAATTGGCACTATGTAATAGACCATTGCCAAGTTCTAATTGAAATGGCACATCTATCAATGAAATGAGAAGAAAAAAATCGGTAGATAGATATGATAAAACAAATAAGAATTTATTTAAAACTAACGTCCATAAGAGTATGGTTGATCATGATAAGAAGAATGATTCATTGTTTGTATTCGATAATGAAATTTCAATTGAGAAAAGTTTTTAAATTGTTCTATTCTTATGTTATTATTACGTAGTGACCTCTATTATCTTGGAAAAAGACAAATAAATATACCCATCAATCTCCTTTCTGGGTAACCGTCTAAGCGCGCAAAATCTTGTTCATTTGATTCCAATCCAATTTGTTGAATAGATCGTTAGTAATAAGTATCAAAAATACCAACAATCATGTCGCAAAACTGTGAACATCCATTTTGTATTCGTTTCATCGCGACAAAATGTTCTAATCATTGTCAATTAGAACTCTGTCAAGAACACTTGATTGAACATAAAAATTTATTTCTTGCTCAATATCAAAAATCGTTTAATAATCTTCATCAATCATTAAATGACTTGGTTAATTCAATGGAAGAAAGAAAAAAAACTCTTGATGACAACTATCAAAAAGATGTTTCGGTACTCAATGAAAATCATCATATTCAATTAGATGAAGCAGAACGAAAATTTTTATTTGTCAATGTAACACAAAAACTAATCAAAAAGAAACTTCAACTTTTAACTGATGTTAAAAATGATCAAGCTTTTCTATATCAATACGATATTGAACAGATTAAATTATACTTAACAACAATGCAGGAATATCATCGTGATAAAATAGCAACAAAAACTGAAATGTAATAAACTTGTTTCATTTGAGGTTTCGTCAACTTTTTTATTTTTATTTTTATTTTTTACCACAGTGGTGAAAATGACTGCGCAATGTCTTTATCATGGAGTGCTGATGTTCATTCAGATATTGAAGATATTCCTAAATTAAAGACAAATACAAACAATGAAAATATCCTCAAATTCCGTGGTCAATGTCCTTTGAATCGTCATGGTATATATGGTTTAACAAATAAACATAATTTACGATTATGTTCATCGAAAAAAAAAATTACTGAGCTTTGTTTAATTAAACATTTTCATCGCTATCATCATTTAACACAAGAACTATCATTTAAATTAACAAAAGCTATACTTAATAAATTAGATCCTGTTACAACATGTATTTTTCCACCTGACCTAGATCTTATGGATCAATACTATCATCCTATAAAATGTCCATTAAATCAATTGAAATTTGCTAATAAATGTGAAAGCACATTTTTTAGAGATTCATTAAAAAAACATTTGTTATCAGTGCATCAATTATCATTACCAGCAGCTATGAAAATTATTACAACATTTAGAAATCAAGGTGATTTTATGCAAGTTAATCTTAATGAAAATGAATTAAAAAAAAAAGGCAAAAAATAATGTATGTTAACTACGATGTTTGTTTCATTTGCAATAGAAAATCAGAACTGAAATCGAGTGCTTTGTTATTCACAAGATATATCGGGATGACCTTTAGAGTAAAAATTCTATCAAAATTAATAGAAGACTTAACTATATTTCTTTAATTAAGAAATATCCTTCGAGATTATTATGAATAACAGTATGATTTTCATTCTATGAATATACGATTATCAACAATACTCATTGACTGTTATAATACGTTGTTCTGCTCAAAACGTTGAGATTACATCAAGAAATTTGCTTATATTTCACAATTTTTTTTCAAAATTTACTATCATTCGATTTGATCATCTGTTGACAGGATCTATTTCAAAAAAACGAAATACAATAGAATTTTATAGAGATTTGCTCAACTGAAGGAAACATTTGAAACTTGAGTCATGCTTTTATAAAACAATAGAATTTAAGAATAAATTTTCTTGGTTCAAAACATTCTAACATAGTTTTGTTTGAATTTTGAGAATGTTCGAATGAATATTGAGAAAAGCAATCTTCTATCGAAATTAACGGACAAGAATATTGGATTAGAGTTGATTAATTCTTTCGTAGATCTAAAGCACTATTCCGCATCATCTTGTTGTTTAAGAGGGACTTTGATAATAATTTAGAGAAAAGAAGAGGCACACATTATTCGAATACATTGATCATTATAAGTCATATCGTTGAGAAATTATACTTCCAATAACGCCTGGTATACATAAATGCATCAAATTACTTTTAACTACAAATATAATAAATCTCTTTAACGAAATCAAATAACTATAATACCATTTCTTTTTATTGTTTATTTCAGACAATCAATAGACACCATAGGCCATCATCATATATCAAAATTAAAATAAAGAACAATTTTTTGTTTTCATTATTTTTGTATTTTTTGTAATTCTTTATAGTAAAAACTTGTCTATTTCTAGATGGCATGTCAACATCCGAATTGTTCATATCCGATTCATTCTATCTGTGTACACCATTGTCATTGGTCTCTCTGTGAAAAACATATAGATGAACATAAAAGATCGCTTACTGTTGAATTTGAAGAACTACTTCAAGATTTAATTGAACCAGCAGATCAATTATCGAATATAGTTGATAAAACAAAAAATAGTTTAACGCTAGAACATCAGAAACAACTTGATTGTCTTAAACAAACTTATGAGAAACAAATCAATGAAATCGAACAACAATTAGCGAATCTATCTGAAATTCAAGACCAACGTAATAACATATCTAAACAATTAAGTAAAATTCAAGCCAATGAAATTCTATTAACACATGATGATTTTCAAAAAATTGAATTTTTAACAAAAGAAATAACTCAATTTATGAAGTCATCAAAAGGTTTATTTGTTTTTCAAATCAAGCTCTTTTTCTCTACTTAAAAATTTAGATAAAGAAGAAAATAAAGTGAATTTACAACCAAAACGAAGCAAATTTACAAAATGTCCTTTGACAACTTTGAATGTCTACGGTCTAGCACTATCACACAATGTACGTTTATGTTGCCCGAAGAAAAAAATTCAACATTTATATCATCATCTTTGTAATTATCATCGCCTAAAAACCTGTTATACAAATGAATTAATTCAAGCAATAAAATTTGATTTAGACCCAAAGACAACAGTAATATTTCCGTTGAATACAAAAATTATTAGTATTGATGATAAATATCCGTGTCCACTACATTATACATCAATAGAAAGTGAAATTCGTTGTGCACCATGTACAACTTTGGTCACTAGAAAATTTTTGCCCGTCCATTTACAAACTGTTCATCGTTTACGAGCACCTGAAATCAAAGAGATTTTAAAAAAGAATTGATTTTTGTTACTTATTTTTGATTTTTAGTACAAAAATAGAAAAATTTAGATTGAAGATGAGTTTCTGTTTCGGTTTACATTTTTTTTTGATAGAACTTTTCTTTTGTCTTCTTGTTAAATTGTTGTTTTCTTCTACTATTGAAATAGATACTTTTGTCTTCAGATATTTCATCACCATGACATGCCAGCATCCTGGTTGTTCATTTGGTATATTTTCTTCGTGTATAAATCATTGTATGCAAAATGTTTGTTTGGAACATTTAATTGAACATGGTGATATATTTATAAGTGATTTTACTGGTTTACTCAATCGCCTAGATAAATCTACATGTATTGTAATGAAAGAAACTAATATTGCTGCAAAACAAGTGAGTGAAATATGATTGACTGACTTTCAATGGGGATTTGAAATAAATTCAGCATACAAAGCAATGTTCTTGAGTAGAGCCGAAGATTATATTTAGATTATTTCGTAACAGAATCAAGAAGAAAAATAATTTGAAAGATATGTATCCAAACGAAAGTATTCCCAAAATGAGATTGAAGTGTAAGAGAAATGTTCACTGCATGTGATGACCATTTGGTAAAAGATTCACTGTGCTAGTAAACGAAGCCGAAAACGAGTTAAATTTGACTTTCTTGAAGATATTTTTATATGTGTCCAAATCTAATGTACTAGTCTCATCCAATTGTTTGCAATTAATATCAAGGATTCTCACGATTTACTTGACAATAGTTTTAGGTACTTTTATTCATACTCTTCTATTGTATTTTTTTCTCCTGTATATTTACACTATTGTCTTTTACACAAAGTCATTGTCAATAATAATTTTTATTAGTTCACTTTTGCTGATTGAAATAAGTATTTAAATCTCATATCTTGAATATTATGAGTTGTCAATTTTATTGTATTTCTCAATTGATTAGATCGTTCAACGCCGTGAATATGAAATCGAACGTATCAATCGTATGTATGATGAAGAACAAAAAGGCATTCGAAAACGACTTGCATTTGCTGAGACTGCAAATACGTTTTTAAAAGATAAACAAGATAAATTAATCATATGCAAACAGAAAAATGAATGTCATCTTAGTCAACATGATATTGAACAATTAAAATTGTATGCAACTGTAATACGGAATCCTCCGGAAGAAAAGCAAGCAAAAGAAGAAAAAACAATTATAAAGTATTCAATAGAAAAAAGATCTTGTTTTCTTTTTGCAATGCATTTATGATTAAACTTCTAGTGTTGACACACTGAACGAGTCAAATACGATGCGGAAGAATTTTCTGGGAACTTATTCATGCCCATTATTTCGACCGAATGTATTTGGCATTACAATTGAACATAAGATTCGTTTTAATTGTGATGGATCATCATTTTTAAAATGTCATCTAGCTAGTCATTTTGAAAATTATCATCGTATGTTGCCTGAATATGCACAACGATTAAAAAATGCTATTGTTAATGGCCAATTACCAGATGAAGTAAAATTATTTTCTGACGATGAAATTATCTTTGTAAATAATTATAATTCTTTTCTTGTTAGTTTTTATTGTATTCTATTTTATCTCTAGAATAAAGAATATTTGATTGATTGCCCTTTAACGGATGGAACTAATGTGTTCGGTGCACAATCATCATTATCAAAATTGATGCATTTGCCATGTACAAAAAAACAATTGTTACTAACATCAATGTTGAATCATTTTCACTGTTATCATAGAATGAAATATAGTGTTGCAAAAACAATATATACGGCAATGAAAACAAAATCTCTTACGTCTGACAGTGTTCTTTTTGAACCCAATGAACGTATTGCAAAAAACTTAAGCAAAAAGCGATAGATATTTGTTTTATGTAGCATATAATTTCTCGTTCTGAATATTGTAAAACGATATTAATACACATATGTTTTGCATCGCTGTTTCAGTTTTAGGATTTCATTGTGTTTTATTACCTTTAATGATTGTTTTTTTAAATGAAGATTTTCACAAACAAAGTAAATCCTTGTTTGAATTAACTCTCTGTTAAAACTCTTGCTTGAGCACATCGGAAAAGCATTAGAAGACTTCTGCCATTGATGATTCTTGTTTTCAATATCATGAAGATAATCATGTCGGATAAAAATTGGAGATTGTTTTCTTAACCAATATTTTAACCGGCTAATTGAACATTTAGTCTGACCAGCAGTTTTCAAGAACTGTGAAAAAGAAAATCGTAATCTGTTGAGAAGTTTGCCAGCATTATTGCGATAGTTTCTCGGAGAAATGGGAATCGACTATTGGCTGTCGCAAACATCAAAATCAACATAATGCTTTTTCTATATCAGTTTTCGTACTCACATATTTTCATTGATAAATTGCTTAATGAAATCAGCGACAGAAGCAGCAAATATTGTGTGAATTCCCATGTAGCCGATAATGGATGAATGTGACAACCCTGGTTGAACGTGTATGCATCACTATCTACTGTCACCGTTGTGTGGAATGATTGTTTCTGTTTCCTGTTCTTACTTATCATATCATTTGTTGTTAGCTGACATGTTACTCTCTCTTCTTATACAGGGGCGGCGGAGCGTCATTAAGCTAGGTGAGGCTCATCATATTTTTTTGCTACCGTGGAATTTTATGAAACATCAAGTAGTAAATAAGTCTTCTTTTTATTGAACTTCAGTAAAAATAAAAA